GTGAGGTCACCGAGGCCCTGAAGTGGTTCGAGATCATCGGTGCCATGTTTTCCGCTGGTCGAGAACCTTTCCAAACCCGACAATCAGGGTTGATGAGCGGCTAGCAGGGAAACATCCGCTTCGTAGTTCGGTGCAACTTCTTCTGGTGTGCTCTGACGATGCGGTTCCATGGGATGTCGACCGTGCACAAGTTGCTGAATGAGGACATTCATCTTCGCCTCAAATGATGCTCCCTGCCGTTGACCACTTGTGGTAAGGACAATCGCTCAGCAAACGACGGGTAGTAACCCGGAGAAAGGGCGATCAAGGGGCGGGAACTAAGAAACATTAGACGCCGGTTGATGTCGCCCTGATCGACGCCTCGACCATTGATTTGCAGTCAATCAAGGACATCCTCTGTCATGGCCTAATACACCCAACACGGGAGGCACATGCGGCCGTTTAGCACGGGGTATGCAAAGGACCTGAACCCATTCCGCGTGCCGCATGATCTGGGTCGCATATCCAAAGTCGATGAAGCAGGATGGTCGTGTGGTTCACACCACATCCCAAGGCTCCGGCATCGCCATCTGGCTGCCTTTCGGACTCGATTGAGATCTGGATGCCTGATATTTCGCGCCGCCAACTGCGGCCGTTGGGCCGCCAAAGACCCTGAATGTTCGAGCAAGATGATAGGAGCGGGACACGCTGTCCTACATAGCACAGTCATAGTTGGAGAGTCCAGCCAGAGACGACGAATATAGGCATGAGACAGCACGTGTTCGGCGTGCAAGGCCCTGTCGTGACCAGGGCCGACAATCGGGGTTGGTAACACGTGCGATCCAGCGAATCATCGTCTGACACACGGCCGCGATCCAGAGCCAAGATGAGCGCCGCCCGCATAGGCGGACGAACGTGCAGCGAAGTCAGCAGAAGGACGCTCTCCAGTCCAAGCAGATGCAGGTCGGTCTTTCTACTGCAAGGTTGTGAGACAGAGTTGTCTCAAGACCTTGCAGAAGGGTTAGCGAAAAGTGCTCTCTGTATTTTCGATGAGGGGGAAAGCTGGTCACGTCACACCGAATCGGCAGGCTGGAGAACCGGTGGTTGATTTCATCGTACTGCCTCAGCGATTGCGACTCGAAAATTGGAGCGCCCGAGTCGATTCCTCCCCTGGTGTTGGCAACACGTTGACGCGAAGTCAACAGGTGTTGCGGCGTCAACTGCGCCAGGACGAGCGATGACTGCGACGGAATGCGAAATGCAGCTGGGACCCGGATCCCAAGAACGCCCTGCCGAGTCGGAGTTGCAGGAACGATTGCCGGCAGAGCGAACAACGAAGCAGAGCGGGCTCAGGGGATTCATCGTGACAGGCAACAGCCAATGGAGGGAGGCATGCAGCCTCGAGTTAGATTCGTGGGGCTGGTTCGAGAGGTTGGGCATCAGCCAGGAGAAGGAGACAAGAAGAAGCGGTGATAGATTTGATGGAAAAGTGATATCGAGATAGCGACTGGGGCGGTGCAGCAAAATGCAATTCGTGACGGTGAGGGCGGCAGACTCGAATATCCCATCGTGAGCGAAACGGAACACACGGGGTGAGCGAGGTTTGTCCCACAGGTCTGGTAGGTTTCGCAAGACCTTTCGTGTGTCTTCGTAGTCAGCAGCGAGCAGACAGACAGTACGAGAGGCCCCCAAGCCCAAGAGGCGGTCGAGTGAAGCGTCCCACAGTCCAGCGCAGTGAGCCAACGTCATCCCGGGCCAGCTGAAGGTTGAAGGCGCTGTCTAAGACGATGGCATCGTGGGGAAGACGGCGTCATGTTGGCGGCTGGGTGTGGCTGACAATGGAGTTGTAGCTAAATTAGGGTACAGCAGGACGGGCCGTCGATGCAGGCGGAAGTCTTTCTTCCCATCATGGCAATACATGGACTGCGGCGCGTCTTGTGCTTCGTTCCATGATGGAGCCAGAGACACGATTAATTTGTCGGATTTGACTTTGATCAAAGGCGATGACAGCGGCAGCGGCAGCGGCAGCGTCAAGCACAGGCCGGCTGAGGAACCGAGGGACTGAGGGCTGTGCAAGTAAGCGCAGCAAAAGCGCAGTGGCGTGCTAGCGGGCATCGTGGGGTACAGAAGGCAGAGAGAGAGCTGGACGGAACAGGGTGTTGAGGGTCTGTTGTTGCGCTGTGTCGTTGCACACGATGTGTCATCCGTTTCCTCTGTGATCGACAAGGTGGGTAGTCGACTAGCACAGGGTCGGGGGATATGCCCTATGGATGGATATTGACGGCCATTCTAGAAGGCTAGATGGAGCAGATTGGGGGCGCTTGATGGTGACATGGCGGGTGTGACGATGGTACGCTGCTGTCTATTGGATTGGCGATACCTCTGAGGACGAAGGAGGGGCGAGTAAGGTAGGTGTACTGTGTATTCGTAGCGGTGGATTGTTCAGTTCCAGGTTGTGTGAGACGGAGTCGGACGGAGTGATGCCCTGTATGACGAAGGAGAATGAGGCACGTCGTAGCCAATGTAGAATAGAGAGGAGCCTGAAGACAGCGTTATTACACAGAACAGGACAGAGATAACGGAGTTGCCAGCGAATGGCAGAAATGACGGGGAACTATTGACAGCGAAGACGCCGAAGAGGAGGGAGGAGATTCTAGACGCACCTCGAAGTCTTGGGAAGTCGGCAGAGGAAGGCGGTGATGGAGGGGTAAGCGACGACGACGAGGGGAGTCCAGCCAGAGCGAGAGACGGCGAGGGAGAAAACGGTTGCCGATCATTTGATGCGACCTAACGGGATGGATCAATCAGAAGGCCACGACCAAAGAAGAGGCCGGGTTCTTGGAGACGGGAAAAATCTGAAGTTGGTAGGTCCAAATGGGCGATCCGCTGACTGGAATCCGATGGTCAGTTTCTTCGTTATTTCCCGGCAGGTGCTGCTGTCTTTCCTCGGCGCCTGCCCTGTTTGCTAAGTGACGGAAAGAGCGACCGCGACGGGTTGGATGTCGACTGACAAATTCGCACCACCTCATAATCAGGCTGAGGTCACCACCCAAGCCACAGCCCAGGTACGCGCCAGCCCAAGGGGTGAAAAGGCCCTGAAGCAGGGGCAAAATGCACTTTGGGCATTTCAGGCGGCCAGGCATCTCAAGCACCTCGATGTTTCGGTCATTGTTGGGATATCCAGTGGTTCAGAGCGCACTCGAGAAACCGCCTCGAGGTTGAGGTTGATTGATGCCTTGACGGTGAACAGCGCTCAGCCCCCAAAGGTCTTGTTGATAGAGAAGGGACAGAAACTTTGGTGCCTTGTTGAGGCAGCTTGAAGTTGACTTGGCATAGGAATCATCAAGCCGAGCTCTCCCGGTCAAGGACAAGACCTGAGGTGAGGTGGAATAAACTCTGGCCCAGCAGGAAAAGGATCCATTCCCGACCAGCCCGGTGGTAGCGGGAACTGAGGCAGGTGCAAACATGAACAACAGGCCACCACAGCGAATAAACCGCGAGACCGGTGGTGCCACGAGAGCTACCTTACTAAAAGTACGTACTGCGTTAAAATCGCTGTGGACGGTCTAGAAGTCGACAAATGCGACGTCGCGTTTATTCGTGGATTTCAACAGTACAGAGTCTGTACTCTACTCTCTACTCTGCACTAGGTCCTGTCCTCTGTGCGCTGCTACAAGCCAAGCTGTGCGAGACTTCCTCCCATCTTTTTCTTGCCTTTTCCCCCACACATGCCGTGCCATGTTTGAGTTGGCTGCCACCGCCTCAGTAAAAGGTTCTTTCCTGCCTTTTTACCTCTGAGGTAAATACTCACTTGACCGTATCAATTCTGTCAAGACCCTTCAGTGCCCTGACGTGTTCTTCCAGATACAATTGGAAGTCTTGGACCATGTCGCTCTCCACCGGACCAAGTCACCAGTCACGCAAACTCGCCGGCTGATGAAGCAACAGTGACTTGTCCGTGACTCTTCTACATCCCGCGAGCTCTCGACGTGGTAAAACGTCCACGAATGTCGGCTTCGCCCACGCATCCACATTCCCAAAGAGGCTTCGTCCGGTTTTCCACGCACCCTACCACACCCCGAGAATCCAGCCATTCGGATCCCGTCTGCCCCCCGTCCCATCCCATCCTTCAAGGGCCTGGGAGGGTATGTCTATGACGACGGTTCGGATTCGCAGTTGGCTACCTGTTGTACCTGCTGAGGCACGTCCATCCCGCCGCCGACTCAGCGTGCCATACCCAGAAGACTACTTCACTAAGGCACAGAAAAGAAGCCAAGCAGGGGATACACAAGAACGTCCAGGGCCTTCCCAGTCGACCGTTCAGTCGCACTGCTGCGACTGCGACTGCGACTGCGACGCTTCAGGCCGTCGCTACCGCTGCTTCGTACCTCTCCCATCTCCGATCCCCGTCCTCCTGGTCCCTGTTGTGCCGCTGGGCTGTCTATCAACCCACCCACCGTTAAGAACCAAACCACCTGCCACCCGACCTGTTTCCGTTACTCTCCGGGACCCATTCTCATCACCATTTTCATAATACCACTCACTGCAGCAGCAGCATTGCTGCCTTTTCTTCACTCTCGCCCTGTTGTCTGCCTCGTTACCTTATATTCCCACAAATGTACCTTTTGAACAACGCGTTTGTTTGCCATACATCTTCTTAATCATTCTCGACCAACGACATCCTCCAGCCACTGAGAACGCCTCGAAACAACTCACACCCCTGCTTCATCCAACCGCCCCCTCGCCCCGGCATCTCGACCTGACTCTGACTCCAGAAAAGGACCCTGGCCGCCAGTCAAACCGGTCATTGCCTAATTATTCACCAAACGCACAGTATTTCACGCCTATCATCCGCTCTATTAACCCCGGAGCCCAAGATACTTCGGATTTCTTTATCAGACCCGACCGCCTCTGGATATATGAAGTCTGGTCCCCTCCCTTGACTGTTCGACCATCCAAGGCAGCTACTCCGGACATCAACCAACACCAACCCACCTTCTCACACCTCCCCCTCCAACACAATGCCTCAGTCACATCGAAAATACAGCTCCAAGAGCTCGACAAGTAGTCGGGGCTCCGGAAGGAGCTGTGACTCGGTCGACTCTTACGAGACATATGAATCCCAAAGCACAACACCCACATCCTACTACGCGAGCACAGAAGCTTCAGTTAGGGAATCGAAGCCCCTCTCCAACAAGTTTCAACCCGTCTACGAGGAGGACATTTCCCCTTCGACTAGCAACTGCGCAAGGGATTCCGTCGACACTTTCGACTCGAGTATAGCTTCCGAGGACGACCTCCAGCTTCAGCGCGACATCGACATGGACAGCTTCGACGAGCACCAGGAGATCCCGCCTCTGCCCGTCTACTGCCGTGACATCGTCGATGACGTCCGCCCTTCCACACCGCAAGACTTCGCAAAGCTCTTCCCCTCCATGAACAGGTTATCTATTCGCCACGACGAGTTCACCCCGGACGGCAACATGAACCTGCGAGTCGACACCGTCGCTCCTGGCCGCCGCCCCTTCGCCATGCAGCTCTTCCACCTGCGCATGTACGACCTCAGCAAACGCGACTTTTCTCTGAGACGCTACTGTCGCGACTCGGGTCGTGAGGTTTGCAACTCCAAGCGCAAGTACATCGAGCCCGCCAGCGAGGAGCGCCCAACACTTCAGCGATCCTTGTCCAGCGCCATCAAGACATTATCACCCAGGAAAACTCTCTCGCGCACCAACTCTGGCGATCCCGCTCGCCCGCAGTCCAGCGCCTCATCCCAGGACGGCGACGAAGACCCCTCTGTCTACTTCAAACGCTCCAGCTCCTTTGACAACAAGGCCAAGACCCGACCCGTCCCAAGCAACACCATGAAGCTCGAGTTCTCCAACTACGCCCGCGTAGACGTCTCGCGCCGCGGCGGCAAGAACAACAAGCGCTACGAGTTCGAGTGGTGGGGTCACAAGTACCAGTGGAAGCGCGTCCTCGACAAGAACCTCGGCGTCGTCTCCTTCCACCTCGTCAAGGACGGCAACACCGCCGCCAACGCCGCCATCGCGCACATCGTCCCCGAGACCCGCGCCCCCAACCAGGTCTACGACGACGAGAGCGCCGGCGGCTGGGTGCCCCCCTGCCACATGTGGATCAGCGATCGCAGCATCATCGAGGCCGTCACCGACGTCGCCGATGTCATCGTCGCCACCGGCCTCATGGCTCTCGTCGACGACTGCATCAAGGACCGCTGGCAAGTCAAGAAGACGCAGGGCCCTCGCTCCTTCGTGCAGCACTTCTTCCAGCGCCGCTCGTCGGATCAGTCGAGCCCGCTGCGACACCGCCCCATCTCGACCTACTGAGACAAACCGTCCTCAGCTAGTCACTTTCAACGCTTTTTACTGTCTGTTTCCTCAATCGGAGCTGCCTCTGGCATGGACAAAATCGCATCAACCGGCAACAAAACCAAAACGGCGCCGCCCACAATTGACGAATAACGACCATCTCCCACGCTACATCGTCTTGTCACATTTTCATTTTCACATTTCATCAAATCTCAGCATCTTTGAAGCGCAGCTCTCAATTCACAAATCTAAAGACTTATCAACTATCACATTTATTCACCGAAACAAAAAAGCGGATGGAAATCAGGACATAGCTTACAGACGAAAGCTACACAACAGCAGCAGCACCAGCACCAGCACATACAGACACGCACAAAGAGACGGGACATTATTGGAAATCTCACGCCTATACCGGATATCAGTATCCAGAGGGCGTGTAGTCGGATTGGAAGAACGGCGTTTTAGGGTGTAACAAATCTGTCTTATCATTCTTCACTGTATCCATCAGGCGCGGAGTCAAACGGGAATGGGCATTATTGGGAGTGATGGGATGGGAATCTCGGGATTCTCCCTCTCGTCGGTGGATTATTATTGGGCTTGTACGAAATGAACCGGACGTGGAAACAAACCACTGATTCCGGATTGAATGAATGAATAACATCAACGCCGCTGCGCATCATCGCATGCAAAACACCATCAATCTGCTCCTTCGCTCCTATCAATGCTTTCGCTTTCAAGTTACAAATGATGAATCCCGATGACGATTGACAAACATGACACAATTTTGCAACTCCCAGAGACGAAAGACTTCCTGGATGGGAATAGGCCAGAAAAAAAAGAAGAAAAAAAGATCGACCTGGAACACAACAGTGCAAATCGTCGTCGCAGAACGCCGTCAATGTCGTACCACCACCCAAGACCCCCGCCCTCCCGCGATGCTGCACCCCGGGCCCGGCCCACCCCCAAACGCCATCATCAGATGCCACGCGATGTTCATCGCTTGCGTCCCTTTTTTTTCTTGATAAACGTGTTTGTTTGATTACGTACGTATATATGTACGCTGCTCGCTGAAAACAAACACCGCGCTACAAACAAGCTTAGGTTTAAGTGGATTCGCTGCTGCTGCTGGTCGCGAAGCAGGGCCAACACAGCACACAGCACGCACCCACGAACACGATGGTCCCCCCTCCCCCCGCCGCCTGGCGTGACCCATGACGTCCTCCGGTCCGTCCCGCCGGTATCGTCGCGTTACCAACGGTTCTGTCGCGCCGCCCTCTGAAGCGGGGGATCCAGGTAGGGCGAGATGCTGGGCTACCTTACCCGGACGACAGGTGGGACCCGGGGACTGCGATTATGATGATGTGATGATCCATTTCATCAGACGTCAGGTCGGTTATCTGTGTTCGTGTCGGGCGATGACGGCATTCTGAGTTGTCGTATTACGCATCTTCCTTTGGGACCAGAGTGGGATGTCGCGCCGTGGGGTGCGGTTAAGGAGTATCCCTCAATCGTGAGGGTGGCGGCGGAAAAGAGCCTCAGTACTCCCCGAACGCGAAGAAATCATCCTTCTTCTCCCCAAACCAGCCGGCGAGGTCTAGCTTCATCAGAAGCCTCTCGACACCCCCCACTCTGCGGGGGACGTACTCGCCCTCTTCGCGCAGGACGCCCTCCTCGCCGCCCTCCTCCTCGTCCGCGAACGCGGCGGGGTCGGCCTCGAGGGACCTCAGCGCGGCAATGACCTCGCGGACGCCGTCCTTGACATGCTTCTCCACATCGCGGATGGCGGTACGGACGTCCGCTTCCTCGATCTCGAGGTCGACGAAGGCATCGACGACGCCGGCGTCGGCTTCGAGGTCCATGGATGTCCAGACGTCGTGGAGCCGCGTGGTTAGGGCGACGAGGTGGTCGGTGTGCGTCAGGAGGTTGTAGAGCGGGTCGGTGTAGGAGGGGAATGTCAGGAGGAGACGGGTCGAGAGGGCGCGGAGGTATGCTCTGTGAGCCGTGGCGAGGCTTTGGGGGTCGCGGGTTGGTGTCGTGTCTGGTTTTGGAGCGAGTCTGAGGTTTGATGTGCTTTGGGCGAGCCAAATATCGTCGTCGTCCTCGTCTTCTGACGCTTCTGCCGAGGGCGCTTTTGATTGAGACGTGGATGACGGAGTGGGCTCTGGCTTTTTCTCCCCCAAGGTCAGCCATTCCTGGAAACCGTCCCATAGGCCTGCGACAACCTCGGTCTGTAGGTATGCCTCCGTCTCGGAGAGGAAGAAGATTGCCGAGCTACAAGTAACCCAGGCGCTGCGTAGAGCATTTGAGCGAGATGTGTACCGTTGTCGGAGGAGCACCACTTTTGATCGACCAGCTCGGGTGCTTCCCGCCGGTGGTCCAGGGGGGGCCGGGTGGTGGCGGCGTAGAGATGTTATTTTCCACAGCTCGGTAAGACGGATATGCGCCCTGCGGATGGAGAGCAGGTATGAGTTGATCGTGGAGTAGATCTGGAGGTCTGACGAGGTGAGGAACATATCCAGAGGTGATGGGATCTGCATCGTCAGAACGACGGGTACGGAGAGCAGCAGATTGCGGAAAGGCGTCGTGGCCAACGTCTTGGTCGTCGGTTGCGACGTGCTCGCTTCGAGTTTCAGAGGCTTTGCGGGCTTGGATTTGGTGAGATTCAACCGAAGGAGTTCTCGTGCAATCTCAAGTCCCTCGTCTTCTTCTGCGTGCTGCCCCTGCATCAGACCCATCGCTCCCCATGTCTTAGCCAGAACGGCCGCGACCTCGCCCTCCTTGACCGCAAACGTGCCAACGCCCTCCCGCTTCTCGTAAGAGAGGTTGTCTGACCTCTTCCAGCGACTGCGGAGCTTCTCGTCGGCTTGCTGTGTCAAAGCCATGGCGAATTCGCCACGACCCAGAAGGAAGAACTCGCGCAGGACCTGAAGGGCCTCGACAACTTTGGTGAGTGGCAACAGCTTCAGCAATATCGTGCGCGAAAGCGTGAGACGGATAGATGTGATGGCGCGTGAGAAGCTGGCTGTGTCGAGCGGGTATGTCAAAGCCGACAACTCCTTCAATTGCGATGAAAGGTGATCCAGCCCTTGGAGGCCCGACTCAACGCTGCTCTTTACGCGAACATGGTTCAACGACCTCCCGATGAAGAGCATCGAAGACGCAGTCTTGGGCGTGACGAAATTGGGCAACAATGTCGGTACTGAGACATAGTCCTACCGAATATCAGTCACAACATTCCGCATCAAAGCTTCGTTCAACGTACCTGATCGCCGCCTTCTGCCTTTTGCACGAAAAAGTCACCCCCGCCGAAGGTGGGCAGCCGCCCGTAGAGAATCCAGGCAGAGACCTGCTTCAGCCATGCCGTCTCCGCTACTGATACCAGACTCATCGCCGTCCTCTCGATGTCCACGTAGCCGCTCTGCAACTCGCTTCTTAGCCGATCGATGAGCTGCGCGCCACGGCACGTCTGTCCCTGTTGTTTCCGCAGCATGAACTGCACAATCTCCCACAACCACTCCATCCTTCTCGTCCACTCGGAAAACTCGCCCATGACCGCCGTCAGAGGCACAATATTATAAGCCCCAACCAAGCTCGAATCCTTCCTCAAGATCGTCTCCTCGACTTCCAGGACCTTGCGCTGGAAGGCGGCCAGGTGGACGGACTGCACGGCGGTCGCGACGGCGCGGCATATCGTCGACGGGTGCTCGGCCGCGATGGGAGCTGTGTAGCTTTGCAGCTTGACGTGCAGGTCGCTGAGGTGCGCGGCGGTGCTCAGGAGCTCGCGTTCCGGGGGCGAGATTGCTGACGATGACAGCGCATCGGAGTCTGCAGCTTCGGTTCGGAGGAGAGGGGAGGGGTGCCCGGAGAGGGCGAGGAGGATTTCGTGGAGCATGGCTTCTTGGGTTCGTGGCCTAAGCTGGTGCTAGTCTTGCGATTGCCGGGACTGCAAGATTCGATTGTTAGTCAGGGAGGGTTCTGGGTCTTCTGATGTTGGTGACATGGGTTCAGGAGCGGAGGGGTTGGGAGCCTAAGAAGACGGGCGGCAGCAGCACATTTCGCGTTGAGGCGGCTTCTTGGACTTTGACTTTTCGCCAAAGTCGCGCAGAAGCAGGATGAAGGCGCCGAGAAGCTCGAAGCGGCACATTGAACTCGTCCGTCGATGGCGCGAGTAATCTGAGGGACTTGAAGCGCTGACTTCTTTTGGGGCGCGATGTGATGCGGGGCAGTTGGCAAGTAGCACCTCAGGTTGCAGCCAAGTTACAGGGCGATGTGATGGTTGGCAGATGAGATACCTTTTGGATGTTGTTTTCTGCACGAAAAAGGGCGATGTCCCGTCCCGTCGCACGAACCAGTAAATTCTCTTTTCCCGAAAAAAAAGAAACGAGTTATCCGAGCCACACAACGGAAATCGCAACGGGCTTTCAAGGAGGCTCCATGCTGGAGGGCCAGATCCCTTCCAATATCACGGTAGCGGCATTGATGGAATCGACATAAAGGAAGCGCGACTCGACGCGACGGACACCTCAGTCTAAAGTGGCTGCTCTGAGACCCGCGCTGCTTCCGGCAGGGCAGCTCTGTCAGCTGTGCACACGTGACAAGCATTTATGTCAAGCTTAGGTAAGTCCAGTAAGGTAGATAGATACCAGGCTGGCCCCGATGGCCCGGCCGCCGGCGCTCACTGTGGAACCCCTGATCCGTCCGGTGCCGTCTGACAGCTTACATTCCAGGCTTATCCCGACAACCTAGAGCCCCTACGGAAGTCAACGCACCAATAGTTCGTGAGAAAGTTACTTTTCATTACTGAATCCGGCTAAGCCTCTTCACCTGTTCTCGTTCTCGCACACAAGATGAAAGGATACGCAGCGCTCCGTCATTGCCTATCTTTGGCTACTAAATACATGGCGTAGAGGTATAAATATTCAGCGGTAGCGTCACCTACCTACCGTCTTCGCTATCCAAACATGCGTCTTTTTCTGTCTCTACTCATTGCAGCTTTCCAGAGGGCTTCTTACCGTTGCCCTCGTATGCCGTATATAAGCTTGTCGTGTCGCTCTGGTCGTCCCTACGAGCAAGAGGCTTCCCGTCTTCCAGCAGCCCGACAGTGTTGCCACCGTCTCCGCCGCCGACAATGACTTGGCCGCCACCCTTGACCTTTCCGACGACCATGCCCTTGGCAACGCTCTTCAGAATAGCTCTCCGGGAAACACCAGTCACGTCGATGTAAACCAGACCCACGTTCTTGAAGCCACCGCCGATGTTTCTTGACACTTGGCCGGCCTCAGCACCCCATCGATGCTCTACCATTTGCGACACGCTGGAGGATGTTCCCGTCAACAAATTGCGGCCGGCTTGGTCGAGACCGTCGGCAACGGTGTTGAAAGCCATCAAACTCCTGTTCAACAGACCAGGCTTGTAGCCCTCAATGGGGTTTCCGTCCTTGTCATATCCTCTGCCGCCGCCGTCCTTCTTTCTAGCAAGGGTGGCGCCCAAGTTCTGTGCAACTTTACCAATTTGGCCCACCGTCGTCGCCGACAGCCCAGCGGCAGTAGTGGTGAACTGGTTGATACGGCGGACGCGGTCGTGGGCGGCCGGCGTGAACGTCATTGCTCTCTCGTTGGACTTGGTCTTGGTCGTGAAGCTATCGGCTCCTGTCTGCAAACCCTTGGTGACCAAGTCGGATGAGGTGACGATCAGGCGGGACGCCTTGGAGGCATTCGAGACCAAGAACGACTTCTTGTAGGCCGGGTGCATGATCATTTCGCGATACTCCTGCGACACGGGCTGGACGGTAATGGCTTGGCTCTGGTCGGCAGGGAGGGTGATCTCCACCGGATCTGACATGCCATGTGAGTCAAGCTCGGCCGAGTAGCCGCCTGACTTACCTTTCGTGCCAGGCTTCACGCCCAGTTCCTCTTGGATTTGGTAGTTCTCGGCCAACTCTCCGATGACGCTACCGTCCTCCTCGTCGATCAGCACGATCCTGCCACCATTGTTGGAGCTGTGGGCACCCTGGGCGTAGGCCTGGCCCGGCTCGTAGTCGGCGGGGTTGTATGCGGGGAGGCCGTCCGCGGCAGCGGCTCTCGCTTTTGCGGACGAGGCGGCGGAGGGCATTGCGGCAGCGGGAGGGGCGCCCTTGGATGCGGAAGAGCCCTTTGGCGGGGGAGCTCGCTCGAGGAAAGCTGTGCATTGGGCCAGGATGGTCTCGAAGGTGTCTACGTCTTCTTGGAGTCCCTTCCGGCTGCCGGTGTCGGGGAACTCAAGCCGGGTGAAGGCACCGCTGTCCGGGCCAAGATCCCATCTCGGAATCAGGTAGCTCGCAGGCGGCTGGTGGTAGATCTGAGTTGTGGCGGGGAGAGGAAGATCGAGTTCGGGAGGTAGGTGGAGGTGGAGATAGAAATCCTCCGCGGGGGTCTCTCCGTTTGTGTCGGCGGCGAAGGGTGAGGATGTCGGCACCATCAACAACGACAAAGTCTGAGGACCGGCAGGTGTTAAGGACTCTTCCTTGCCGTTCGAAAGGTGGTATGCCTTGACGCCATTGATGGCGTACAAAAGCTTGGGGTCCTGTTTCCGAAGTCAGTATGGTTGTGATGGTGTCGTTTGGTGTTTTCGGTGCCGTACGTTGTGTCCCGAAGCCATGGTACTGTTCTTCTTGCGCAGAGCAAACGCGGGGTTGCTTGAAAGTTGGCCGCTTCAGATCAGGGTAATTCAGGTCTGGCCGTGCAAAACAACGACTGGGAAGCGCGGTGTCTCGGATTGCGACAGGCGCAAAACGTTCGAAATTGAGGGGTATCTAGGTGTGAAAGCGCCGGCGCGGGGTGTTTGAGGTCGATGTTTTGTGAAGCCGGGAGGATTATTCAGAGGTACGATGGAGGAAGGACTGCAGGTCGGTGGTAGGTTAAGGCAAGGTACGTTAAGCGATGAGGGAAAGGTGACGAGGAGCAGAGACGACTATTATTCGCCGCGCGAAGATCTGTGAGACTTGTGACGACTTTTTGAAGGGTGTGTGTGGTGTGGTGTGGTGTGGTGACGGAGCCTTCTGGTTGGATTGGATGGTATTGAAACAGCTTGCATTGGCGCTTAAGCCGGTGCTGTCTCTTTCTTTAGTCGCCGGCTGTCACTGCTTCCTCGCTCACTCACTCGCAGCTTCCAGGTTGTTGGTGCTCGAGAGGCCTCTCAGCGGCGAGCTATCCGACGTCATTGGATGTGGACATGTTCCAGGTATTCCCCAGTCTCGGTCCCTTGTTGCACAGTCCACTTCCACCGACTTAAGCTCTAATCAGCATCGCACCACGCACTCAGTAAAGTTGCGATAAACGGGACGACATCGATATTGACGGGCCCCTTTTGCCCCTCACCTCAGTGTCCAGCATCGGTGTTCGTTGCGTTTGGGGTTCCAGTTGCTTGCACAGCCACTCTTCAAACAAGACGAGTGGTGAAGAAGCTGAGGTCCGACCATATTCGTTAGGGTCCTCTTAGGTTCCTGGAGTCCTCTCGGCAGCTGTCACTGCACTGACACACCCCCATGTGTTTTCTGGCGCGCCCCACTTTCTCCGGCTCTAAAACCGCTGTGAAGGACAGCTTAAAGGTACGTATCCCTCCTCCAATTCCCTCGCTACCAGCCCACCGTCGTCATCTTTTGCCATTCAACGGCCAAAAGAACGGTTGAGACACGTCCATCACCTGTGCCATGGTCCAGACCTGTCTCTGATCGGCATGCTATTCGCCTTTCCGGCCAGGGAAGCTATCAGGCTCGGGGGCGAATTCGCGAGAGCTTTGGCAAGAGCTCGGTCGAGTCAATTTAATCGTCCCGGCAAGCAATTTTCGAGGTGGGCAGTGTAAGTCACGAATACGGGGCCATTTGACTGAATGCTCCGGAGCCAAGATCAAATCATTCTCACATGGAAGACCCTCGATATTTCCACTTCCAGGTTGTGACTGGACATTCTCCACACAACAAGTCCGGCGCCTTTTGATAGCTAGTAGCCTACCTTCGTCAACAGCCTCCTCATCCAACAGTCTCGGCACATGGCGATGGCGCAGCTGACTACTAAGTTCAGCCTCGCCGCATGAAGGACAAGCTGTCCATTCTCCTCTCAGAACGCGCGTCGAGGCTTGCGCATCGCGTCTTGGCATCTCCGACTGTCTCTCGGGCGAGACTTCCCCGATATCTCTGGACCGATTGCGTGGCCAATATGATACAGCGTACAACAACACCTGAGAGGAAAGCAACGCGCAACTGCCGTTCACTTACCTGAGAAGATCCGATGTCCTAACAGCCAAAGCTCGACTTCGCCACTACCCCAAACTGTGGCTTGCTCGTGTGTAATCTGTCTCGTTCAAGACACTAACGACATCGTCGCAAACTTTGTTTTGCAGCTTAAGTCGACCTCGAATTTGCCTACTGCAGAGGCTTCTTCAAATCTCCTCAAAATTCACATGAATTGATTGATCGGATAGTTACTGCAAATGGGCATCTGCCTCATCCATGCCATTTTACGGCATACTCAACTGACTCAGTCATGAACAAATGACTGGATTCTGATCAGTATTGGAACTCTTGATGGCAATGGTATCGTCACGCAAATCACATTCACCAACAGAACTCCTTCACCCTTTAGATTCTCTACACAGCATGTTTCCTGGCACACCGCTGAGTTTTTAATTCCCGTCCCTTCGTTTTTTCATCTAAGCAACGTGACAACCATGCCTGGGTGGTATTGAGAAGAAACTATAAAAGTAGAAGTTGTAGGACCAGCTGCATGTCTTTCGCCATCGTGGACTTGTAGGGCCTTTCAAGCGATCGAGAAAATGACATTCTGGTTTCTCGAGATGGCTGTTCGTAATTGCTGAAAAACACGACACGGCGGCCAGATGGGGCCGCTGCGGAGGTCGTTCACTTCGACGTATACATACAAGACGATGATGGCCGACGATGATTAAAGCGATTAGACGACAACCTGAAGCTCTCAATTGCTAATATGGACTTTTATGCACTTTCCCTGGCGATGCTGATGCAAGGTATCACGACATTGCGTTCGCGAAGAAACCCGGTTACATCGTGCCGGCGTCATTGAAGATGTCGAACTCACCATAGTCTTTTTATATCCTAGGACAATCGATATCCTGGCGCGTTGTTTGCTCCTCAAATCTTTCATGAGTTGTCTTATGTCATAGTTCTGTGTATGCTGGGTTGCGAAGAGTCACAGGCATGCAAAGTCGATCTGCTATGTAGCCATGTTTTCTGATGTACCGGTCATCCTATGGCTAATTTGCAGCCATCGGGAGATCATCTATAACATGATAAACATGTAAAAACCCCGAAGAACTGTGTTGCAAATAAGCCGGGCATGAGCTTTGGTCGGGTCGACTTGATAGCTGGAAAGAAGGTGCTGGTAGCCATGCTAGGCCTCTCGAGCCAGCCGTCTAGAAAACTCGACCAGGCTTCGACTTCACTACCCATGCCTCGTTGGGTATGGCGAGATATCAGTGACCAGATTATAAGGGTGGCTGCATTGTGTTGCGCGGCATATTGCATTTGTTCACTACCTATGCATCTGGTTGTAAGTAGCCTGCAACTTTTGTTCTTTAACCTGACATGGGGAAATTCTATGTACCTAGTCTACGTCTTTTAACTCGATGCCGCCCTTCGTTCAAACCTCTCTCGTCAGGGGAAGTGTGAACAACCCCATCACCCACCAACTCCACATCATGAACGACAGACGGTCCTTCTTCGCCTCCCTACAACATAGCACTCTAGCAGCCATGCAGACACCAGAAACGAAGACAATAACCTGAGCAAGAAACACTGAGCTCCAGTACCACGGACAAATGAGAGACCAGAACACCACCCCAAAGGCCACACTCAACCTCGTGAACTCGTCCCCAAGAACCACGGGAAAGGTATGTCTCTCACGCGCCTTATCCCCTTCAAAGTCCTTCAAGTCCTGAATCTGAATCGTCGTGCCCACCACCAACCCCAGCAGACTCAACCAAGCATACGTCGCCGGCAAGATCTCGCCGGGCCCGACCCCCGCCGCAAGCTTCAGCGCCGCGACTCCGTACACCGGATACGCCAGCCCGTTGATGACCTGCCTGATGAAGAAGTGCTCGTCCGCGCCGCCCAGGTCGTTGTAGTACGAGCTCGCGCAGATACAAGCCAACGTCTCGGTGCCCACGCCGAGCTGGAACCCGACGCCGAGTGTCAGCGGGATGACGCCGAGGAGCAGGTGCTTGGCCTGGGAGGCCGAGATGCGGCCCGCTGCGATCGGGCGCCACGGCTTGTTCATGGAGTCTTCGAGGACGCCTGCCGGATCGCGCTGGTTGGCGACGGAGAGGACGAGGATGTTGAGCCAGAGCCAGAGAATGAAGCGGGGGAGGTTGGAGAGGATGGTTACGGCGGAGGCCGCGGTCGTTGTCAATGGCGTCCCGACAACGGCCGTGAGGATGCCCAGGGCCATGATTGGGATGAGCATCGTCCTGATGTCGCTGAAGGTGAAGAGCCATAGTGTGTGTAAGTGGTAGCGTAGGGTCGTGAGGGTGTGCGCAACTTCGTGAAACCGAGACTCCAAGCTAGTATGCTTGATGGAAGGAGATGTTGACAACATGATGACTGTCCTTGCCCTGAGCCACAGCTCCGGATGAAGACGAACCTAAGGTATAAGATGTTGGATAAAACGACTGACACAGGAAACAAAATCTTTCGATTCGAGAGATACAGGTTTATATGTGGTATGGTGCGAGAAACGATTGAGTTATGATTGAGGTATTCCTGTCCGTTTTTTTAAACCGCGAACAGATACTGTATAATTGTTACCTGCCGCTCGTGTTGACTGCCTTAGTGCCGGATAACCGTTTATCGCGGCTGGTATCGCGGTAAATTCTTGGTGTTTAGACACTAACACCGATTAAGGGACCAGCTCAGCTGGCTTCGAGGTTTCAGCTCCCACGAGGACACCACGCGCATCGCAAGCCCCGAGAGATGCTAGTGCATTGTGGCGGCCCGGTTCGCTGCTGAAATGCAGCTATATATATGTATCCGCCGTCGGCGCTCCCGAGCGCTTCGCTGTCCCAGTCCCACGGAAGAGGAACGTGTCAAATGCCCAAAGGTCCTGACGTGTCCGAGAAGGCGACGACGATGGGTAGCCTATCATCCTGCCGGAACGCCACCCGCTCGCCACGTCGAGGTCGACGGATACGCGAGCCTCTTTTTTTGGCGAGGTCGCAGGTCAGAGCATCGTGCTCAGTTTCTCGAAGATGATGATTGCCAATCCAATGGTACACTCCACCGCGATTACCTTGGCGACAGGCCTGGACGTATTATCGAGGTATCCGGTCAGGGTAATCCAGGGGATGAGAATGACTATGGCAGGCGACAGTAACCATTGAGGAGTCGACATGATCTGTCCGCCCGGCCGAAACCCGAGCCATGACAAGACCGGGATGGCGCAGTACTCCTTCATGAACCGGCAGCTCTCCCAGTGCACGGTAGGCCAGGTATACAGCGTGATGAAGAAGGCCGTGTGCTCCACGAGCTGTTTCCATGTCGGTCGTCTCTTCTTGTGGTTTTGGGAATCGTTGACGATGTTGTCTTCCCGAGGTGTGGCATCGGTGTCTTCTGCCTTCGAGATTTGTGAGGTTGTTCCGTTGTCGGCAGCGGACGACGCCCACGTGTCCCAGATGACCTTGCAGATGGCGATGTAGACCAAGGTGTACTTTGCTTGTTGGTTGAAGTCTTCCAGGAGAGCGCGGACGGGCTCGAGAAAGCGGATGAGCGACGTCGCTGCGGTGCGGGCGGCTTCTGCGGCGTCGATGGCCCCGTAGGCATCGGTAAGGTTGTCTCTGAATGAAGACCACATCTCGGCTGGACCTTGTTGCTTTTCGAAGGATGGGGAAATTTTCAAACCGAGAAAGCGTTGTGAAGGGTGCCTTCTCTATTTAACCTCAGGGGAAAGTCCTACTCTCAAGGCTTGACAGGTCCACGGGGCCTTCCATGGAACTTGTAAGAAGAACCCATACACATGTCGTGAGGCTGGATACCTTTGCGTCTGCCATCCATATGTATAAAACCTAACTCTCAACCTTTCTCCTCTAGCGAAACTTCTCTTCACGCCTCGTCGCTAATCCCGCTCTCATCTCCGAACCATCCACCAGCGCATTGCGTGCTTCGTTAGTCATTCCCAGCAACCCGATCGTCAAAGATAACATGTTATCCCAACGCGACCTGGAAGAGAAGCAGCGCCTGTGCCCCAGGCCATGGGGCACCCTCGACCGCTTACCGAGAGAAATTCTATTCCACATCATGGGGATGGTTTTGAACGGCAGTGTTGAGGCTGTGCATGACCGTCTCGACGTCCCGCACGTCTACCCCAGCATGGCTCACATCCTCACCCGCGTGAATAGTGCGTGGTTCGGTTGGGGCGTTCCGTTCGTCTGGGAAAAGGTCAGAATGCGTTGTTTCACAAAGATATTCAGACCGAGGCTTCGAGTCTACTCAAACTACGTTACCACCCTTTACGGTTGCGATACCAGCCTGTATGGAGGCCCGGAGGAGATACTCGGGGCGTTTGACTTCCCGAACATAAGGGCCATCAGACATCTCCGGTTAAATGACCAAGAAGATGCCTACGTGAGCATAATTGCAGCAAAAGTCAACGACGTTAAGGAACTATCCATCCGGCTCGATTTCAATTGTAACCCTACCGACGCACCAAAAAGAATTCTGAAATACATCTCACTTTTCCCGGGCATCGAAAGTCTAAATATAAGCGGAGATTACTTGGGATGCCCACATGCACCAAAGGTGCTGGATGGTATTCTGCAACTAACATCGCTGACCCAGCTCAAGCTGAGCATCCGGTGGCGTGACGTGAAATCATACCGTTGCCTCTCTCAGCTATCAAAACTTACCCGGCTTGATATATACTGCCTGCCAGACTCTTGGCCTGGCGAGCACAATAGTGCCCAGTTCATCCCTGGCTGGGTCGATCGTCATGGAACTTTGAGAGAAGCGCTGGAAATCATCAAGCCGCTAGAAAACCTCCGGCGTTTCTTGTTCCGAACGCTGTCGAGGGTTACTATCGCGGACGTGGAGGCGTTTTTTGAGGGGATCGTACGGGAGAAACCGAAGCTGAGGGAACTCTCAATACAACTGGAGCATTTTTGCAATTTCATGCCGCAAAACTTCGGGGCCTCATTGACACAATACAACTCGCCACTAACTAGGCTTGTGGTGTACAGCGATGGGTACGATTGCTGGGCTGAGGATTGGTTCACCCGGATCTTTCCTAAGCTAAAGCTCTTCACTGTTTTTAAGCCCGAGAAGGTCTTTGCGGCCGAGGAGGTGATTGGCATGGATTTCCGGTCTGTAGTTTAGAACAGGAGCCGGCTCTTGTGTGATGGCGGCGGCGGCGGCGGTGCTCATCAACGCTGTGAAGTGAGCTGGGATGTATTTAATAAGATCATTACACCGTCTCACCAGGCAGATCAAAACCACTCAAACATGAACTTCGGGATTTGTGTACACTTGGGCCCGTACGCGATCGAATTGTGACCCGGACGTGGCCCGGCCCAGAGCCAGACGAAGTTCGGGGGCTGGTGCGGTTGGGCGCATATTCGGCTACTACAAGAGCCTCCTCCCTGCAGATTTCCTAGAAGATCACATGAGAGCTCACAGATCTGCTCAGGAGAAGGCTCGAAATCCTGCTTCGGGTGTTACGCATAGTCGTTGACGTGAGCTCTCACCACCAGAGAATTCCATGTTTCATCAAAGTAAGCCTTCTACAACACCCAGATGTGCATGGAAGTGCTAACGGCATATTTATCCTCAGGACTGAATTGCCATGGACCAAGTGCGGTCGGAGAGATGGTCTGCGGCCGGCATTAGTTCTAGTCCGGGCCAGGCAGCAAGCGAAGACGGCGCTTGCTACGAGGTCTCGCACACCAGGACATGTGTAGGCCAGACTCTATATAAGAAGTTGCACAAGCCCCAGAGGAAACGATTATACTGCCTGTTAACCCTTGGAATCTCTCTCGCCATGGAGGCTTCGGCGCTGCCGTCTCAACGTCGGCAGTTTGTCGGGAGGCTTGTGGAGCTAGCGCCGGCGACGGAGATCGTCTGCCTCGGCGAAAGGGGGTAGAATCTAGGGCGATGCCGATCGTCCAACAACATTAAGTAACGCGAAATGCGGCCGCGGAAATACCATCCAAAGTTCCAGCAATCGTAGACGAGGAAATCTTTTGGAAAGCCGACCTGGAGGAAAGTGGTGTTCTCAGGCTTCGATGTCTTGCTAATAGAAAAGGGACGCTGTGCAGCTCCCAGTTCACCAATATCAAGCAGGCAGAGCACCTGCCGGATCAAAACTTTGAGCGTCATTGATACCTATTGAATGGCTTGATTGACAGCACATAACGTTCTACGAGCTGATTCTGGAGACATCATAAGGGGGCATCGACGATGGAAATGTAGCGGTAAGGGTGTCCGCGAACGTAACAAAACCAGACTTGGCAACTTGCCGTCTGCCGCTGGTGTCGATGCCGACTACAATCGATGGTTCGAACCATCGCGAAAGGGCTCGCTAGGGATGGTTGCCAACCCCTTCATCTAGTTCGCAACATTTGCCGGCCGAGTCACGCAAGAGCCGGACCTCGGAGGGCGGGAAAGACATTTGCATATAGCACTACGGGCACCAGTTTCCGAGATCCTCGTTGACGTTACTAAGCCATTCAAGGTCACGAAGTAAATGGAAAACATCACGACTATTCACGTACAGTCGGATACGATTCCAGTTTCGTTGTTGTGATCCAAGTCTGAAGTAATGGAGAACCAAAATTTGTTAGTCTAGGAAAGTCTTCGCCCCTCGGAGAAGACTCGCAATCAGTCAAGCTGTAGGTAGGATGACGGCGGAGACCGCAGACAGTCTTCCACCTAGGAATGAACCAGATTGATGCCTAGTGCTGTAGACAACAGAGATTGATCATGCCGGCGACTGAGCCGTCTTGATCGTGACATGCTAGAGCCTGACCGCAAGCCGCCAACCCGGTAGGCGAGCATCGGCAATCATACGACATGCTTTGCCAATAGGATTATTGAACCGGACTTAGGTAAAGAAAGACACAATCCCTCCCCAGAGCTGCTACTGCGCAACACGTCACCGATGATAAAAGCGGCAAGTTCAAGCGCTTTTCGCAGCTATTAAGGGGCTCCAATGCCGTATAGTCTCACTGCCTAAGCAGAATTTCCACAACAGAAGCAATTCTGCGAGACCGGATTCGGGTGATGCAGTCCAATGACTGAACATTCCTCTAAATTGGGCCAGCCCTCTCGGGTCTCGTCCGAACGTATGTTGCGAAGTACTCTAATAGAGTTCTACTGTACTGTTTCTGTTCTTCGAATAGATAAAAAAGTTGTCGGTTGCGGAGTTAAGTACGTCCGCAAAGGAAACGTCCAGTGATGGTGGCTGGTCAAGGGACCTCTGTTCAAGCCACCACCGGCATTTGGCATTGGATTCGATCGAAAACTGTCGAGGTATCTTAAGACACAACCCACTCAGGGCGGAACGAGTAGTTGAGCAATGCTAAAAACATGTGGCGGCTGCCACTGTCTGAGATCAGCACATCAACCGGACAACTTCCATTGCGGTTAAGTTGTTGTTCTTTCCTAGGATGGGAAACGGGCAGTTGCTCATTGCGTGTCTTAACCTTAAGGGCGCCTGTTCCACCTATTCGGAAAGGCTTGGCATCGGTCGGTTGCGCAGGTCAGGGCGGTTGAGGTATCGTGGATCTAGCAAGGAAAGTTGAATCGTTTTGAACGTCCCCGGAAAACGATGACGTAGGGTGGATCGTGTGACAAAGATGATCGAGGTCTGGCCAGCAACCGGCTACATCCATTCGAGACGGAAAAGCGATGCATTGGAGGACCGTGTTTGCAAAAGTCGATGACAGCTTGAAGGGAGAGAGAGTCATGTGGGGTTGTTCGTTTTGACAACATCTCTCCACAACCGCTTGGGTTTGACTAGGGTTGACGATGTCGTGACTTGAATGCCCACCGTGCAATTTTTGAGAATATCGCGCCCGTATCCGTACTCTGCTAAGGCAGTCAGCGAACGAAGGACCTCAACAAGGGAACAGAACATTCTTGAGAGGTACAACAACGACTGCTGAGACTTGGGGGTCAAACAGGAAGATGCTGACTCTCCCTGTCGACACATCTTTTCCTCGGAAAAGCAGAGGGTTCATGGTTCTACCGCGTGACGGACATCAGCAAGGAGACCACTGGCTGCTGCCAATTGTGAGCCTATCCTGCCGTTTACTCATATCCGTAGATTGGCACGGGGGAAGCGAGGCAGAGACAGCCAACGCAGCTTCGCGGAATCGGGCTTTCCGTCCGTCGTCCGGCGGGGACCGTCCACCGCCTTTGTGACTGACTGCATCTCGCTTCGACGACGAGCGGGAGGCTGCATGGAGCAATCTCTCAATAGTCCCAGGGCATCTTCTTCTGAGTCGATCATTTCTGGGGAAAGAGACATTTCGACCGGACGGGGGTGGCCACGTCCGCAATCATGTTTCGGGCTGGGCGGGCTTCTTGGCCATGCGCTCCAGAGGTAAGGTATGTCAAGATTGATTGCTCGATCGGAAAAGAAGTGGTGTAATAAGATAGTTAGGCGTCGTTGAAAAAAGTACGTTGCACGAACTCCCGTCGATGCTGTCGACGTTGCCTCAGTTGGACCAGCTGGTTGCACCTGCCCCGCGCGGTATGTCACTGCTGAGGCAGGAACGCCCCTTCCCCCTCGTGCCTTCCTTGTGAGGATGATGAGGGCCAAGATTACATAAGGCGGGAGCAATTGCCGATTTCCAAAAGCCCGAGGTAAAAATGGCAATCCCAAAAAGGCTTACGGCTACATACGACGGTTGGCATTCACTGTCTCTTCATTTTGTGTAACCATCGTTCGTTGTCTCTCCCTGCGAGACATCCAAGCATTGCTGTTCTAATGCTAAATTACAGACCGCCTATTGGACCGCAGCGTACTCCGACAGCATTCCATCCACCCCGACCCTGAGCTTTTGACTTGGACTTCAGCGTTGCCTCGTCTTTCCATCTTTGCCAAGCACGAAGAGCTGAGACAAGGGACGTCCAGCTACGCCTCCGACCAACTTGTCTATCATCTCCCTCGGCTTCCTTCGTCCCGGCCGACAGAGTACTCTCTTGGACGACCTAGAGAGAGAAATAACCGCCTATTTGGTCGAAATGACTACCTACCAAAGTTCCCGGACAACTGAAACGAGTCGACGACTGAAAGATGGAAACTGGGAACCGGGACCTGTTCAGACGGGCAGATCCGCCGCCAACGAAGCCCAGGACAGCAAACACGCCAGGATTTACCCTGACAATTGGCCTTCTCATTGCAGATTCAACCAGCCGGATTCCCATACATAGTACAATTCCGGACGCTTGCATACTACGGGCACAGTACAGCCTTTCAGCAAATCATATCCGTACGCAGATTCAGATCATCGCTCTCTGGAATCTGCTCGGCTAACTGCCGGGTGACGGATATCGAATGGGGTTTACCGATTGCTTTCTTTTCAGTTTCATTTCGATTGGCCCATGGTCGCCGCGTCCGACGTTGATTTCTGACCTGTCAACTGGGCTGGCAAACCAAGAAATCCAATGGCATTTAGCAACTCAAGCGCTGAATGCTGCGATACCACCCTGCAAATAAGCCAGCCACCGCCGCCCCTGCCCCCCGCGCATCCTTGCTGTAAGACGGCCAATCGACTCGTCAAGTAAAGAGAGATCGGTCGATTTCCAGCCCGGGACCAGGGCATTCTGGGACACGGACCGAAGTGTGAGAAGCAAGGCCAACAGAGATAGACTCGCCGTCCCATCCCTCCCGTTCAGGGCCGGGACCACTCGTTGTCGAGCGTGACCGCCCCAACTTCCAGCAGCAGCATTGAACACCCTCCAAGCGCCAGCCCCAGCCGCCATGGATGCTTCGGCTGCGTTCCACGCGGCGCGGGCCATGACCGGCATAGGTAGGCAACGCAGCAAACGTTGCTCCATCTTATCGTCTTGCCCCGGACCTAACAATCTGTCACCTCCCGACCTTAGTTGGCGGGCCACTCCCGTGCCCTCCCGAGCCACTCTACCTAGGCGCCAAACATCGCTGACTGATCAGCTTGGAGACGTCTTCGTCTTCTGAACAAGAGCCTCTGGCAGCTGAAGAACGGATACAAGTAGCATGCCTGCTGTGATTGCGAATCGGACAGGGGTATGATGGCGCAAGAGGATGTCTGCTCTCTTCGCTCCTCAAGCCGGGCATGGGAACAGAGAGAAACTCCGGTCAAACTGCCTTGCCGATCACTCGTCCTCTGCGCCCCGTTGTCTATCATGAGAATGCAGAGGTCTTTTGGCCTGACCGGCAGACGCCCAAAGAGCGACTCAGGAAAGGTCTAGAACAGGGCCTGGACACCGATTGCAGCCTTTCAGGGCCTTACGACAAGCCAGCCTCGGCAACGTCAGTCTCACGATGCTTTCGCAGCGTCTTCGAACTCGCCAACGTCGATGCTTTGGGATTTGTTGCCATTCTCCTCCGCTCATCGTTTCACTACAGCCGTTCCCGCTCCTCCGATAAAACTGTTGGAATAAAGATCGATGTGCCAGGGTTGAAGGCAGAAGTCCCCAGCCATCCTTCAGGCGGGGCAGCCCGGGATGAATCCCAAACCTGGGTCTATCTTGCCTGATTGTGCCTGCAAGTAAGGCAGCGGCAGGTGACGGTCAGATACGAGCAAATGGCCCCGGTCAAGAGCACAGAAATACATCGTCTGGGTTCTACTACGCAGGCTCTGGTCACGCGGGGACACTGGAAACCTAAACCCGAATGCACGCGAGATATTCGGCGAACTTTCTCTTCGTGCCGTCGAACAGGGTTGCTGATATACAGACTTCACGTACACAACTTTGTGTGTTTCGCCATCATAGATGACGGCTCACACTGCCCGGATATCTTCCCAGCACCCTTGCTTTCTTTCGACCTTGACTTGGGGTCTGTCTGCTGCGTATGTGCATATGCACCATGTATGCAGCGACCCTCTCCCACCAATGTCTGCTTCATATTCATTCTACGCGTGGGGTTGATGAGAGACATGGGGCCCTGGGTGCGAGGGGCGTACCGGCACCGCACCGCACGACGCGCCGCTTTGGAGAGGGCAGGTTCGGTTCCCTCGACTGTGTTCTCAAACTGTTCCAACTGTGTCTCCATACGACTACTCTAACAGAACCAGCAGCCCGGGCGACGGCATGGGAGCGTCGAGGCATGTAGCCTCAAGTCAGACATTGTCAATCTAGGTCATGCTAGCGAACAACACATGACGGGGGAGGGCCAGAGAAACAAAGCCAGATATACAGAGCCCGAGAGAGAAGAAATCGAGCGAGAGAGAGACAACAAGCAAGGGAGAGGCGGGCCAACAATGTTAGTCGGTGACGCCCGGCACACAGTCGAATTGGGCCGACAGCAACACGGCCAGAGCCTGCCAGCACTTTTCACCCTCCCTGCCCCGGCCACCACGTCGTGGCAACGTGAGTTTTGGACCACCTCATTCACTGCTTATTGCTCTAGTCGGCCGTCCACCCCCGATTAAATTCGCAATCCTACTCCTCTGATTCCTTGCGAATCGCATCCTTCCGCTTTTCTTGCGCGCGCATGCTTCTCAATCGCCGTCACCCGCGTCTGTTCCGCGATACTCGTTATTCTCGACCCATACGCTCAGTAGTCGTCATATCGGCGGGGATTCAAGCAGAGAGAAACCCTTCGATATCTACACCTCCACCGAGCAACCACTAGCTTCAGCCCTCCACGGCAATTCGTCACCCGTTCCCCAGCTCCGAGGACGTACGACGACACTCATCTGGCCATCCGATCAGCCATCCCAGGAACATCTGCAACCCTGACTTCGTTCACTCACTTATCGCCGACCAACATTTGCGCGGCGTGCTGCAGGTCTCTCGTGTACCGCCTGAAGCAAACACCCGTCGGTTGCAGACTGTCGACAACCACTGCCTATTCGCCCGTGCCACTCGAAGCGCGCCTTATTTAGCTCATCTCGACAATCTCGGTCTCAGTCGTCCAACTCTTCATTTCCTGCCGTCCTTCCTCGCCGATTCACTCTGTCACGAGATCAGTCACCGTGGACCTACGCGGGTTTTCCAGGAGGGGACAGTGGTACTTGGTGCACCAACTCATCTTATCCGGGCCTCACCTCCCATCGTCAGTCACCCCTCACCAGCTTCACGGGTCTATAACAGGCCCGAACCGTCACCATTTCAGCTATCTATCGCATCGAGTCTATCCTTTCTCCCGAGAACGCTGATGACTCGCGGACGGTCTCTTCTGCCCAGACCACACCAAAGAGGAGATTCCAAGAAACCTTTTCGCCATCGGAAACCACAGCTGGACCACCCCCGCCCGCCATAGGGGACCATCCGGATAGGCAACCTTTGGCCGGGTTCAGGTCCAGTCAATCCTCTGCCGCGCCCGACGATGATGAGTCGAGGCCGTTCTTCACGGGCGTGACCGTTGTCCCGAGCAGTAAGAGACCCTCAAGAGCCATGAAGCCCCCGATGAGGTCCAGCATAGCTTGCCAGAGGTGTAGAAAGTCCAAGATCAAATGCGACAACGACAACACTGGATCGCCTTGCGAGACCTGCATCAAGGCCGGCCACAAATGCGAATTTCCGGAACCCACGCCTTTACCGGCTAAGCGGGCAGAACCGCCGACCCTGCCAAAGCAAGATAGAGAAGCAGGCCATGACCGGAAGCGCGTCAAAAAGCTTGAGGATTCCTTCCAGCTCGATGCAACCGCAAAAGCCGAGGAAGTCTTGTCGATGCCATTCTTGTCCGGGAAAATATGGTACGAACTTTTCGACATCTACAAGCTGCATTTCGCCACCGAACTCCCGTTTCTGCATCTTCCGACCTTGAAGAGTGTCATACACGACAAAGAGATCAAGAAACCATCAGCAGATGTCAATTTGGTCCTGCTGGGCATCTTAGCCCTCACAGCCAGGTTTCAGCCCGACGTGGTCAAGTATGTCGCACACCAGATCCACGATAAAGTTGCCGGCCCGAAATCTCGAGGCGCTCTTCCAAGAGCAGATCCTTCGACTGCCTCCGAATACTTTGCACAGTCTCTCACGGCGGCTCTGGGGCCTCTCGAGTCGGCCTTGACTTCTGCTTCCGTGGTTCGAGTGCAGGCCTTCCTGATGCTCGGCCTGTACAAGTGGAGCCAGCCCTATGGCGGTTTAGCAGCATGGATGTACGTTGGAGTAGCCATCCGGATGGCCCAGGGCTTGAAGTTGGGTTTTGGCGACAAGCCTCTTCGTGGGAAGAGGCCGTCTCAGCTTAACAAGCGGATATTGCCTGAATCATGGAAGGACCTGGAAATTAGACGGCGCACAATGTTCAGCTGTCTCATTCTAGATCGCTTGTTATCCTGCGGTTCTGAGCGAGTTTCGATGGTCCGATCCGACGATTTACAAATTCAACTCCCGTGTACCGAACACGCCTTCGATCTCGGCCGTGCTGTTTATACAGGCTTCCTACGCCAAGTGGGAACCGAGATGGAACGCCCGATAGACGACAGCGTTCTCAGTCGATTCGTACAGCTTGCCGACTTCTGGGGCGACATCACCAAATACAGTTTCGCCGGCGGTCGTGTTACAGAGACTCATCCGCCCTGGAACCCGGACTCGACGTTTTACCAGCTGAACGCCAAGGTCGACGCTTTCTACGCCCACCTACCGGAGGAATTCACATGGTCAAGCTCAAATTTCTGGAAACACGACAACAGCATGTACGTTTCACTACACATGCTTGGCGCTCTCTGCCGGATCATGCTACACCGAGAGTATATACCCTTCATCGCCATCAAATGTGAAAAACCCGTGGGGCCTTTGGATGAGCCGGTCTTTGATCCTGCGACTGTCCCCGAAAACTTCTGGTTCAAAAGTGCAGAGCAGGTTTTCAAGGCCGGGAGGGAGATTATCGATCTGATCAAGACGTGCCGCGACAAACTCCCTCAATCGTCTCTCGTCATATTTGCAATCTGGCAGGCTGCATTCGTCGGAATCTACGCGCGACATTATCCTCAGATGGATACCGAGCACCACATGGTCAGCGAGGAAGAGATCCAAGAGCGGGCGACGGGAACGATGCAAGACGTTACCAAAACAGGTAACACGGGCATTGCGTTCAACGCTCTGCTGCGAGTTGCACCATATTTCAGCATGGCGTCGGGCTATGTAACATACTTCAAGGACATGGACCAATATTTCACCAAGGTGTTCATGGATTACTCTCAGCGAAGTGGCAGAAGAGGCGGCGATGGAGCGCTGAGTATTCGGTTGGGCGCTGGAGGAGGCGGGCTTGAGGAGTGGAGAGTGAAGTCAGACAGGATCACGAACAACGGCATCATCATGGACGAAGACCGGTCGATGGGATACGATGCTTCCGACGGATCGCGTGCCAGCACGCTCGAACGAAGTTCCTCGATGGGCCCCGAATACTCGCACCTCAGCGCCGACGGCAGGAGAGACTCACGGCAAGGGCCGTCGTCCTTCACCGCCATCAATACCGCTCAGTTCCATGCCCAAGCGGCGTTGGAGGGTTATCAACACTCGCCGACGCAGACGTTCGCACCAGTCCCCGGGCCAATGGGAAGCGATGGCGCCGTCAACCCCGGCCTCGGCGGCACGGATGCCAATATCGAATCGTACGTCAACCAGCATCAGGGCCAGAGACTCGGCATTGCGTTGGAGGATCTAGAGGAGTTCACGGGACAGATGGTTGCGGACCAAAACATCGGAGACTGGGGCCCTGCATTCTTCTCGCAGGTGGCTGGAGGCAACCCCTTGCCCCAGTTCAGCGAGGGCTATTCCTGAAAAGAGGCGTTGGCGGTCGTTGGAGATACCTGTTTTCCCTCATCTGCAAAATCTGGCGACGGGCGAGAGAAGCATGATCGTGCCCTTCATTGCGGTGCTTAGCTGGGCGGGAAACCATAGTATCACGAGTGCGTTTCTCCTCTTTTGGATTTTGCTTTTCTTCGAACACTGGATATGAAGCTATGACCGACACCGGCCTCACCATTTGCCCCACGGGAAGGCTTTCCCAAAGGGAGAGAGGGATAAGACGCCGGGTCTCTAATTATGTACGAGACCTTTGGAGAAGAACCTTGCCCGCCGGGAAAGCCTTCTCGGCCGGGTCATGTAAAAAGAATCGGCCGGGTCTAATTCGTTACGAGATCATTTCAATGAAGAGGTCTTTTGATGACCGACATCGGGATTTCAGTCTTCGTCAAGTCTCGGAAATGTGAATCACAATCGTCCGGAACAGACCTGATTGCGGTTGTCGAGGCAGTGTTCCAGGTATCACCGAGATTGTAGGCTTTTCGAACACGTCCATTCCTGAACCACAAGGCTGACATGGAAGCTCATCTCCCCGGAGAATTCGGCCTTGCGTAGGCTCCTCGTGGCCGCACTCGCGGCATCCGCGTGGACTTGTTCAAGACCGGCGTGGCCGGCATGTGGCAGGTCCTTCAAATTTTCCCTCGTCTTTCTCCCGGCCTTGGGAATGTTGTCTCAACCATCGACGGAATGTTGTCTAGAATGTGTCTCTTCCTTTCCAGTTACCCGGTACGCGCGCCCATAGTCATCGTGGGACACGAAGGGGTTTTCGAGGGAGCACCCGTTCCCGTTCCCGTCAGAGTGAACTAGAAAGGCTGGGCGCTTCCAGTCCCTTTGCGTACGGGTGGTTTCGTTTTGCTTGGAGGGGGATGGGATGGGATGGGGTGACTGGCATGCCCGAATTTTCATCATGATCTCATCGTGGTCACACGGTGTCGGGGGGTTATCTTGGCAAGGAGTTGTTCTTTGCTTTTTTCTTCTCTCTTTTTGGGAGGGTCTTCCGACAACTTCGGAGGACACATGCGCGCGGGGGTCAACGCCCTGCCGGGTGTACTCCGCGTGTTTTTTCTCAACCATATTTCCCTTTTTTTTTTTTTTTTTTTTTTTCTTTTTCTCTCCCGTGTCTTGACGCTGGGCAAATGAGAAGCTTGCGGTTAGAGACACAAATGCAACTCAAAAGTTTAACGTGCAGAAGAACAGGCGACCGGGTGTCGCGATTAAACCAAATCGGGCCGCCGGCAGTGCTGATGCCGGGGCGAGCACGGGGCCCGGCCCGGGCGGGATACGACGGACTCGGCGCGGGTTTGTGCAGAGAGGATGGGAACTTTGGATTGGAAAGGACTTGTCGGGTCGGCAGGCGGCGGAAAAAGCAACCTTCGTAGAAACCTGGGATAAGAAGAAAAAGGCGGGAGAATGAATGAATGGCTTGAGGCGTTGTTTATTGCCCAGGCAGCCGGCGGCACTTGTGTCACCCCAACCCGAAAATAGAACGAAAATAGAAACAAGCCTCGCTCCACTGGTCAGCTCGACGCTAGCTTGTGAGCTAGGTAGGCAGCAGAGAGCGCGCTCGAGTGAGGAGCGACAAAGCCGGGGCGCCAAATCCAACTTTGCGCATTAGGCGGTTGAATTTTGGGAGGAGCATGTCTTCCCGTGTCTTACTATCCGTTGTGGGCCGGAGACGTGAGAGCAGCGTCCCAAAGATCCCTAAACTGCGCATCGAGGGGACTTCTGTACACACAACAAAATGGCCTCGCTGAAGAGGGACCAAGATGCCAGGGGAAGGCGAGGAGTCCGAGAAGGAGTCGCGCTAAGCAGCTAAGCTTATCACGCCGGACCAGACCCTGGAAACTGGCATCAGCCCACTGCCTGCTTGGTACTTGAGACCCGCTACTGCCTGGGACTGGTGTTTTCTTTCAAACATCTGAGTCTTGCGCCGTTAAGGCCCAGCCACGTCCGTTGGCTTCCGTCGAAGAGGCGCAATACGATTGGGGAGAGGCCATCGCAGCCCCGTCTTACTGCGTCTCTTATCGACCCAAGCCCCCTCCGAGATGAAAGTGACAGTGGCCGTGGAACATTTAGTCTGTCCAGGCTGAGTCTGCCCAACGGCGGGGTTGGTCTGGGGTTTTGTTCCTTTGAGAGATCGTTGCTGGAGTTGCGGCTGAGGCTGAGCTTGGCTCCGAGGCTTCGTCCTTAGTGCGGTATCTGAGGCCTAGGGCTCTGGAGGATATATGATGGGGAAGACCGCATGTCGACAGTTCAAGTAGCTGCGTCGCTCTTTTCTCTGCATAAATCGGCCTCGTTGTTCATCATGAAGTCGTCTCTCCTAACGTCCGTTGTGGCCTTTGCAGCCACTGTTTTGGCCGTGATTCCGCCTCACGATGTTAACCGCAGATCTCTTTCCAGGCGGAATCTGGGAGGTCTCAAGCCCCGCGAACTATCCGACCCAGACGCGGTTGTCAACGGCACATTCGACCAGTTGCTTGACCACACCGATCCCTCAAAAGGAACCTTCAAGCAGAGATATTGGTTCAACGCGGAACACTGGGGAGGTCCTGGTTATCCTGTCTTCATGGTGAATGCTGGCGAGTCTGAGGCTGACGGCTACTTGTACTTTTTGAACAATGGTACGATAATGTACAAGTATGCCGAGCAGTTCCAGGGAGCCATCATTCTCTTTGAGCGTAAGTACTGGCTGACTGAACTGACCAGCGTCAAAAACCTGTACTAACAGTCAGTTTCCCAGATCGATACTATGGAAAGTCGCAACCGTTCGAGGAGATGACCGCCGAGACTCTGCAATACCATACCGTGCCTCAATCCATCTACGACAACAAGTACTTCGCCGAGAGTGTGAAGCTGAAGTTCGATAAGAAAGGGGGTGCCAATGCCGACAAGTCCCCTTGGGTGTTGATAGGTGGAAGCTACCCCGGCGCTCTTGCGGCATGGCAGTCCGTGATCACCCCGGGAGTTTTCGCGGCCCACCACGCCAGCTCAGCCGTCGTCCAGGCCATCGAAGACTTTTGGCAGTTCTTTACTCCGATCGAGCAGGCCTTGCCGCGAAACTGCTCGGCTGACGTGAAACTCGTCGTCAAGAAGGTCGACTCTATCCTCGACAAGGGCGACAAGAAGAAGATTGCGGCTATGAAGAACGATTTTGGACTTGCTTCGTTGGATGACGACGGTGACTTTGCCAAAATCCTTTACCAGCCCATCATCGCCTGGGCGGACAACAGGACGGCGGTCTTTGAGTTCTGCGATTACATGGAGACGTACTCGAACAACGGAAAAGTCAACAAGAACAAGATCAATTCGGGCGTCGGTTTGGACGCTGCGTGGGACGCTTACACGTCATGGATGCAGGGAGCTTGGAACCAGTCGTGTTCCAAGGACGCGTGTGACTGGGACACCAAGTCGGAGGCGTGGGATCCCAAGTATCTAGGCTCAGACCGCAGCTGGCAGTGGCAGCTCTGCAACGAGCCCTTCGGATGGTGGCAGGTAGGCCCGCCCAAGTCTGACGGCACCAACATCGTTTCCTCGCATATTCGGCCGGCACACGAGGCACGCCAATGCGACAAATTCTTCCCCGAGGTCAAGGGGTTCAAGCCGGCCATGACTGAGGGGTTCACAGCGGACATGTTCAACGACTGGACGGATGGCGGATGGAACGCCACGTACGACAACGTCATGTTTGTCGACGGCGAATTCGATCCGTGGAAGTCGGCGACTATGAGCTCGGATTACCGGCCGGGCGGACCGTCCAAGAGTACGGACAAGACGCCTCGGATGGTGGTGAAGGGAGGGACGCATGTTCCGGATTTTGATATCTCTGAGGACAAGGACCACGCGAGCGTGACGAAGAGGCAGTTGGAGATCATGGGCAAGTGGCTCAAGAACTGGAAGCCGAAGAGCTCGTGAAGGGCGGCCAGAGATCTGATGACGTGATGACGTGACGATGTGACGAAAATGCATTGGTTGGCGTTCGACATTTGTCTTTGCATGTATTCTCAACTTTGGGGATGCAACTTGGAGCCACAGCGACTGTAATTAATTGGTTAGATTTCTCTTGAAAGTTAAGAATGATAATGAAGACCCTCACCGATCCTCGTACAATCTGTAACAGGCAGCCGTTCGTTGAAATTTGCCGAGGTAGCTCAAGCGGAAATATTGACGGTTAGGCATGAACAATGTGGATGTAGATGTAGATGATGAGTTCTGCCCATATTCATCCAGGTCTTAAGATCCAGATACACAATGCGTGAACGATCGAGCTTGCACTTTCCCTTCTGATGGGAGGGAAAGTGCCGGTGCCGCACCTACCATATCAACCCACCTTCCCAACAAGCCGCAGCATAGGTAGGTAGGTAGGTAGGTAAGCACCTTCCTCGAACCAGACAGGACGACAGTTCATTCTCTCTTCTACCACTTCTGCTCGGTTCGGATGCAAATTGATTGCTCGATCTCTGCCTTCTCCATTACTCATCGATGTTGACAAATACAACAGGGCATCAACGACGCCTTTGAGTCATTTTGGCAATCCTTGACGATGTACCATGACCCGCTGCTACCGCCAATAGCGAGTACGACGACGAGAACGACAATGATCGAACGAGGCCATCTCGCGATGGAGGCATCGGTGCTGAGGACGACCGGACGTCGAAAAGGTCTTATCGATATCCGCCCAGCTCCGGCTCCGGCTGTGAGTAAAAAGCACCCTGCCTTTTCAACCGGCCGGATGATCTTCAGATACAGCTGATAAGCTTATCAGGCCGGGGAGGGGGCATCAAGCTTGCCTCCACGTCTGGGATGGATGGCCACGCCCAGCGTCACGGGAACCGTCCCGTCTGTGGCCCCTTATGCAAGGAACAAGTGATTCATCAGATCACCCGGACTGGATACTGAGATTGCCGTGTTGCGACAACCCGGTTGTCAACCGAACATGAATATCAATAGTTCCCGTCAATCCTCACCTTCGGAGCTGACCGAGCCTCACCGAAAACACCGGCCCCACTTCGAAGCTCCCCCTCAGATGCTCAGATACTCTGCCCGAATTCAGACTAAGCGCACATCATCGATTGCTCGGCAATGCGCGGCATAACCGAATGACAGCTCTTCAGCACGTCGTTGCTCTGTATTCCGACTCCGAAGCCCTTTCATTGAACCATCGGAAAATACGGCAAAGCTACAAATGCGCCGTGGCCTGTTTCGAGGTCAAAGTCTACCAGGGTCGGACACAACGACAAAAGAATGCCAGGCCATACACATCGAGGCAAGAACTTCCCCGCACCGAGTGTCATGCATAAATCGCGCTCTTCTTGCCCTGACTGTGTGGTCTTGCAGTCTCGTCATGATTTGTTTTCGTACGGGCCTTTTCTTACTGATCGACACGACCTGTGGTAACTCAATTAGGACGGTGCCTGGTTTACCCCGCCTCGGAGCGGAATTTGTGTTACTTGGGAGTCTTGCACGAATGCCTCGAGTGCGACCTCCGTACGGGCAATTCGACTCGACGGACGCCCTTTTGCTCTGATGTCCGGCAGAGGGAACATGACGTCGATATCCTCTCACTCTCACGCACAATGACCCGTCGTGTCGGAAGGATTGGTCATCTGGTGGGCTGAGGTCTACCAAGACGCGTCGTTGAATAGTCGGAGACCTCTCGGTGCCCCTCCCTGGTACTGGGTCTCATCCCCGCAAGGTTCAGGGAGGGCCTGCAGCTAAACTGGGCTGGGGTTGCAGACTTCTAGCCGATCTAGAAGCCCAGACCAGCCAGCTTGGTCACTATTCACACCCATACAATTCTACGCGAGCTGACCTGGCCGGTTGGTTGATGGAGCTTTTCTGCAGCTGCCTGGGAGCTATGAGCAGCTGATGGTGCAGTAGCCCAGCTGGCATTGACTTCACTGCGTTTACAGTCAGCTTCCCTACCCTACTTCACGCCTTACAACGCGTCGATGGGGACACGGTCAAACTCTCAGCTTTGAAGATTCCGACGAGCCTCAAAACGCGCATCGAGATGGTCTGAACGCCACTGAGCGAGCGCCCTCTTCGTTCGAGCCACAACTTCTGCAAACTCTACGAGAATCAATCTCGAACCTGCGCATGTGCGTTCCAAGGAAAAAAAAGCGTTCAGAGTCTTTGGTAGCCCGTCCATCCTAGCGACATGACATGTCCGGTGTCTGTCGACTGTGAGGCTCACAAGGATGCCACACAACCTTCCCTTACCGTCCAAACCTTGGGCAGCACGACGCGGAAAGCTTCGAATCAGCATCCCATTTCCCCATTCACAAGGCGCAGGTAACGGCCGTTTCCAACATTCCAGGTACATGACAACTATGTCAAATCCGGTGATCCGCGTCAAGCTCCAGCAGCGATAGTGTGGGCGCTCTTTGTGGGGCGTGGGATACGCCTCAGATGACGTTCGCTGATTTGTTCGACTGCGAACTTCTCCCACTCTCTGTCCGGGATGAAGCTGTCACACTCCTCTCTCTATCTGCACGTTATGACAAAAGGGAATTGTATCGTCTGGTACAGGCCCACGAAAACCGGTTACCTCAAATATACTTCCGAACTCAGGTCTCGCTCGGTGTCTGTTTCATACGATCCGATTTCAGTCGTTTAGTACCCTGGTTGTACACCTGCTCCGTTTGGTCGCCAATATCCCCGAAATGCATCTTTGTTCCATCAAATCGCTACACTGTGGACTAGAACGGCAACCTATGGCCTGCCGAGTCACCGGTTCCATGTCGGCATCCACATCCAACACTTGGTACACGACTCCGACCTGCCCTATTGCTAGCATGGCAATACCAACATGTATCGCCGTATGCTTGCCGGCGCCTCCGTCGGCTTTGGGGACCCAGGTACCTTTGTCGTGGTGCCTATAACCAGAAGGTACCCGTCCGTTCTTCTCGTCCCAAGCTCAAGTCGTCTTGCACATGCTACCTTCATCATCCTTCATATAAACATTGTTCTTTGTTCCCTCCCTTGTACCTGCTCTGTATTCGAACCATCAGCGTCTTGCTTTCCATACCTCGAGTACCTTTCACGATGGGTTCAATTGCTGTCTCTCAGGATAGCTTTCCCCAAGCTGACCTCAAGGCGGCTAAGCAGAATATCAACAAGTCAGTCGCCAAACATGGCGTTGACATCATCGACGTTCGACGAGTTGCGGTTGAAACAAACTTGAAGGACGACATCATTTCCATGTGGAACCCCACAAACGGACCCCGGAGGCTGCCGACCTTGCTGCTTTACAACGAACGGGGCCTGCAACTGTTCGAGGATGTAGGTGGTTTTGGGCCACTCATCAGCTCAGCCACGTCTTGCGTGATTGGCACTAACAGTTTTGCAGATCACATATCTTGACGAGTACTACCTGACCAACAACGAGATTGAAGTTCTGAACAGCTCCTCGAAAGAGATTGCGCAGAACATCTCACCCGAGTCTATGGTCATTGAGTTGGGGAGTGGGTTTGTGGTTCCCTGCTGAATGGAGACTCTTGGGGTGATTCTGACCTATCTTGAAGCAACCTTCGCAAAATCGGTATCCTGTTGCAAGCTTTCGAGGATGCCGGGAAGAGCATCGACTACTACGCTCTGGACCTTTCGCTGGAAGAGCTAGAACGCACTTTGGCGCAACTGCCCTCTTTTCGCCACGTCAAATGTCATGGCCTTCTGGGCACTTACGACGACGGCCGCGAGTGGCTGAAGAAGCCCTCAAATTTGGCCCGCACCAAATGCATCGTGAGCTTGGGCTCCAGCATTGGTTTGTTGCTCCACAGTAAATTGATGGCTCTGAAGAAGTCTGACAGCTGTGACAAGGCAACTTCGAGCGCTACGACGCCGCTGGTTTTCTCAAGCACTTCAGCGATGTTCTTGCGCCGTCAGACACAATGCTGATTGGATTGGACGGCTGTAGCGATCCAGCCAAGGTTTAGTAAGTTTCCATGGCACACGTGGACGTTATTCTGGTTGCTAACCCGCTCAGTCATGGCTACAATGGTAATTCTCCCTGCAGAGACAACTGCAACAATGGCACTGACAGTAACACATATAGACAGCAAGGGTATCACCCATCAGTAAGTCAAATCCAACTACAAGTGTTCATATGTTCATAACTAATTGTCATAGGTTCATCCTGAACGGTCTGGCAAACGCCAATGAGATCCTCGGAGAGGAAGCTTTCAAGCTGGCGGACTGGGAGGTCATTGGTGAATACGTCTACGATGACGAAGGTGGCCGTCATCAGGCTTTCTACTCCCCAGTCCGCGACACCCGTGTGATGGGAACCCTCATCAAGCAGCACGAGCGCATTCAGGTTGAGCAGAGCCTGAAGTACTCCCAGCGGGGAGCCGAGAATCTGTGGAACATGGCAGGCTTGATCGAAACCGCCCGATGGATGAAGGGCGAGGAGCACGGTGAGTGGACCAAATTTCTATGTGCAACTCAGGAACTCGGGATTTTTGGCTGCCACCCTCTACGTACATCCTGCACCCCATAAGCCTCCCCCACGTCTGCCGGCAACGTGGAGCCAATTACCCAAACAGTGGGCTTGCAGTCGCCGGATCGTAAGATGTTGGATGCGACTAGTCCCGGCAACATCTTCTGACGGACCATCGGATCCTACGCGATCCGTACAGAGCACCACTTACAAGAAGCTGGCTTTTCCAAAACAAGAAATGCTTGAACTGACATGCAAATAGGTCTTCACCTGATCTCTAAGAGAAAGATGCCTTTCAGCCTGCTTCCTGACCTCTACGCGGCTTCCCCTTGCCCTTCGCTAGGCGATTGGGAGGCTCTGTGGACAGCATGGGACGCTGTTACACAAAAGATGCTTCCCAATGAAGAGTTGCTGGATAAGCCAATCAAGCTTCGGAATGCCTGCATCTTTTATCTCGGCCACATCCCTGCCTTCTTGGACATCCAATTGACGAAGACGACCAAGAAGCCACCCACCGAGCCGGCATACTTCCAGCCCATGTTCGAGAGAGGAATTGACCCAGATGTCGACAACCCTGAGCACTGTCATTCTCACTCTGAAATTCCAGATGAGTGGCCGCCTGTCGAGCAGATTATCGCTTATCAGCAGCGTGTCAGGGCGAGAGTCCAGAGCCTGTACGAGAATGGCATCTGCAAGATCCCTCGGGCTATTGCGCAAGGCATCTGGGTCGGCTTTGAGCATGAGATCATGCACATGGAGACCCTGCTCTACATGATGCTGCAGAGCGAAAAGACGCTGCCACCCCCCGATGTCGAGCGTCCTGATTTCAAGCGTTTGGCAGACAAGGCTCGCCAAGCCCGCGTTCCCAATGAATGGCACGAAGTACCTGCCCAGTCCATCAAGATTGGTATGGACGAGCCTGCTCTTGACGCTGGCGTCAATGGCTACTTCGGCTGGTAAGTTCAAATGTCTTGTAAACCTTTGAATTGATGCTGACTCAAATAAGGGATAACGAGAAACCATCTCGGAAAGTTGATGTTCACGCTTTCCAGGCCAAGGGGCGGCCAATCACCAATGAGGAGGTAAGCAACATACACGTGAATTGGAAACGATACACACTGACACCCTCAAGTACGCGCAATACATGTTCGAAAACCACATCGAGAAGGTTCCTGCCTCATGGGCTGATGTTCACGCCAACGGCGCCAAGACGAATGGCCACGTAAACGGTGTTTCCAACGGACACACCAATGGCTACGTCAACGGGAACACAAACGGTGCGACCAACGGCGTTAACGGTCACCAAAACGGATCACCCGCGCTCCCAGACTCCTTCATCGACAACATCGCAGTGCGCACAGTCCATGGTCTTGTACCGCTCAAGTACGCCTTAGACTGGCCCATCTTCGCGTCCTACGACGAGCTCTCCGGTTGCGCCACATGGATGGGTGGCCGTATGCCCTCCTTTGAGGAGGCGAGGAGTATCTACACCTATGTTCACAACCTGAAAAAGATGGAAGCAGAGCGTACTCTTGGACGAACGGTTCCAGCTGTCAATGGGTGAGTACCCTTCAAAGGCAGAAAATTTCTCAAGCTGACATGTGCTAGCCACCTCTCCAACGATGGTGTCGAGGAGACACCCCCGAAGCCCGCCTCCCTCGAGGCCGAGAAGATTCGCTCTGAACTCTTCGCGGACCTCGATGGCGCCAATGTTGGTTTCCAGCATTGGCACTGCGTTCCCGTGACGGCCAATGGCAACCGTCTCGCGGGACAAGGCGAGCTCGGCGGCGTCTGGGAGTGGACCAGCTCGCCCCTTGCTCAGCATGAAGGCTTCGAGCCCATGCCTCTGTATCCCCAGTACACATGTGAGTTTTATTCTGCAATATTGGAAGGAGCAGCGCGTTTTCTAATTTGGCAAAAGCCGACTTCTTCGATGGCAAGCACAACATTGTTCTCGGCGGTTCCTGGGCTACACACCCCCTCATTGCTGGACGGCGATCTTTGTAAGTTTTCCCATCATCAGCCCCTGATGTGTATCCCAACTACATATTAGCAAAGACTAATCATAAGCAGCGTCAATTGGTACCAGCGCAACTATCCCTACGCCTGGGCTGGCGCTCGTCTCGTCAGGGACATCAACTAATCCCCGCGTCGCCGGCTCACTTTTTGTTCGAATACTGTACCACCACCATCTTTAATCTTGCTTGCTGAAAGCTCAGCCCAGAAGTTCAACAACTGGCTTTTCTCGTGGACAACTCAACGTCGTCTTCTACCAACTCTCCTTCCGTCATGGTCGTCACCAAAAGCCGGCATGTTTGTCTTTGAAACCGCAACGGGGAGTTCTTTCGTGGGGTCCAAGTCTGGAATCTTTTAGGCCTCTGTATTTCTTCAAACAGCTTCACTCTCTTCAAGTAATTGGCATGGATTAGGGGTTACATGTAAGGCGTCGGCCATAGCTGACGTGATTGCTTCTACTATCTGGTAGCAGAGATCAATCGACACTCACTATTCTTCCTGTCACCGTCCACCAATCCTGATCAGTCATCGAAACCCATCTAGAGAGAATATTGTGATAGTCTAACGTATCCCTTCAGATTTTGCTTATCTGTGTCTCCTTATCGTCCTAAGTTCTCCTTACGCACGATGTCCTATTTAAAACTTATGCCGTCTCTTTGGTCGTCCTCTCCATCCAACAACCATTAGCTCCTTTTCCAAGCGTCGCGGAGATTGTCAGTTCTAACGACGATCATGTGCTCTGGGCCTCAACTCTAGAGCGTCTGCATCACTCAAACGAACCTTAACCCACGATTATTTGCGAAGAAACTACGACAGGCAACAGAGACAACGCCAGACGCCGCTGATGTCTTCCGCGTTTGCTTTCTTGATGTAGTCATACTACCGCGGATAAGCACCCCAGCTTCGACGATACAATTAGGCGAACAAGATGTCGCCCCAAACGACACGTCCGACCGTGACGGAGATACCATGCTTTTGGGTTGGTATCAAATCAAAGGCTTCTTACACTGTGGTTTTATATCGAACGATTGTAGATGTGCGATGTATTTCGAAACCAGTTCCCTGAATTGACAGATGGCAAAGTAAGTATGTTATTAATGACCCCCAGCCTTCCGCCAAGAGTGCATAAAGGGCGGTCTGGTTCTCAGAGCGCCAGAGCTTTCGAAACGGCAGCGGAATCAACGACGTCCGTCACTTTGATGCTAAAGTCGAGCTCTTTTACGTTTTTGGCTTGTAGAAGACAGCCAACATAACAGTGACCGGCCTCGAATGCGAGATTATGGGATTTCGGGCTTGAATTGGGTCTGTCTGGCGAGTATACACCCACGAAACAACAAAGGATGACGAACAATGGAGGAGCTTTGGTTATCGTTGCCGAGTCTTAACCAAGATTTACGGAGTACTCAACGGACTGGAGCCATCGTCGGAAAGGTCATCTTGCCTCGGCGGAAGCTCTGCACATTTTGGGAGTTTACCCCTTCTATGCCGTCTACAGTTTCTCAAATAAGCTGGGTTTGATATGCATATTTCGCAAATTCGTCATACGGGTTTACATTCCTATATAAACAGAGGATGGCCCTTTGGCTACTGTATAGCCAAGTGAAGACCATCCAAGGGAAACCCATCCAAACAACTGTCGGCGACTTGCGTGCCATTGAGCCATCTCTGGTTCGGGTATCAGCCGATGTATCTTCAGAACATTGGGGCGCCATCTTGAGGCTATTCGCAAACTGTATAAGAGGCAATCGACAATAGGGATTGGCAGAGACTGGTTGAAGCTGGTCAATGAATCAACGTGAACTACGATGCATCTTGTATATGCGTGAGAATCATTTATCTCTTCGCTTCTTCAAGACGTACCCTCTGTCAAAGGAAGACTCGAACCACATACACGGCGATGTATTGGTGAAGGTGACAAGTACTCAGCCGTGATGTTTGCCTTTATATATACGAACACCACACAGTCCCTACGACACTTCACCAAATCCCTAGCAGATATGCCCATGCGAACGAAGGTTCTTCCTACGTGCCCGCAGGATGTCAAGTAACATACAACGAGACGTCTAATACAAACATGCCGTTTCTGCCCGATCCCTCAAGCACTCTTCAGATCCGACACATCTCCGAATGACCCCACGAAGAGAAGCATCGTAACCTCGGCCACCACCCTCACCGGTCCAGGCATCACGATGGCACACGACCAACGCGGCCCCCCCTCCTCCCTCACTTGGCGCGGAAGGTGGTAATACAGGGCGTCTTACTTACATGCATAGCTGACGTCAACCCCTCGTGGGGGTTCCCGCTGATGTGGGGTTTTTGGTGTTGGTAGTAGTACGAGGTGGCCTCGAAAAAAAGAAAAAGGAAAAATGTGAGGAGGTGAGGAGGGGCTGGATGTCAGATTCCGCAGGAAGAGAGGGGGTTTGTCACGAGAAGGAAATGTTCCCGTCATTGTCATGTATTCGACTCTCGCCCGGAACTCCGCATCGGCATTGTATGCATGTCGTGCAAACGCCGCGGCGCGCCGAAACTCTCGCGATTGCGGTTCGTGAACTGCCATGCAGGATGCTGCTGGGGTCAAAGTCGGCGAAAATGAGGGCTCTTTTTTGAACAGTAATGTATTTTTAGAGGGGCAGGCCCTGCCGGTGAATCTCTCGCGATGCCCAGCGTAGGGCGTGTAGTAGCAAACAAGGTATCTCTCTACGTGCAGCGCGGATGTACTCTCAAGTACCCTTTTCTCAACTCCACCCGACGACGGCTCTCACCGTACAAAATTCACCGTACGTATATTCATCCGTGGCCGTGGGATGCGCGTTCCCCGTTTCCCGCCCGGGAAGGCCTTCCGGAACCGTCGGCCGCTCCATGCACCTGGTGAGCCGTTTCTTCGTTCCCACAATACGGCCGGCTATGCTACCGAGGCAGATGTCTCTTGCGTCCGCGATGGAGTATGATACCAATTCATCCTCTCTCCCTGCGATATGATCATGCAACCTGGAGACGTGTAATGTTAAGTCGTCAGTCCGATTCAGACGTCCAAGCTGCCGAAGCTGCCGTAGATTTCGAGCAGCTGCTCGAACACATAGGTGGGAAGCTTGACGCCATTTTCCGTCACAAGGTACGAGATCAGGTCCGGAGGCTGAAGAAATTAGTGTTAGCTCAAACCGTCCAGGGCGAGATCGGGCTGGGAGTAACTCACAGTGTAGTCCACCGCATCTTCCGGCTGTTCGCTCGCACCAACGGTCTTGAAATCCAGCACATGCTGCTGGAAACCGAGATCCCTCTGATCGATGACCAACTTGCGCGCAAACTTGTGCGACTCGGCAGCCACATAGAACGGCAGACCGACCTGCTTCGCCAGCTTCGCGATCTGATAAGTTCCCATGCGGGAGATGATGCCTCCGTTCTGCGTGACAGCCTCGGCGCCCACGAAGACCATGTGTACCTGCCTCAGCAAGCCCAATACGTGCGCTACCGCCGGCTCGGCAATCTCAGCCACCGGGATGCCCTTCTCGCGCAGCTCCTTGACCACGCGGTCCGACTCGGCAGGGCGGTGCTCGTCGCGCACGTACACGACCTTAAACCTGACACCGCTTCCGTTCGCGCCTCCGCCGAACTGTTCCGCCGCCTTGAAGAGCAGGCTGGACACGGCGCGGGAGGCGCCGTGGGTGAGGACGACCTTGCCGTCGCGGATCAAGCGCCAGCCGGCGTCGGCAATACGGTCGCGGGCGGTGATAGCGCGGGAGGCGAAGAGGCGGCCGTTGCGCAGCAGGTGGGTGCGGACGGCCTCGAAGGACTGGTGCGGGGAGGTGTCGACAGCGCCGGACTCCTGCTGCTTAAGCGAGGAGACGAGGTACTGCAGGAAGAGATCTGTGCCGGCCTGGAGGGGCACGGGGTTTTTGACGGAGGCGTGGAGGAGTTTGGAGTGGCGCTTGACGAGGTCGAGGGTTTCGTAGACGGTTGTGGTGCCGGAGGCGTTGAGGAGGGTGATGAGGGCTTCGATCGCGGCGACGGGTTTCGTCAGGTCTGCGTCCTCGACGAGGGAGTGGTATGTCGCGACGATATCGACGCTTTGGTTCTCGGTCTCTTTGGTGCGGACGGGGAGGTCGGAGGGCGCGGTGGCGGCTGCTGGGAGTGAGTAGAGCTGTTAGTCGAGGATTCAGGATCGGCGGGAAGGACTTACGCGCGACGTCGGTGGCCATGATGGCGGTGTTTGAGAATAAGGTGCGGTGCGGAAGTGAATACACCAGGGACGGTGACAGGGGGAGACGGCAGAAGCGACGAGAGTGGTGAGGGACGATGGCGGCGGGAGACGAAAGAAGCGCCAAGGGTGGTGAGGGAGGATGCGCGACGTCGATGTCGAAGCTCGAAATTTTGGCCAGTGACTCAATTCACATGGGCGTACTGGAGCTTGTGGTGGTGGGATGGATTGATCGCTCTGATTTGGCGGGGTAATTTTGCGACCTCACCACCCACCATTGCTCGAAGGCGGGGCCCATGTCCGATATGGGGCTACTTGACATCATCACCATCTTCCAACCGAGTTCCAAGGTATCCTTCTATCTTTTCTCAATTTACAGCTTGCTTCTTCCAGGGTCCTCCCAAACACAATCCATCGCCCTGTATCATCACCCAAGCCATTCCACTACCGGCAGCGGGGTCCCCTCCACTCCCGAAACACTGACACCACCAAACCCAGCAATCAAGCTCCCGTCCTTGTAAGCCTTCATCTCCCCCCCTGAGAGCATCCAATTCACTCAATTTCCCTTCTTCTGATCATGAAGCTCTGTTCTGGTTCTTCCCACCGACAACACCGTCGTCGAAGCTCCTCTTCTCCTCGACCTCGACCGCCTCCTTGAAGCCCCCTCGTCCTCCGCGACCACCACGACACAGCAATGGAGACCACCGATCCCGCAACCGGCGCGCCTCTCCCCGCCGACGCGATCCAGCGCATCCTCTTCCTCGCCTCCGGCGCCCACGTCTACAACATCCCGCCCCTGACCTCCAACAAGGGCTACACCGCCGCCGGCTGGACCGACCGCCAGATCTTCACCGCACGCCTGCGCGTCCTCGAGACCGCCTGGGAGACCAATGCCGCCCCGCAACCCGTCCCCGTCGGCGCCACCGGCAGCGCCGTCATCCCCGTCGCCCCCGGCGCCCCGGCCGGCATCGCGACCAAGGAGAACCACATCAAGGTCGACATCGTCCTCGAGGACCCCTCCAACGGCCAGCTCTTCGCCGCCGCGCCCTACACCTCCCTCACCGTCGTCGAGCCCGTCCTCGACTCGTCGCGCTTCTTCGCCGTCCGCGTCATGGACGGCCAGGGCCGCAAGGCCGTCCTCGGCGTCGGCTTCGAGGAGCGGAGCGAGGCCTTCGACTTCGGCGTCGCCTTGCAGGAGGCCCAGAAGAGTCTTGGCCTGCTGGACGCGAGCCAGGCGAAGAAGGCCGCCGAGAACAGCAAGCGTGCCGAGGAGGAGAAGACCAAGGACTACAGTCTGAAGGAGGGCGAGACCATCACCATCAACTTTGGAGGCTCCAGGATTGGACGCCGGTCGAGGCCCTCGGACGCCTCGCAGACGACGCCGCCCACGGGAGCAGACCTACAAGCGTTCTCCCTACCGCCGCCGCCGCCGCCCGGTGGTGCGGCATCCAAGAGCGGCGGGAACGGTAGTTTCTTGCCGCCGCCGCCGAGCGCGCCGAGCGTGCGCGACCAGAAGAGGGAGAAGAGGAAATCCGCGCAGGACCTGGGATTCGACGATGGTCAATTTGGAGAGTTCGCCTAGACTTTGATACGCTCAAAGCACGAGGTCAGATATGGAAAGAGGACTGTACGGGGGTGGCGGGCGATGGCCACTTCTGATGATTTGAGCAAAGAGATTCCCTGCGCCGTTGGCTTAGCTATTACATACATGCGACTGGCATGATTTGATAAAAGTTCTTTCCAAGCAAAACACCGACCTATTTCCGTCTTTTACCCCGTGAATATTACCTTGGGCTACGAACATAGCGCCGGTTCCTGCTGCCCCGGCCACAGGCACCGCAAAGACGGCAGGCTCATCCTCCTGCCCCTCCGTTTCTGGCTGCCCACTCCTGCAAGCTCACCACACTCCTCGGTGACTGCACAGTCTAGCTTCTCTCGGCCGTCATAGCAAAATCGCAAGCCGTGATTTCCCAGAGCGTCGATCGCTGTCTCGCGCATTTCGTTGTCGACCCACAAGCCAGGGGCGGCTGATTCGAGCGCCTCCGGCTCATGACACGGCGACAGCACCTGCACCGAGCTGTACACGGGATAGTATCCCACGGGGAAGAAGACGGGCGAGGCCGCATCCAGAGGGGTCGGGGCGATCGGAGTGAAATCAGAGGGCGTCGCGATGTAGCCGCCGAGGGGCGAGGAGTCGACGGCCCACCAGGGGTACCGCCGGTCGTAAATCTCGTGCTGCACCTGCATCCACCGTTCTCTCATGCTGAGCTCCGCGTTGATGTCACAGAGCCTGATCGAGATGGCCTTCTCCTGCGCGGCCGCCTCTGTGATCTTGCTCTTGATCAGGGCCGCCTTCTTCCGCGCCTTGCGTCTCTCGTCGGACGGCAATCCGATGTCCATCTTCTCGTGTAGAATGGTAAGTCTTCTCATGAGCTCGAAGGACCTTCCGCCTTGGACCCTCAGCGACGCATGGAGATAGGCCTTCTCGTTGTATAGTTGCTCGAAGGACCCGGGCGACGTGAAGACTGAGTATGCCGGCTTGACTTTGGTGTTCAGTGAGATGTTGCCGACCGGAGTTTTCCGCCCTCTTCTGGGCAAGCTGCGCATCGTAGACGTCTGGTGGTTGGAAATACTGGCGATGGATCCTTTGCGGCTGGAGAGACGGCCCTGCAATGTTGTCTCTTCAGATGATGTGGTCGACCCGTCGTGGCTGTTGGCCCGCGGGGTGAAGACTGCTGCTTGAACGTACTGATCCATGGTCGAAGGGGATTGAGATGAAGAGAATGGCTCTGAGAATGTATTTCGAAACCAAACCAGGCAATATCAGCTCAGATATAGACGTCCATCTTCTTGAAGAATTAATTCCCACTGTATCCGCAAGTGGTCAGTGATCGAACAAAGACTGCAACCATGTGCATGACAGTCGGACAACGGCATTGCAACGCCTCCATATGAGGGGCTATAAAGATTTCGTCCGGAATTATCGAATAAAGTGAGGAAAGCCAAAGAGTGCCAGATTTAGATGGCAACGCAAAGGACGGAGACGTTTCTTGGGATAGCAAACAAAGTAGCTTGGCGGTGGGCAATCCAATTATACCAATTCTTTGAACAATATGCCCCTTCGCATTCAATGTGCCAAGCTGATTGGCGGCCTTCGACACTTCGGTTCGTTTGTTGGTCCCAAGAGTATGGTACAGGGGAGACAAACTCGGAACACTGGGCCGAGGAGCTCAAGTGATATTTTCTATCGATAGGTCAGTTTCTTGACCATTAGCTGAAGTGGTTTTACTAACAGTCACTTGAGAATGTGAAATGACAATTAATGTAATCGATGGCAGTATGACACGCGCATAATTGACTGTCAACAGCTCGCCATGACGGTCATCGAGCCAGCTAGGTGATCACTTAGAAGCATTCGGTTGCCTCCGAAGATGACGACGTCTGATTCTCAAAGTAGCGCTTTGCTCTGCAGCAGTGGCAGCCGCCAAGGCTGATCGGTTTGCGTCTCCATGCAAGGGAGAGCTCAGATGTTGAACCCATCATGCCTCGGAGGATCACAGAATCGCCACAGACCAGCTGCTTCCGCGGCCTTCCGAACCGAAGATACTTCAGTATCCGATACAGCGCGGTTGATTTCACTGTATCGAACCTCTTCTCCTTGGGATTCCGCTCCTGCTTTGGATCGTCTCTTCGACTTGCCGACGTGAGCGTCTGGGTGGTACTGCTCCATGATGTTGACAAAGCAGTCTCTAGACACCTCCTTAGCTAAGAATTCCATGATCAGCTGGCCCTCGGACTCCTTCCCTGGCATGACCAGATGGCGAACAAGGAGGCCCTTCTTGGCGATGCCATCGCCCGTAAAGCATAGGTCGCCGACCTGCTCGTGCATGGCCTTGATGCTCTCGCGAGCCGTGGCAGCATAGTCGTCTGCTTTGAGCAGGCGCTTGGACGTACTGGTCTCCCAGACCTTGAAGTCAGGGAGGTAGATATCGACCAATCCGTCGAGAAGCTCGAGTGACGCCAAAGAATCAAAACTGGACGTGTTGTAAATGATGGGGACCTTCAGACCCAGGTTCCTTGCATGCAGGATGCTCAAGACGACCTGGGGTACCACGTGTTCCGGTGTAATGAGGTTGATGTTGTGGACGCGACCGACCTGCTGCAGCTTGATGTACCACTCGCCCAGTTCTTCGGGCGTCAGGTCTTGGCCGTTGCGCTGGTGGGCGATGTCATGATTCTGGCAGAAGACGCAACGCAGATTGCAACCCGAGAAGAATACGGCGCCACTCCCATTGTGTCCTTGAACGCATGGTTCTGAGCGTGGTAGTGGTCAGTGTGCCGATCCGTACGGTAGAGGGAGATGAGTTCTTGGGGACTGCCAAACCTTCACCGAAATGCGGCGCGATTACATTGACCTTTGTATTGTCGCCAATCAGGCACATCCCCGTCGTCTCGAAGCGGTTGACCCCGCATAGTCGCGGACACAGATTGCACTTTGAAAGATGATGGTAGGCCTTGGATCTTTTCTTGGATTCGTCGATGGAGGACAGTGTCATGTATCTAGGGATGTAGTCGTCGAGGAGAAAGGGTGGTGCGAGGTGGAGAGAACGGCGAGGAGCCGAGAAACTCCTCCGGACGAACTCATTTCTTCTTGCTAGAGCCCTTGCTGCTACGTTCATTGTGATGAAGAGGCATGATAAGCTGACTCGAAGAGCGAAGTTCAATGATCTTGCGTCACAGGTGGTGGTAGATGAAGGTGGCAGGATTACTTAAGGGAACGTCCTATTGGATGGAAGCAGTAAAAGTGGGCCTATCTGCACCCTTCAGGTCGCCCTCACCTCAGTGTGTGCTGCTTCCTCCACTTCCCCAATTACCTACCAAACCTGGATCACTCGGAGCAATCCCCTTGCTTGATTCACTTCTCCTTGCGTGAGAATCACTTGGTCTCGTCCGATCGATTGGAAAGCCCCTCAACACGAGGCAAACGGTTCTACACCATGTCTTGATTGAGCACGCAGGAGCCGACCGCGCCCGTCGTTGGCCCGCCACGAATTGGCATCAGTTCATCCCATACCTACATGGCAAACCGCCCATCTAGGTTCGAGTTTGCGGTTCACAGCAATTGGCTCGAAGCAAAGTCCGAGAAATTTCGTGCCACCAGCAAGTTCATCTCGCCACATGGTTCCCTAGTAACAACGGTTACACAGGTCCATCTGCATTTGGTTGCTCTCGTGTCGAAAGTATCTTCAGCTTCACAGCAAGGGCTTGCCAGGATTCATCCCAGACGAGGTAAGGGCACGGATTCCGCGGGCGTAGATGCCCAGAACCGGAAGCATAACAGCACTTTCCATCCACTTCTGCAAGACGAGAATCGAGATCTCCTTGGGAGCGACCCAAAGCAAGGGCCTCGGGATGAAAGAAGCAACGACACTCATATACGAGGCTTGGAAGGGCGATTTGTACGGCTTTTCTTGACAACCACACAGATGCTCCGACCTGCAACTCACTATCTTCGAGGCTGGACCGTTACCACCGGACGAAGGCTAGTTCTACAGAGAGCAGAGCGCGCAAACGTCCATACCAAAAGTATTCATACTTGGATGCTATGGCGACGATTCTTGACATCTTGTCTCCTTCGCTTATCCGACTATCAATGTTGGTCAACCTAAACGGGCATGTGGACCATGGTCATGCCGTATCTGGTTGCCGACGATAAGTAAGACAGTCAAATGGGGAATTGCTTCATCGTAGAAGTCCGCCTCATTGATCGGCAACATGCTGGCCTATCGTACGCAGGTCTCGTGACGGCTAAGCTTCCTCATCGCAGCCAACAAATGTTTGGTTTCTCCCTGGAGCTGTTTGTTTTATAGGATACTCCCTCTCTCCCAGATTAAGCAACATGATAGTGACAGCAGTCAGCGTCGCAGGTTGAAGCCGTCTCATACAGTCCCTGCAAGCAAGCTTCTTGAGCCGGCGACGTCCCAACAGCTCGTTGGTGATTCTCATCTATGTTTTCTTTCCTTCAATCATGATCCAGAACATTGCTGAGTTGACGTGAGACAACCATCTATTGCAGAGGGGCGGTCCTACGAATAAGCAAGCACGGCGCATTGGCGAAGCTGATGTACGAGCAGAAACTGATCAGACGAAGAAAATGTTGCGAGCTAGAATATGCAAATATTCCGGCGTTTGTCCAGAAGTGTCTGGCGGTAGTCGCATCGTGGGTCAGTGGCTTTTCTGCGGCAGTCCTTCCATCTGGCCATCATACCATGTCTCGGCGAGGTGAGGGAATTCAGAAATCACCGTGGAGAATGGCCAGAAATCCATGATTGGAACAGAAGAAAAGATGAAGAACCGTCTTTGGATATATCACCACAGGATCTCACAAACTGATGGACGACTTATTTAGCCAGCGTTGGTGAGCAAGCGCAGCCTCCTCCTTTCACTCCTTCACCTCAAGCCACAATCTTGGTTCTTCTTCTTACGCTCATTCACCTCTCTTTTTTTCCTTCTCACTCTCTTCTTTCTCCAACAACATTAAAACATCAGTAATCGACTTTGGAGGCTTTCTTGTTGGTCTTTGTTGGAGGCATAATTACTTAATTCTTTGGGGCGACATTGTCGGCGGACGACATGCATTATTTTATCATTTTGTTTTGTTTCGTCTTCGCGTTTTTGTCTCCTGCCTCGAACGCCCTCCACATCACCAACCAGACCATCGACAAGTTTCTCCTCTCCGAGTATGACTATGTCGTAATCGGTGGTGGCCTCTCGGGCCTGGTGGTCGCGAACCGCCTGAGCGAGGATAGGGATGGTATGGTGGACTCTCTGATTCAAAGATCTCGCTAACGACCGTTTCAGCGACAATCTTGGTGATCGAGGCTGGTGAGCTGTGAGTCAAAACTGGCCTAAATCTGCGTCGAAATCTCAGAAGGGAACAGTTGACTGACCATTTTGACTAGTGACCGCCGGGAGAATCGGGTCATTATCCCCGGCTATATCGGCCGCGTCCCTGCGTCGGGATATGCCCATAACGTGGCCACGGCCCCTCAAACTTTCCTCGACGGACAGACTCGGAACATCAATCAGGGCAAGGTTGTTGGTGGCGGATCAGTTGTCAACGGAATGTGTTGGACCCGAGGCGCCGCTGCTGACTTCGATGCCTGGGAGGAGCTCGGCAACCGTGGATGGGGATGGGATGGCCTCCTGCCCTACTTCAAGAAGGTTGGCGAAGATCTCAAATATCGTGATCCTCGTTGCTAATATATGGGACAGGTCGAGAAGTACACTAACAATGTTGACCAAGGCATGCGCGATGAACTCAACATCAAGCCCAACATGTCTATGCATGGAAACAACGGTCCTATTGACGTGGCATACCCCGAATATATGTACAACACATCAGGTAAGTCTTTTTGTGGCCTTGAGAGGCAAGGTACTTACATAGTAAAGGCAGCATTCTTCAAGGCCTCTCAGAGGTTGGCATTCCAATCTCCGCCGACGTCAACTCGGGTGACCCGACGGGTGCTATGATCGTCGCGTCCAGCATGTCCCCGACTAACCAGACGCGATCGGATGCGAGAACCGGCTACTTCGATTCAGCGAACTCCCGCTCCAACTTCCACGTTGTCACTGGGCACACCGCGACACGTCTGATTGTGGGCTTGCCTGGCTCCCTGAACCGAGGAAGCCGCCGGATCGTCGGTGTCGAGGTAAGCTGCTGTTCGTCGACACACTTTGAGAGAAGGAGTCTAATTTCTGAAGTTCGCAACTGGCCTCTCGGGTACCAACCGAACTATCACGGCAAACAAGGAGGTGATCCTAGCGGCTGGTGCTATTCGGTCCCCCGTTCTCATGCAGGTTTCGGGTATCGGCCCTGCGCAGGTTTTGGAGTCGTTGAATATTTCCGTCCAGATCGATCTGCCGGGAGTTGGGAACAATTTTCAGGATCATCCCATGGCTCGGTTTCCATACAGTTGTAAGCGGCCAATCGTTCATGCTTTGCCAATCCGAGCGCTCACTGCTTTCTCAGATACCAACGCATCCGTATTCACCTCTCGAGACTTGGACACCAGCGACGCTTTGGAAGATGCATTGGACACGTTCCTCGCCAATAAGACTGGTGAGTCCTCCCGTGTAACAAGCCCAGAAACAGACTACTAACGACGCCCAGGACCTCTGACGACCCCCTTGATCAACACCGTCGCCTTCCCAAACCTCAAGTACCACACCGACGAATGGGAAACCCTCCTCCAGCGGTCCCAAAACCAGTCCTTCGACTTCCTCCCTCTCGACACGCCACCCGCCGTCTCCTCCGGCTACGCAAAGCAAAAGTCCCTGCTCCTCGACCACCTCGCCCGCGAGGACGTCGGCGCCTACGAACTCCTCGCAGCATCATGGGGCCAGATCTCCATCGCCAACCAGAAGCCCCTGTCCCGCGGCACCGTCCGCCCGTCCTCGCGCTCCGTCTTCGACCCGCCCGCCGTCGACCCCCGCTACTGCGCCGACCCCCTGGACTGCAAAATCATCAGACTCGGCCTCCAGCTCGCGCAGAAGCTCATGCGGTCCAGGGCCATGGCGCCCCTGCAGCCCGTCGTCGACTCCAGGTACAACTCCACCGACGAGAGGGAGCTGATGGCCGCGCTGAAGCCCCTCGTCGGCACCGAGTACCACCCCAGCGGTACGACGAGCATGATGCCCGAGGACCTGGGTGGAGTGGTGGATTCTCGGTTGTTGGTGTACGGGACGTGCAACCTGCGCGTCGTCGACGCGGGGATCATGCCCATGATCCCGGGCGGACACATACAGGCTGCCGTGTACGCCGTGGCGGAGAAGGCTGCGGATATCATCAAGGACTCCGCTGATGGCCCGGACGCATGCCCGATGGGTCAGCCGCAGTGGCCGATCGATCACGGTCCGGTTGATGGTGATGAGGATGACTGAGTATTATGAGAGTTTCGTGTATGAACATAGGGTTCGAGTATCACATAATTGCTTGTAGAAATAATACCCAGTAGGCGATGAACGCCGAGTCGTATTTGCCATAAAACAATAGCCGGTCCCGTACGTCTTAAATGTGACGACAAACCTGACATCCGCAAAGCAGACGATAACGAACTAAAATCAAACTAGAAGACCAAAAATAAACAAGTGAGGGAGTATGAAAAACAACAAGAGATTAATAAATACAAACAAAAAAGACCAAAAAAAGGATTACAGGCCGTTTCGAATTACCGCCCCGCGCGGGATCCCAGAGTCGCCCCGACCGCAGAATTTCTTTCGCGACACCACTTGGTTTTACCAACTAGACCATCCGGCGTCCCGTGACGGTCTAGCTTAACTGAGTTGGAAGCTTTGCGAAAGAACCCATTCATAAAGGGTGAGGTGGTTGCCTGGCGGTCTGGGTGGGGTGTCTGGAGGTGAAGCTGAGTTCGAGGAAAGAGCGGGTGAACCGACCAAGGTACCCATGGCTCCTTCCTCAGGAAAGCACTCGACTATCATGGTACCATGGAGCCACTCCAGAAGTCAACCAGTAAGGTAAAAAGTATGAGACGCCAGGAATAAAATGTGATTCGCGTAAAGCCTGTTTGTAGGCGTCTGTTCATAAGCAGTACCCGACAACTCCGTTTGGTATAATACAGTTCCATAGCACTTCATCCCTCACCGTGACAACATCAAGCATTGCTATCAACCCATTCCTCAAGCCTCTCTACAAGCTCAGCTTTCTTTCCAGAGGTGCTGAGTCCCTTGGCACCAAGAACGTTCTTCAGCTCGGCGACCGTGATCTTGCTTAAACTTCCATCGGCCACCTTAGCCTTGAGGTCCGCCGTCGACATGTCCGACCCGGACGCCTTTGCAGGCCTAGCCCGCTTGGCAGGCCTCTCGTCGGCGTCATCGTCTGCGTCGCGCTTGATAGCCTGCTTCGCCAGCGCCGTCTTCGTCTCCACCTGTAGCGTTTCGGCCCAGTCGTCCAAGTATCCGCCAGCACGCTTGCTGATGGCCTTGTACTTGGGCTCCGTGGCGTCCTCCGCTTTCTCGGGCAACTCGTCTTCGAGGGCAAGCGCTTGGAGAATCTGGTAATGCCACTGCAACGCCGGGTTCGGGTACTTCTTGGGGTTGTACATGGCCTTTGGCAGTTGCAGCTGCTGGACGATGGTGCGCATCTTATCCGTGAGCTCGTGGGTACTGCGGACGATATCTGCAGGCGGCTCGGGACCGTCCCGGAGGTCGTCTGCAAACGGCAGCGGTGTGAGCCAGAGGCCTGCAGGAAGGAAAGGGGTCGCAGAGTCGTCTTCGGATTTCTCGTGAGAGGGGATGATGGCAACGAGGATAGGGTTCGCATTGGAGCGGGTAATGGCCCAAGCGACGCCAATCTTTTTATCTTTGAGGAGCTTCTGCCAGAGAGCAGTGAAGACGCGCGTTGAGCCAACGTAGTCTTCTTCGGAAGGGAAGATGAAGGTAGATTTCTTGACGCTGGCCCAGAAGGGAAGCATTGAGCGGGGTTTAAAGCCGATAATGCGAATGATGGGGGTGCCGAAGTCCTTGAGGGACTTCTGCTCTTCGGTGGTGAAGTGAACATACTCGCCTCCGAATTTGTAGGCTTTCTTAAACTCTGGCTTCTCGACTGTGCGGGCACTATCATCTGCCATTCGAGTGGTCTCGCCTACTGCGAGTTGCGGCTTTTCGCCGTCGAGCCAAACGTAGGACGTCCTGGCTGGGGTTTGGCGGTGGATGATGTTGTAACCCTTTACGGATATCCTCAATCCCGGGGCGATCTCAAAGGGAATATTTGAGAAGAGAGAACGCTTGGGGGTTTCTTTGGAGTTGATGTTTGAGACGAGAGAGTTGAGGAGGGTGATGCCGTCTCCCGATTTGGAGTTGCGGACTTCGGAGAGGTTGGCCTCAGCAGTCTGGTCCCGATAGATGATATCCTACGATCGTTAGCCTCTGCAGCGAGGAGGATGGACATGCATGTAGCCTACATCGTAGAACTTGCTGAGATCGAACTTCTTGTCGTCTCTTGTGATTGGGAACAGTTCGATTACAACACCGAGATCGTACAAATCCTTTGCGCGTACAGCGGCAGCCGACTTGGCGGCCTTGTCTGTTGCGTGAGGATCGTCGTTGTCGGTGATGATGAAGAGTCGCCTGCTACCGAAGTTCGCAGCCTTAGTTGTGAAGACTTGGTTTGCGCAAAAGAAGACGTTAGACATCTGTACACTCTCCTTCGTCGGCACCAGGACCTCATCCTCGTCGTCTCCCTCCTCTCCATCCACGCCGACCAACGTCTTCAGTGCCTTGACATCTTCTGCCGCGGGAACATCCAGGTCGGTGAAGAGGTAGCAGTGGGGATAACCAAGACCGCTACGACCAGTCTCGTCTTGGAATTTGGACTTTTCCGTGCCGAAGAAGAGAATGCCCATCATGTCCTTGGGATTAGAGATGATGCGCTGCTGCATCAAGTGGTAGGCGCATTTTAGTGCGGCCTGGACGGCACTGTCCTTGTCTGCCTTTTTGGATTTTGACTCTGGCGGAGGCTGCAGCATCGAGGAGCTCACATCGATGGCCAAGAGAATGGCATCTTTCTGGCTCTTGTAGTCCTGGGATGGGTCAGTTTGTAAGTCACGGGCGTGGGGCCACGGGTGCGTACGGTCTCATCGAGCTCCTCCTCCGCTTCGTCATCTTCTTCTCTCTTGAAATCGTCGCGATCCGCCATTTTGTATGAGTTACTGGAACAATGTTGAAATCGGGTGTACTTGGGTGTTGGATGCGGCGAGCGGGCTGCTATTTCATGAGCCGCGATTGTCGTTGTAAGGTCCCCTGGCTTGAGCGCTGGCAGGCAGGCAGCTCCAGGCAGCAGACGCGACAGGGGCCAAGCTCCCGCGAGCAGACCTCGCGTGAAGGTCGTGGATGGTCCGCGCGCGAGCACGTGACTTGATTTTGGATTACGCAGACCATTATTGGTCAAATCTGCTTAGAGATAGAAAAATACTTCTATAATGCGGCTATAGACTGCTATATCGAAGTATCTCTGTATTAGCTCGGACGTGCAGGGATGGCAGCCCACCGAATGCCGAGCTGCATCTAGATCGGGATTTCCTTCGTCATCGAAGACCGAAATCCACATGGCCTTTCCCAGCATCGCCTACGCATCGCCAGGGTCCACGATTGCCACAGCTATGTTTTCTTAGACCACTTTGTGCTTCAACAATTCAGCTTCTTCTCCTTGCCATCCTTGTGTGATCTACGCTTTTCTCAACTCCCTTACTCCTGAGCAATGGCGCTCAAATACTCAACAGGACAGATCTCGAGGAGCTTGTCCAAAGCAACCACCTCAGCTCGCAATGGCGCATCGCCCCTCGCTCTGGCGCTGCCAAAGCAGTCCAACCCCCAATTGAGGTATATGGCCACCGTTCCGCCTGTTACCCAGAACTCCGCCGGATCCAAGGGCCCGACGGCGATGGTGTTCCTCAACATGGGCGGTCCCTCGACGACGGACGAAGTTGGCGACTTTCTGAGCCGACTCTTTGTAGGTTTCTCGGCTTTCCCGGACTCCTTGACGGCATGCTCACAATGCGCAGGCAGATGGTGACTTGATTCCCCTGGGACGCTACCAGAACTACCTCGGCCCATTCATCTCGAAGCGAAGAACCCCAAAGATCCAAAAGCAATACGCTGAAATTGGCGGCGGTTCCCCGATTCGCAAGTGGTCGGAATACCAGAATGCCGAGATGTGTAAACTTCTCGACAAGCTTTCCCCCGAGACCGCCCCCCACAAGCCCTACGTTGCGTTCCGCTACGCCGACCCTCTAACGGAGGAGATGTACAACAAGTTGCTGGAGGATGGCTTCGGAAATGGAAAGGGTGGAAGAGCCGTCGCATTTACACAGTACCCTCAGTACTCGTGCTCGACCACTGGCAGCAGCATGAATGAGTTGTGGAAGTGGCGGCAACGGCTGGAGGGCAAGTCTGCCACGGACGCGACGCCAGGTGACGGTACAATCTCCTGGAGTGTAATTGACCGGTGGCCGGTTCACCCCGGATTGGTCGAGGCTTTTGCACAGAACATCGAGGCCAAGCTTCTGGAGTACCCCGAGGAGAGGAGAAAGGATGTCGTCCTCTTGTTCTCCGCCCACAGCTTGCCCATGTCTGTGGTCAACAGAGGCGACCCTTACCCTGCCGAGGTCGCGGCCACAGTCTACGCTGTCATGCAACGCCTCAAGTTCTCCAACCCCTACCGCCTCTGTTGGCAATCACAGGTCGGCCCCTCCGCTTGGCTCGGCCCCCAGACTTCCGACTCTGTCGAGAACTACATCCACAAGGGCCAGAAGGATCTCGTTCTGATCCCCATTGCCTTCACCTCGGACCACATTGAGACTCTGTATGAGTTGGACTTGGAGGTCATTGGAGACTCCGGCCACCCGGAAACCGTCAAGCGTGTCGAGAGTTTGAACGGAAGCCCGGTATTTATCAAGGCCTTGGCTGATATTGCTAAGGCTCACCTTGACAGCGGCATTGCTTGCTCACCACAAATGGAGCTTCGATGCCCTGGTTGCAAGAGCGAGCGATGCGCAGAGTCTAAGAAGTTCTTTGCAGGTCAACAAACAAAACTCTTCGGGGCTCAAGAGAAGATTCTGGCGCAATAGATGATCATGATGCCTACGCTGGGCGGCAAACTGTAATTATGTATTAATAGAGGAATGGGGGATCTTCCAGGGTCAACGAAAAAAATTTGCAGAAGCGGGAATGAAATCAAGTTCAACTCTGACATTATGACTCTGTTTGCTACTTGTGCTTTGGATGATCGCAATCAATTCAATTGAGACTTGGTAGTTGTTGATGACGCCACGATATTTTGTCGAGGCCACTAACAATTTCCTGAATTTACTCCACTCGACCATCATCGATGACCTCTAAACGATCGACACCTTCTCAAAGTCAACTCATTTCGCATACGCATCTCAGAATCCAATTATCATCGGATCATGTCAAGCGCAAGAACGCTTATCAAAAAGTTACCTAGAGCTCACACAATTGATTTCCGACGAACCATGAGCTCCCAGGATAAGATTCATTTCGGCCCTTTTGAGGTTACTAGCCAGGTCAGTCCGACTCATCCCGCAACCACGACGACATGCCCAGGTTTAGTGCAATCGTTGGCAACGATTTGTCCTGGAATTGGGCCTTTATTCGTGTTACCTGCTCCCATTGCTGCGGAAAACCGGGCATCGGTCTCGGTTTCGGATACTTCTGGAGATGACACCGGCTAACACCACAAAGGTCTTCTACAAGACAGCTCACTCCTTCGCCCTCGTCAATCTGAAGCCCCTACTGCCGGGCCATGTTCTCATCTGCCCGCTTACGCCTCACAAGCGCCTGACAGACCTCCCGCCCACCGAAGTAACGGACCTTTTCACCACGACACAGCTCGTGCAGAAGATGCTTGCGCGCAAGTACTTCCCGGCATCATCGGAGGGGCCGGCGGAGCCAGAGGCGGGCTCGTTCAACATCGCAGTCCAGGACGGCGCCGAAGCGGGGCAGACGGTCTCGCACGTCCATGTGCACATCATTCCCCGCATACGCGGCGAGACGGCCAAGGATGACTCTGGGCCGCGGGATGAGATCTACGAGCAGATGTCCAGCGAGGAAGGGAATATTGGCGGCGCGCTGTGGGATGCCGCGCTGGGGAAGAGGCCCGAGGCCGGAGGAGGCAAGTTTGCGAGAATTGAGGATGCGATGAGGCAAGCTAGGAGTATGGAGGAGATGGTTGAAGAGGCGAAACTTTACCATGGTCTATTGAAGGAGATGGGTGCTGTGAGTGAGAGCTGAAGACTATCTGGCAACGGCTTGTAAGATGCGTAGATGGACGGCATAGATGGGTGTTCTTTGGAGTTCCAACGAAAATTCTGAACAAATATAGAACGTCGAGATTCATTGCGATCTCTGCAGTAAAGAATGAGGAAGTCATTTTCAGTGAGGCCATCCGAATTCATCCAGACCTCATACTCGTTCGTTCCTAGGTAGGTATCTGGTGTTGCCGTTCTGTTACCCCACGTCATCAGTACAGTGCTCAAATCGTAAAGAAACCAATTAGTACGGCCCAAGACCCACCGACCCTTAACGCGTCCAGGGTCGCGTTGGGGCGCGTCTTTTCCCCCTCCAGCATTGAAATGTCACCACAGCGACAACATATTCTGGAATTTGAGAACTGGAAGTTGCGATCACACAAGACGCCAGTTTGGACCGCAAAACTGCTCCGACCGTCGCCATAATGCCAAGCGCCTCTTCCCCGATCACATTCCCCGCGAGCTCATCACCGCCAGGCTCGAAACGCGCGAGACCTGCGGCGGGCGACCCAGCACGATCAAAGCCGAAAGTCAGAAGCGGATTCCTGATTGACGATGATTCCGACGACAACGAAGATGAGAATGATACCCAGCAGCCCCCACTGAAGAAGCAACTTCTCGACTTCGGAGCACGTCTGCAACGGCCAGCGCCCGCACCAGCGCCTGATACCGTCGACGTAGATGAACCCGAGCAACCAGTCCCTGCAGCCAAGCAAAGCGACCAAACCCCGATCGACCTGACGCGGAAACCCCCGACCGAGGCTTCTCGCAGTCTTGCATCAACACTTCTGGCCTCTACCCCTTCCATATTCCAGAGCACCCGGGCATACAAGATAACCACGTGCACCGGCGCGTCGAAAACCATCGCACAGCGCAAGCCGACGAAGACCACCTCATACGAAAGCATTGTTGCGGCAAGATCCAAGACGAAGGAAGGCAGAGCAAAACGCGCGTACTACGGCATTCACATCAACGAGCTCATCGACAAGGCGAAGGCAGAGGCCAAGGAGAAACCGAAGCCAAAGGAAAAGGAGAGCGAGGTGCCAGTACGGTCGGTCGAAGAAACAGCGGCAGGTAAAGGGCACCAGAAGACGCTATTATGGACCGAGAAATACAGAGCAAAGAACTTTCTGGATCTCTGTGGCGACGACGGCACGAACCGTATGGTTCTTCGGTGGTTGAAGCGCTGGGATCCGATTGTCTTCCCTGGTATCGCGAAGAAGGCACCGATTGTGCGGAGACCTGGCGCTAAGCAGGCCCAGGAAGAAGAGAAGCCACACAAAAAGATCCTGATGTTAACAGGGCCTCCCGGTCTTGGTAAAACTACGCTCGCGCATGTTTGCGCCCGGCAGGCAGGATACGATGTCATGGAGATCAACGCCAGTGACGACCGAAGTCGCGACGTTGTAAAGAATCGAATTCGAACATCCCTTGGAACCGAAAGCGTCAAGACCGTCGAGAACAAGAAGAGCAAGGACGGGGAGCAGCAGCAAAAAGTCGCCCGTCCGGCGTGCGTGGTTGTTGATGAAGTGGACGGTGTGGTCAGCGGAGCCGGTGCTTCTGGAGAGGGAGGTTTCGTCAAGGCTCTGATCGATCTGGTCTTGCTAGACCAGAAGAACAGTTCCGGAGCCTCGAACAACTCTAAAAAGAAGAAAAAGGGCGACGACTTCCGCTTAATGAGACCGCTTATCCTCATCTGCAACGATGTCTACGCCCCGGCGCTGAGACCACTACGGCAATCTGGTATGGCCGAGGTCATCCACGTCGGAAAGCCGACCATAGATGCTGTGGTCACTCGCTTGAAGGCAGTCTTCGACAAGGAGGGGATTCCTTGCGAAAAGGACGCTGCACGCAAGATCTGCGAAGCTGCTTGGGGTGTTACCAACGGTTTCGATGCTAGACGAGGTGCACAAAGCGGAGCAGAAGGTGATTTGCGAGGAGTAATGGTTGTTGGTGAATGGGTGGCCGGACGCTTCAAGTCAGCTGCGAGATTCAACGACCGTCTGTCAAGGCAATGGCTTGAACAGCACCTGCTCCATGACCTCAACAACGGTGCTGGAGGAGCTAGAGGGCTTGGAAGAGGGAGCGCAAAGGACATCGTGGGTCGAATCTTCCAGGAGGGAGGCGGTTTTCCCAAGCAAGCTCTGGACACAACGTCTCATCTGAAGCATCAACACGAGCAACCAAAAACTCAACTGGGCTTCGCCGAGTACCACAAAAAGAATGCAATGGAGCGCTTACGGCACTTGATCGACACAAGCGGCGAGGTGGATCGAATCATGACCGATGTCTTCCTGGAATACCCGAACCGAGAATTCAACGACGACTCGTTCCTGTCCAAGCCGAATGAAGCCTACGACTGGATGCACTTCCTGGACACCTGTTCGTCACGAACCTTCCTCAGCCAGGACTGGGAATTGGCACCATATCTCAGCCAGCCCATCTTGGCATGCCACAGCCTTTTCGCCTCTCCTAAACGGCATCAACCCAACATGGGTTATGACAAGAAGTGGGGGGCGGATGCAGCTGATGAAGAACCGCCAGTGCCATTCTCCGGCCCCCAAGCCGACTTTGCTGCGTACCAGGCGCTGAAGGAGAACAAGTCAATGCTCCAGGCTATTCAAGCGCAACTGAACCCGACCCTGGGACGTTCGTTCCGCAGTGCGGAAGACATCGCCACAGACTTCCTGCCATATCTAGTCCGCATGGTGTCGCCGGATGTCAAGCCTGTCGTTATTGGCGGCAGCGGTGTCAGCACGGCCAGCGTGCGGAAGGACACGGAAAAGGTCATGGTCAAGCGAGCAGCTGAAATCATGGCTGACGTAGGCATCGTCATGCAGAAAGGAAAGATTGAATCAGATTCGGTGGTGAGCAGGGGGCCGCAATGGGTGTACCGAATGGAACCGTAAGTCGTCTGCCGTCTCATTTGTAACCCACGCTAACACGCTTCAGTGATCTCGATGCTCTCGCAATATATGAAACGGCTGGTAGTCTTCTACTAGCCAGTTCAGCACCGACACGATACGCCGTTCGTCAGGTGCTGGATCAGGAGCTGCAGAAGACCATCGTTCTGCGAGAGGCCGCAGCGCGACAGGCGAGATTCAAGGCAGGGAACCCCATGGGGATCGAAGAGGCTCCGTTGCACGTGGACAAGGAGAATGTCCTGAAGGAGCAGAAGGAGATACTCGAAACGGCTGTGAAGAAGGACTTCTTCGGCCGCATCATACCCTCGCGGCCGCTGGGTGAGGTGGATCCTAATGGCTCAGCGAAAAGGAAGAAGCAGCAGGAGGTCAAGGAAGACATAAAGGTTTGGGTCACGTACCATGAAGGATTGAATAACGCTGTCAGGAAACCTGTTACTTTGGGCGAGTTCATGAAGGGGTTGTAGGCAATTTAGAGCTGGTGTTCAGGGATTGGATGGGAGATGAGTATAATATGGCCTTTCACGTTCAACACATCGTGATAGAGGAGACTATGAAACAAACATTTTAGAGATTCAACTACACTCGACGAAAGGACGCCAACGCTACTATGAAACTTGCTCGACAGAACAGCCTATGCACTGTCCTTTTCTCTCTATAGCTTTCTCCCCGTCCTCGTCTAGCAGCTACCGGCGCAGCAGCCTCCGTCCGGCAGGTTTCCACCACTTGTCAAGTCAGCATTCGCACCCCCTGCACTGGATATGGGAAATTGGGGATCAACTCACGGGCAGATGCAGCCATTGGGGCAAGGCTCGTTCTGGAGGAAAACAACAACACTGCGTCAGTCTCGAACTTTAGCAATCCACCGGGGATAGGGGCGAACTCACCGAGTTGTTGCAGTGCCTGAGGTTGTTGGCGGCGCATTGGGCGGGAGTAAGGCCCTGGCGCTTGAGGAGGGAAGACACGGCGCGGACCTCGGGCTCGGCGACGGCCGCGCTGTGGACGGCGGCGACGGAGGCCAGGAGGGTGATGATGGTGGAGAACTGCATTTTTAGTGGGTAGGTGTGGTTTTGACCGGAGGTTGAAGGTATCTGTTGAGGCTAGATGAAGCGAGAGCTGAGAGATGCTGGATGAGTGGAGGATGTTGGAAGAGATGACTGTAACTAGGAGGATAGGTTGATGTTCTTATACAGCCACCTCGCGTCACAACGGACTCTCGAAAGTCTCCCGGAAAGCGAGTTTAGACTTCACTCCATCGCTGACGTCGAACAATCAAACTCCGGTTCCCCGGACAAATTGCCCTCGAAAGAGTCCGCAAGTGCTCCAGCTGAGTAAGGGCTGCTTTGGCTACGCAGTTCGAACTCCGCCCCAAACGTAGAAGCAATATAACTGACGTGGGTTTCAGCAATCTGAAAAGCCTCCATCGCGAACTCTAATCGCTCCGCTCCGCTTCGTGCGCGCCTTGAGTCGTGGGCGTAGGGCTGGGCCTCGCCGAGGCGGGGATCCTGGGATGAACGTGGGGGAGGTATGAGATGAACATGGGCAGATCTTTGGATGGATTTGACAACTAACCCGCCGGCCAATAGGTTGAGTCAGTTGGGACGAAAGGGTTTGGTAAACCTTGTTCGGGTTACCATCCGCTGTTGTCTCTTTGAGAGAACTTTGGAGGAGCCGCCTTGAGAGTTGAAGAGCCAATTTGGGGTAATTTCCTCAAAGGCTAGATTTCCTGCACTCAGTGGCTCGATGTCCTGAACATTAAGATTATACTTAAGGCTGCCCAGAATCTCGTGCTGGGGGATAGAGAGAGAAATCCCCATGTAACTGCTATCCCGCCGGGAATCTCTAACGAGGGGGGTCCCGCAAGCGCCGTAAAGTCTTCAACTATTCATATCACTAGAACCTAACTTCTAAGTTGTCTTTCACTTACCAAACCCCGCTTAACATTAGAGTTCTCGCCAAGTGCAACTGACTCTGCTGCTTATTACGTGTACGAGGGCGGCGGAGAGCCCGGCACGCTCGGGTCAAGAACAGCCCCATTCGCAGTACCCAATTCGGACCTGCGACGGGGCGGGTTTATGCCGTCTATGAAACCTGCCGGATTTCCGAAAAGTACTCGGATTCGGGCTGTAGAAATATAAAGTTCTTGGTTTGATAGGCGCAAAGATCAGAGTCGGTTGTTGATTTCGTGCGAAAACCACGTGCTCCTTCTGAGTCTCTTCGCTGTTGCTGTTACACAGCACTCAGCGCTCTATCATCTACAAGTTTTAAGCTACAGTCCGGTTTAGTTTATTGCCGCAGCGTAGATCAAACTCAGAGATCACTGAGTTTCTTCGGAAACGGGTGTTCTCTCTTCATTTCAGTCAAGTGCGGATTCGTCAAGGAATACTCCCATGTTCTCCATACAGATTTCTTGTAGCTTCATTGACCTTTTTATGCGCCCATCGATTCCTCGTTTTCTCTCGCACGGTAATCCAACAAGTCCATCGATATTAGAAGAGAGGAATTCTTTTGGCAATATTCTCTGGAAAGCCATTTGAAATGATCTAGTATGAAACTGGTCTCTTGGCGGAAAAGCTAATATCATTGTTGTAGAATCACACGGCCTTGTTGAACTTATCGGCTGGAAGTCGAGACGTCATGCAATCCACTTACGCCAACTATTGATATGAGGTTGCAACGTAATTCAATCCGAGACCACATCTGAAGAGTCTGGAAGTGGAATGGCACAAGAGCAACTGAGAATTGTAATGGAAGACATTTAAGATATAAACTAGACTCACAGGATGGCGAGAAACAGTTCTTACTTATGAAACTCATGTAGAGGTCACACCAATACTGAGATCTTGACCAGTTTTCGGACTTACTGGATCTCCAGCGGAAACAAGACGGAGAGCCTACTCGAAGTTCGAGTGACGACCAAACAGGGACACTCAGTCATGCTATTCAAAGACGTAACAAGCATCCTCGTAAGCAACCTCTCAACTAATGATATCTCGTTCCTCTGATAAACAAGCTTCCTCTCTCGCTCTTTCTTCATCTCGTGGTTCGGCCAGAGATTGTCCGACTTAACTGGAAAGCATGCCGAGGCTTTAGGCGAGGTTTGGAATATTGCAGGGGGTCATTTCCATTCCAAACTACCAAGAAGTCCTAACATAAGACGGTGATTTGTTCTCGTTATTTCACACATGAAGTCCCGAAAATTGACCTGTTTCTACGCAGGTCAGACAGATTTTCTCATCTTCGGCTGTCGGTCAGGGACCAAGGCACTTGGACGAGCTGACGCGACAAGTGGAATAATAAGCACAGCTCCCGCCCGCCAACGGCACGAGTGGCTAACACAATCAGCACTATCCGTGGGCTAATGCGCGGATCGACCACCGTTAGACTTTATCCGTGGCACGAATCATCTAGTCTGACGGGCTGTTATTAGTCAACAGGACGAATTCACGAAATCCTGGTTCATCAATGTCGCTCAAAGTGGTCAGCCAGCATTGGCAATTCTGCCGCGTGAGGAAAATCCCACAAGAACCAGGTCTGCCGACCCAATGATCCCTTAGAAGTGACAAGGTCTCGAGGTCTGATGCACCTATTAATATGGAGGTGACAGGATCTCATAAAATAGACCCGCGACGAGCCGCACTCAAGCCGACGTTGGTAAGCCGAGAGAATGAAGCCGAAGAATCCAAGCCGAGCGCCGGAAGCCGAGATCCAGGGTTAGGGTCCCACATCCCGACATCCGGCACCGGATCCGCACCGGCAAAGTGCCCCATTCATGTGGGTTCCCCACCTCGTCGCGCGTCGGACTCCACCCCGCCCTCCCCCCAACCCCCAAAAATGCGAGACTCTGCAGCGGGAATAGAGGCCTAGGCCTGGGGAATGATCCTTTAGTGAACCTCCCTCCCCTCTCTTCGCGCGTGAACTACTGGGGAGAAGGTATGCCGTCTTCGCTTACCCGCTATTGCGTGATTGGATGGTCGTCAAATTTTTTGATGAACGTGAGATACGGGTACGGATAAGTGGTAAGCCGTGGGAAGGCACTTCGGTTCCAAGAGGCCGCTCGCATACGGATACCTGCGCTACCGCGTTGTATCTGCAGGACACCGCCGGTGATGAAGGGTCACAAGGACGAGGGGAGGAGGCTTACTAGAGTGTCACCCATCACCGGTGCCGCAACCGGCGGGGGTTTTTAGCGGTAAACAGCAGGCGTTGGTATTATTGTCTTGTTGGCAGTGCCGTAGTAGCAGTGGTGGCTGGGAGTCCATGGTTAAAAGTGCAGTTCGAATCCTTGATCGGCCTGGGGCCGGCGGCGTGGAGTCATAAGGGACGGGAAGACGAGGTAAGAAGAAAAAAAAAAGTCGAAGAATACCCACCGCTCGCCGAACCGGGGTTGCTTAGAGAAGCAAAAAGGTGCTGTTCTGAATGCGGAAGCTGTGAGATTTGTCTCTCATTCTCACTCACACACTCACACGCATTTCTTCTTTCCTCATATCTTGACTCATGACCTATGTCATCGACTGGACCCTGAAAAAAAAGCCCGGACGATATAGACAGAGCCAAGTAGAGTTTGAGGGGCATTCCGGGGGTTTCAAGAAAGTCTATCTAGACAACTCCAATTGAAGATCCAGATCTCCCGATTTCACAAGCCGAAAAGGTTCATCAACATCCACACCCATGCCGGAGCAAGGTTTCACTGCACAGAAAGACTGATTCATGAAAGCAGATATCTCATATTACGCGATTTGACTGGCCCTCATAGTGAAGAAAGTACACAACAATGGCGCCCGGCAAGAGGACGAACCCGTCGTCCGCCGATGAGCGCACTCCCCTCATCCCCTCCATAGAACACCAACCCGCGACCCCTCTGCCCATCACGACCCCGCAAGGAGACGACGGCAATACCATCCCCCCAAACGAGTTCGACCTTCTCCTCTCAAAATCCCTCCCCACGTCGGGTCCCTTCCTTGAGCCGGAATCAACAGTAAATCCCCTCCTCCGGGGTCCCCGCCGCTACAGCAAGACCTCCAACCGCCGGCCCTCGCTCGGGAGCCGCTCCGACCGCTCCGATGCGGGCGTCTACGACACCGCTGTCGCCGACGACGACGACGCCCTCAGCACCACCAGCGTCGAGTCGACCCCCTACCTCAACGGCATCTCAAAGTCCCGCTTCTGGTTCATCTTCGCCGAGATCCTCCTGACCTACTTCATCGCCTGCTTCGACGGCACCATCATGGCCTCCTCCCACCCGGTCATCACCTCCTACTTCCACGCCTCCAACAGCGCCAGCTGGCTCTCCACCGCCTTCCTCCTCACCAGCTCCGCCTTCCAGCCCCTGCTGGGCCGCCTGTCCGACAGCATCGGCCGCAAGCCGCCCTACGTCGCCACCATGGTCATCTTCTGCATCGCGACCGTCTGGTGCGCGCTCGCGCAGAGCATGACGAGCTTCATCCTGGCCAGGGCGGCCTGCGGCCTCGGCGCCGGCGGCATGATGACCCTCGGCAGCATCATCGTGAGCGACCTCGTGCCCATCGAGAACCGCGGCGCCTACCAGTCCTACATCAACATGATCTACGGCGTCGGCTCCGCCCTCGGCGCGGCCCTCGGCGGCGCCATGGCCGACCACCTCGGCTGGCGCTGGGAGTTCGGCATCCAGGTGCCCCCCCTCATCATCTGCTGCGTCATCGCCGTGATCGCGGTCCCCGGCGACCTGGGCCTGCAGGGGAGCAAGCGCGAGACCTTCGTCGAGGCCATCCGGGCTTTCGACTTCAAGGGCTCCGTGCTGCTGACGACGGCCATCACGTTTTTCGTGCTGGGGTTGAACCTGGGAGGAAACGTGCTGCCGTGGTCGCATCCGGTGGTCGTCGCCTCGCTCGTCATCTTCGGGGTGAGTTTCCCCGTGTTTTTGTACGTGCAGTCGTATGCCGGGCGGCCGATCATGCCGCTGTACCTCGTGAGGCACGCGCCGCGGGCGAACTTGATCTTTTCCAACTTCTTCGCTGCGTTGCTGAGTAACGCCATTCTGTTTAACATGTGAGTCTCCAGGTCGGGTATCCTCTATGAGACAATACTGACACATAAACCCAGCCCCCTGTTCTTCCAAGCCGTCCTCCTAACAACAGCAACATCATCCGGTCTGCGCCTCGTCCTGCCCTCCATCGTCTCATCCATCTTCGGCACCGCGACGGGCTTCCTAATCACCTACACCCGCCGCCTCAAATGGCCCCCTCTCTCCGGCGCCGCGTGCCTCTTCGTCGGCTGCCTCTGCCTCTCCCTCATGCGCCGCGGCTGGCCGTCGTGGCTGTACCTCCTCTGCCTTGTCCCCTCCGCCATCGGCCAGGGCTTCCAGTTCCCGGGCACCTTCATGGCGGTGCTGGCGGCGAGCGACCAGCGCGAGCAGGCCGTGGTGACGAGCACGCTGATCCTGTGGCGGTCGCTGGGCATGGTGCTGGGCGTGGCGAGCAGCTCGCTCGTCGTGCAGAACGCGCTGGTGGGCTACCTGGACGACTTCGTGCGCGGGCCGGACAAGGACGAGGTCATCCGCCGGGTGAGGGAGAGCGTGGAGGAGGTCGCGAAGCTGCCGGCGTCGTACCGCGAGCAGGTCGTCATGAGCTACGAGGCGGCGCTGAGGTTGACGTTTCTGTGTTGCACGGCGATTGCGTTTGTTTCCGTGTGCTTGCTCGTGCCGATCAGGCTGCCGAGACTGGGCGCGCGTAAGTGAAGAAGAGAAGGAATGCTGCGTTACATTGGACATTTTAGCACATAAATTGTATAGTTGAGTCCGACATATAGCATAGCATCAGACGGCGTTGTGAGACCACATAATAAAATTCAATTTGCCATGACCGGGCACATTAAGCCCAAAGACCCCCTTTTTACCAGAAACCGTCGTATAGTACAATTTAATAGTGACCATTCACACCGTTCGTGCGGAGCGCATCGAGCTCCTCCTTGGTCTTGCGATACAGCTCCTGCGCCTCGCGTTCCCTCCTGCTCACGAATCCCACTTCGTCTCTCAGAGCGCCCAGGCGCCGTTGGATGGCGACCTCTTCCGAGATGGCGAGCGTCTTGAAGCCACTGAGAGCGTTGTTAGCCTTTTCGAGTGCCTCGGCTGCGTCGCCGATCTTGTCCTTGAGCATCTTCTGTCTCTTCTGGTAGCCGCCCATGTGCAGGGCCAGCTTCTTCTCAAGCTTGATGCCCTTCTCGGCCGCGGTTACGATTGAGTCTTGAATGGACTGTCATTCGGTTAGCAGACTGGTAACGTCTGGTCACGCGGGTTAAGAACTTACATCGAAGGCATCTTTCATTGCTGCCTCCTCTTCCTCTTCATCGTCTCCATAGCAACCCAGACCAAGAAGCAGCGAGTTCTTGCCCCGGTTCTCGAAAGCAGCCTCAATCTCAGCTCGAGAAGGCCGAGGCTTGGTCTCGCTGAGAATCTGAAGACGCGCCTCAGCGAGAGCGTTATCGCTGATCGTGTCCAAGTAAGGAGCAACGCCGGTGAGGGTTGCGTGCGGCACAGGGTACTTGACGGCATCATTTGCGATCAGAGCAGCAGCCTCCCTGGCAATGAGCACCTCTGCGTCGTTCTGGGCCTCGTTGGCAACGGACAACAGTGCAGACACATCCACCTTCATTGGCCGAGGGAGATTCTTCTGCAAAACTTGTGTCCGTCTTTGCAGTTCCAGAGCTTCCTGTGCCTCCCGGTATTCGCGTTCCCTGCGATCCCTCTCTGCTGCGTCTTCCGCCAGCATCTCCTCGGTAACAAGGTCTTCTTTTTGTTCTTCTGGAAGCTCGAGTTCCCAATCGGTGTCTTTGGGCTTGGGCAGAGCCGACAGGCCTTGCCGTAGTTGGTTGCGCAGAGCCATGTCTCGCATCTTGACGTCCTTGGGTGTAGCGGCGGCCATTGTGCCATCGTTTGCGTTCAGTGCGAAGCTGTCTCGTGGAGTCCTCATGGGGGTCTGGCCAACCCGAGCGGGCGTCTGCGCAACACCGTTGGCGTGCATAGGCGTGGCCATGGGGTTGGGAGTTGCGACGGTTTGCTTGCGTGGTGCGATGCCATCGAATCCTGTTGACTCCGCGCCTTCATGCAGGGGGGTGTTCTCACCACCCAGCAGCGATGACTGAGTGTTGGTGAGGGCTCTGATATTCCTGATCTCGTTGGCAATGTGGTCTTCTTGCGCGGGAGCTCGAGGTGTTCTGATCGGCGCGCTGTTGTTCAGAGTGGAGTACTCGCTGACCAGGCCTCTGGTGGCATCGTTTTCGCTTTCGCGCGCCATCATGTTGGCCCTCTCGCCGACCATACCCATCTTGACGATCTCCTCCAGCTCGCCCTCGCCGACCTGAGGGGCTGGCAGGTTGAGCGCTCGCCGTTTGCTGCTCTGTTCGGCCTCGCGAATCTTTTGCATCTGACCAGCCTTCATCGCAGCTTGGAAAGACGCAGACGGCGCCTCCTTCTCCTTCTTTCTCCTCTTGCTATCGCCATCCTCGTCGCCATCGCCCTTACGTTTGCTCGCGAGCTGCTGTTTTCTCGGGTCGAACGCCAAGCGCTGCTGCTCGTTGCGAGCCTGCTCCTCTGTTGTGTCGTAGAATCCAGGGGCGGCCTTCTTTTCGAAAGGAATGTCGGCATTGTAGTCCATCTGCCCCTTCTTGCGCGTGACGACCTTGATGTTGATGCCGGCCGTCTTCAGCTCGCGCCGCTTCTGCAGCGCGGCCAGACGGCGCGACTCCTCCTGCTGACGCTCTCTGGCCTTACGTTTCGCCTTCTTTCCTTGTGTGTTTGCGAGACGCGCTCGAGCCTCGCTGAGCATCTCTTTCTCGTCTTCGTCGAGGTCGATCGTATCGGGTCTGGCGGGCTTGCTTTCGGGATCGGGGTCGACTTCACCAGGGCGGAGTCTCCTGACGTCGTCGGCGCTGGGGGCCTGCGTCTCGCCGCCGTCGGGACCGGCGAGGCCGAACTGGCCAGCTTCGCGGGCTTCGGCTTCGTCGAGGAGCTTTTGGTATCGTTCGAGGCATTGGTTGGCGGTTCGGCCGACGATGGGGGCGATGGTGCGCCATTGCGTGGGCATCAACTTTGCGAGATGCAGCAGCTTCTCGTCTTCCTCCTTGCTCCATTCGATCTTCTTGATGCTGGGGTCCAGCCACTCGTTCCATCTTGCCTTGCATTGCTTGGGTGTCTTGCGCGCGAGCAGCGACGAGACACGCGCCCACTGGTTCAGGCCGTATTTGGATACGGAGGCCTTGAGGATTTCATCCTCGATGTTGGTCCAAACACCTCCCTTGACAACACCCATTTTGGCGGCAGAATGATCAAATTAGCGCGTTGGCGTGTCGACGTGGATGGTCTCCGTCGCGGAGTCGTCGCGGGTCATTCTCAGGCAGGCGTAAAGTTTTGGAGCAAGGCTGAGGGTGGCCTTCCTTGGGAGATGTCTTAGTCAGCACAGAGCTTCTCTGATTTGGTCCACAGCCAGACCGAGCCATGCACTTCACCGAAGCTCACCTGGACTTAGTCTCGGTGAACGAACTTGGCGCCGGTGAAAGTCCGCGAAGTCAATTACGATGACGAAAACGAGAGGGTGTCTGGGGCTCAGCAACGATTGGACCGTGCTTTATCAAGCAGCCGCATTCATTGAAGCTATCAACCCCTCGCGCTTGCTTCGGTTTCGGCAGCGACGACGCGTTGCGCATACTGGTTTACGACGACATTACATGGCCGATCCTTACTACGTGTCGGCAACGGCAAACGATCTCTATTACCGCGAGACGGCCGTTACTGTTTCGTTCAGAGTGACGAGCTCTGAGCACTTGCTTCGCAATATGGCGTGGCTCAAAACCGCTGCAGAGAGGTGGAGTTTACATAACCACCTGACTCGAAGGAAATCACCAGTGAGGAAGGTAAAATAGCGAAGGCGATGCCCAATTGCCATGGCCCTGACTACCCAGGCAGGACGGCAAACAAGGGCGGAGTTTGGTGTTTGGCCATGAACACACCACATGGCGGACAGCACACCACCCAGCGATATGCCGTCGGATGATGGCAAAGAGACCGCCCAGTTGCAGATGGGATTATCAACATGTCGCGTACAGCCTTCGGATAATGTTGCTTCAGGCCAACAAGTCGGAAACCGGAACACGAGAAGAATCGCATTCAGACGAAACTTGGACCTGCCCAGCCGACGGAACAGAGTTCAACGAACAGGGCAGACTTTCAGCCAAGAGACGGACTACCAGGAGACTGGCACCGCGGGACCGGTCCGCCAGTCGGTGCTGAAACAGGCCGACCACCGAACCTTGTCGACGACAATGCCCTCGGCTTTTGCGCAGTACTCGATAACTCCAAGACAGTTGCCATTTTCGGGTGCGACTTGAGGTGTCACTGCCAGTGGGAGAGGTGCTCTGACTGCTGGGGTGTTACGTGTCTGGGTCATTCTGACACGTATTTTGATCCTGAATTGTGGTCATTGTTACCTGAAAACAGAGATGAATTAGCCAACACCAGTCGAAGTACGAATAGTGGAAGGGATAGCAATCCGGTGGGAGCAAAGTGGCCGCGCGGGAGTGGCTCAAGGGTCAAGCTTAGAAATCCAACCCCGGTGCAGCGGTCGAATCCCGGCCCAACGCCGCTGGTCTTCAAGTGCTGGTTGGTTCCCCTCACTATCGGTTCTGACAGATCTGGACAGGGCAGTGGCTGGCTGCAGCTGGCAACAGTGAATTTGCATCGGGGGTTGCCCCCTTATCGGCGCGCATCTCTGCGAAACTGCGTCATGGATATGCCTGGAATACGCCAACTCATGCGCCAGCCGTCCCACGAGATTGGTTCGTCCTCTTGGTGGCAGTCCAGGTCCGGCAGGCACGCGGGCCAGCGTTGGACAAACCGCACCAGGGACACTCTTGTTCGTCTCGTGCTCACCTCAGTGATGAGTCCCTGTTTTTGAACGACTTGGACTGAACCCGCAGGCACATCACTGCCTATCTCAAGTGGTTTGCTACCCTATCTTCCTACAAAACAAAGTCCGCAGAGTCATGACAGCATCATGATGAGGGGGTTATCTTTACACAACACAACTGTCTTCTGTTTCTGCTAGCCACAGTCAACGCCCAGCGAAACGTGGTTAGGCCGTTGCGGCGTTCATCTCTACCTTTCTCTCCGCTCCAATAGGAATCGTTGGCGCCGCGTTGCTAGATGCTCTAAGCTTTGGCTTTTCGTTTCCCGCGCGGACTTTGATTCCGTACCGCTAAGGTACGGATAGGTGGTAGAGATAATAATTATGTACCGTTTTGTGTGTATTCCGTCTCGAATTCCAGAGCCATCGTCACCTCCGCCATCTAATCCCTACCCGCCGCGTCCCAGAAGTTCCGGTATCCTAGCTTCCCCCCCAATGATCCATCCCACACCTTCCCTGCACATGCACCTGCGTTCGTTCCCTTCTTGCGTCCTGGCGTCCCCTCTGGTGCCTCTGGTGCCTCTGTCTCTCGCCTCCCGGGCCCTTGGCTCCATTTCATCAGCGTCTACCGTTGTCCCACACGCGCCTTATCTCTCCATGTGGACATCGACCCCCGGTCCGCAGCGACGTAGCTCGCTATTTTCTATTTCTTCTCTCCTTCCCAATCCTACCCACGTTGTCTATCCTCATGGACATGTAAGGGAGCCCGACCCTCGTTGTGCGTCCCCTCTTCCAGCCCCCCTCTTCTTGTTTTTTCTTCATCATTTTTGTTTATAAATACTCCCGGCCTGCTCTTTCAAAAGGTCAGCCGAGGGCTGCATATCCGGAATAGCGATCCAAGAGGAATGGCCTCGTGGCAGTGTCGCTTCGAAAATAGATCCGCGCCCCCAACGCTCAAGTCCGAGAGATAACATAGCTCCAACTTCCGACGAACCAGCTCTCAGGAGGAGCAATAAAGACTTATCGAATCATCGGCATCCTCGTCTCGCCCACCGAAAGCTCCAAGCAGCTTTCCGAAGCTATTTGCGAAAGCTATCCATCCAACTCTACGGCTGCTCGGCGCAAATATGTCGGCACCAAAAGACGACATCGTCGTCACCCGCGAGGACCGGACCGTACACAACAAGCCAGGAAACGAGGCAACCGAGACGACGTCGCTTCTGAGCGCGGGCGCATCAGGCAGCGAAAACTCGTGCGAGGACACATGGCCTGGCTACGCGGATTTTGAGGGCTTGCCGTGGTGGAAGACGCCGTCCGTACGACATCACCCGGCCCGGGCCGCCTGTTGATCTTCGTCCTCCGTTGCTGACAGTTGGTGCGCCAGGTTTACTGGCTTCTCATCCCATATGCCCTGTTCACGCTCGCCTTTGGAGGCTCCCTCGTGCCCAAGCTGAATCTGTATGTTGTGATGTTGTCACCAGGTTATGTGTGCCGTTGCAGTCGCTAATGCTGTGCGACGCAGAATCGTGGATTTGGTATGCCAGAGGCATTTCGCAGATCAGACCGTCCTGGACCCGGCGTTTGCGTACACGCCCGTGGTATTAGGTGCGGACAATCCGCAATGCTTCATCCCGGAAGTGAAGAAGCGCGTGTCCATGTTCACCTTGGCCATCAACCTGACTACCGGAATCCTGTCCGCAATCACGGCGCCTAAGCTGGGTCACTTGTCGGACAGGTACGGCCGCACAAAGCTACTGGCCCTGGCATCTGTCGGCGGCGTCGTCGCCGAGCTGGCCGTCATTCTCTGCGCCAACTTTCCCTGGACTTTTCACTACAACTGGCTACTCGTCGGTGCCGTTGGCGATGGACTCACCGGATCATTCACCGCCGGCAGCGTCCTGATCAACTCGTACACCAGCGACTGCACCCCGCCATCCAAACGCGGCGTGCGCATCGGATATCTTCACGCTTGCCTCTTCACCGGTCTGGCCTTCGGACCGCTCCTGGCCGGCTACTTTGTCACATGGACGGGCAGCTTGCTCTCGGTGTTTTACGTCACGATGTGCTGCCACATTGCCTTCATCATCTTTGTCGGCCTCGTCGTGCCCGAGTCCCTCAGCACCAAGCGCCAGCTGCGCGCTCGTGAAAAGCACGACAGGGAGCAGGAGGTTCTGGCTGACGACAAGTCGAAGTGGGCATACATCAAAGCAAACAACCCCCTGGCGCCGCTAAGGGTGCTCTATCCCAAGGGTCCTGGCGCGTCGTCTAGATTGCGATTGAACCTGCTCGCCCTCTCGTTCACAGACATGATCCTCCTCGGTGCGGCTATGAGCGTCGGCACGGTTCTTCTGCTGTACTCGGAGTCTCCCGAGACATGGGGCTGGGGCACCTTGGAAAGCTCGCGCTTCATCTCGGCCATTTCGTTGGTTCGTGTTCTCGCGCTGCTTGTCGTCTTGCCGTTCATCAACTACGTCTTCCGCGTCCGACCTGCCGCGTACCGTCGGAGGGTCTCGGGCGTGTCGATTGTGGAGTCCAACAACGGCGCCGATGTCGTCGACACCTGGATCCTCCGGTTCGCATTGTTGTCCGACGTCACCGGCTCCCTGGGATACCTGTTTGCGAGGTCCGAGGCGGTCTTTGTGGTGTCGGGCATGGTCACCGCCTTTGGCGGTCTCGGTAGCGCCACGATCCAGGCCGCCATCACGAAGCACGTCCCCGCCGACCAGGTCGGGCAGCTGCTCGGCGCGATTGGCGTTTTGCACTCGCTGTCGAGGGTCCTCGGTCCCATTGCGTTCAACACGCTGTATTACTCGACGGTTGGCACGTTCGACCAGGCCATCTTCGTGCTCCTCTCGGCCCTATTCGGGTTGGCGCTGGTGGCCAGCTTCATGGTCAAGCCGCATGGTGAGTGTCCTGTGCAAGCTTTTCAGGTCTAAAACTAACGCTCGCAGTTTTCCTCGAGGATACATATGAGCCGGTCAGCACCTCGCCGGAACCCAACACGAGCACCGAGACTCTTGCCGAAGCAGCGCTGGAGGATGAGTTGATACCCAACAACTGAGGTTGGGTTGTACGATGAGTTGTGACCGGAGATACAGGGGGGATTATACCTAGAACATAGACGTAAGCGCCATCGCGCGCCGAAGGGTTGGAGAGGAAATAGTTATTTTAGAACGGCAGCCTTGACTGCCTGGATACGAGAGTATCATCGATACCACAATACACTTTTCTTGAATTTACGTCGGACACGAGAGATGAGGTGACGCGTTGAGGCGAGTCCAGCGCCCTTTCAATATCAGAATGTAGAGGCATCAGACTGTGTTTCTCCCCCCACGGACATTATCGCTCGACGTATCACTTCGGAGTTTGCTTTCTGCAACGCTGTTGCCCTGCGTAGTCAGTAACATCCATATCCCGATGCCTTTGTGCTCTGTAGCGTTGGTGCAACAGCAACTTATCCCTGCGGATGAAGATGGTTGTTGATAAAGTCGTGGGCTCTCCTGCTGTATTTCCTTTCCTTTCTTCAGCTCGCCACGGCCCATCGGAGAGAAGTTCCATCAACTGGACTCAACTATGCCTGTCCAGTCGACTCATCCGAAGACAAAATGGTAAAGCCAACCTCGCCATGTCGGAATACCAGGAGACGGACTATCGCGAACTAACACCTCGACAGAAGCTCTACATCATCATTCTGCTTCTCCAAGCGGCCTTCGTCACAACAACAGCCCTCTCACCCCGCCACCTCGACCCCCGCCAACGAGCAACACCCAACCCCAACCTCCCCTCCCCCTCCCGGCGCTGGACCTGCCTGCGCACCGGCGGCGCCGAGACCTCCCGCCAGGACCTGCGCGCCACGCACGCCGTCTTCAACCGCCTCTACGGCCGGCCGCGGCTGACGGGGGACCCCAACGAGTGCTTCGTGGCGCGGTGCGACGGGTTCCACTTCTCGTGGTGCAACCTGGGGAACGGCAGGCGGCGGGAGGACGTGGCGGCGAGGGACGTCGTCGCGGGCGAGATGGATCCCGGGAGCGGGGTGATGTGTCTTGCGGCGGTGGGCGGGGAGGGGTTTGATGCGGATTTGTTTTATTTCTGGGGGAGGGAGGAGAGTGTTAGGATTCCGAATTATGGGGGCGGGCGGACTGTCAGAAGCTGTTGATTGTTAGGAGCATTGATGAGATATTTTATTGAATTGAATATGCGTGGTCTCATCACCTTAGGCAAGAGCATTCGTGTAAGTATCCGTACCTTCCAAAAGTGAGAGCTGGATGCGTGGTCCATGCGCCCGGGATTTCCGGAGCTGAGCCGACTTCATCTCGGCTCCGACTCGGCTCCGAGGCCGGGCCATGGTTACATCAGGTCCATTCCACCCCCCTCCACACAGCTGCTCACACACACTCACTGAAGTAGTTGTTTGTGGGTCCCAGGCTGTCAAAGGCAGTTCATTCATGCCTCAGTCGCCCAAAGCCAGATCCTATTCTCAGTCGTCCAGTGGTCTTTATTAAAAGACAAGTAAAAGCAAAAATGACTACTGCGGGTGTCAACCGCACTGTTTATTGCTTCCGATACCGGGAGTCGAACCCGGGACTCTCCGGGAGTGCGCATGAAAGCGGAGTATGCTAACCGTTACACCATATCGGATGTTCTTGGATGAAAGATGGGTATGGTTGGCAACCCAAGTAGCGAGGGCTCACACGTGCTGACTCGGCTGGGTGCGGGGCGTTGCTGGGCCAACGCGTACTACTTTCGCGCAGTAGTATTGTCCTGAGCCGAAGTCTGTAGCTGGAGTCCCAGGGTCTGCGATGCCTGGGTGTTTGAGTTATGTGCTTCCGAGGGTCGTGCGATGGCTAGACGCAGAGGTTCGGTCATGGGAGGCAGCGGTGGGCTTGCCTGCATCCTAGAGCGTCAATTGTGGACTTTGTGATTGGGACTGGTGTGTCGCTATGGCGAAATTCACCAGATGTTTGACAAAAATATTTCCTTTGATATTCGAGTAAGTAAACAGCTCAGAGTTTCATTCCGAGTCTCGAGAGTTGCAAAGTTTGTTGCGTCACGCGTGGCTGAACCACGAAGTGCCATATGTTCATCCGAAGGCAAAGGTGCGCCTTTTTGTTCACCAAAGTCGGAACTTGACCTCTTAGCAACAAAAGTCTCCAGGCATTTCATCTTCTAGATACTTGACCCCCATGAATTGTCCCACCATGAAGAAGTCTATTGCAGCACAGTCGCACCTCAACCTTCTCCGTCACAGTGTATGCGACAAAGTACTAAGGTTTGGTTCATCAGTAAGTGAAATATCATAATGCACAAAAGCTCACGACTTGAGTTTTGGAATCAACGTGTCTTCTGAATCCCTCGATGTGTTTATCGGCTCTACTTCAACTAGGTCCAGCTCAGTGCGTCAAATTTATGAAATATTTCGTTTGCAAACTTGTTGAAGACCAAGGCTGAAGTTACATGTACACCAAAACTCCTAGCCCCCTCTATCGTACCTTCTTTGCCGAACATCGCCTGCCGAGCGATACATAATAATACATGACGCTACTCGTTATGCTTGAACGTCTTCCCTTCATATTACATCCGTCCAATGCCCTTGCCGACCCATCACTCTTTAGGCTTGTAGACGATCATCCGCCCTTTATGCGGTCGTGCCGCGACCTTCATATGACACTCCGAGCAGGAATAGTGCAAATCCACGCACCAGCCCACCATGCTGGGGACGCAGCAGACGAGGAAGAAGAAAACACCGGAAACAGTTCGCATCATTCTGTTCTCAAGTCAGCTTTCATTCCTTCCGATATACTTGCAAGGTGCACTGGTGCGTTTCACGTACAGCTGCTTGAACTCCCCCGTCTTCTTAACCGTTGTCTTCGTGCGCTGCTTGCAGAATGGGCAGTCGATCGTCTGCGGCTTGTCGCCATCCAGTTCTGCTATGGGTGTGACCTCTTCTTCTTGGTTTGTTGGGTTCTTTGAGGCATGGTCATTTTCACTGTTTTTCGGTCAGAATTGGTCTAGCAACGCACTGCGCGTGATCCATTTCTCAACTAACCTGGCTACATCCGGTATTTTCGGCGTCTCCTTCTCCATCACGGGGCTCGAACTCCGCAGTGAGGTTGCCGTCGAGTTTCTTGCTGGTTCAGCATTTAGACTTCCTGGAGGCGTTGAGACGACTGGAGGTGCAGCTTTCGAGGACATGACGTGCAGTTGGACTGTCGCAATGGGAAAATAATCGATATCAGTGGTGTTTGGCAATGAGGGTTGACCTTTGAGCCAGACGAGTCGCAATCTGCAATTCGGAAAAGCCAAGCTCTCGATTAAATGCTTCTTTAAGGGTCAACACAACTCGAGTTACGTTGCGGCACGGCAGAGACACAACCTTGGCAGACGTAGTCAACCAGCGTGGTGCGGTGAATGATACGCCTCCAACACACCCTCAGCAGCACCACACCGCAGCAGTCGGGCGGCCGAGCCCTGGAGAGAGACAATTTGGAGACGACCCAATAGCGGGCGGGATGACGACATCTGACATGTAAAAGCCACGAAGATCGCATTCTTTTACACGAACAATAGGTACATAGTATATGAGCCAGTTTATACATCGAGTAAACTTATTACTACAGCCAATGACGAGCAGATATTCGAAGAAGGCAATGCGTTACACAAGCATCCTTCGAATGCAAAACCCAGCACCATTGCCGCGTACCCAGCCCCTCTCAGGCAAAAAGTCCCTGTTGCCACCACTTGCAACGCTGGTTTGCGGTATCGTCTTTCTGCAGCGAGGTCCCGTTCGGTGCCAGGTTCATCAACATGGATTCCGTACCGTACAGGGGCACATCAGCGCCGTTGAACGACGGCACCGATTTCGTCACAAAGCTGACGATGTAAGACTGCAGAGCGTCCGCAACGGGCTCCACAATGCCGGCCGGTGCACCGTTCCGGAAGACGTATGGAGTCTGCTGGCCGTGGATGCCGGGAGGAACCGCAAATCGCACTGCAAACAAGTCGTGTTAGTCTCACGCTGCTGTTTTTGACAGAGATTAGGAACACTTACGAGCATAAGCTTGGTTGCTGAACGCCCGAGCGAGGTAGTTGGTGTTGCAGATGATGTTGATGTCCTGGATCGTAGCCAGAGCACGCTGGAACTCGTCCTTGTAGCCCGCCGAACCATTGAAGATGGGGGGATAGAGGGTTGAGTTGATGTACTCCAAGGCATCCTCCTTGACCGTGGGGAAAGAGGAGGTGATGGTGCTTAGGTAATCAACGGACGAGTTGATGGTGGGATTCGTGAAGATCAGGCCCTCGAGGGTGTTGTGCATGGTCATGATTCGTACGTCCTTGTCAAAACTCCCGTTGAGCAGCAATTGTCCCGGTAATGCGGGCGCGTACTTGCCGTCCACAACCGGGCCGTAGATGTTGTTTCCGTACGTCGCCTCGCTGTAGATCTGCAATGCGTTGCCGGCGATCACCTCTTCGCTAGACAGCTTGCGAGCCTCGCTCAGTGACGTGACGTTCAGTATATCGAGGAAGTTACCGAAAGCTCGCTCGGCGTTGACTTCCGTCGGGGCCGGGAGGAACGCGGGCGAGAGCAGAATGGCCTGGCTGAACAGCGACTCATTCTTGCGGCCTCCGAACGCGGTGAGGTGGTGCATGATGGAGCCCGCACCGGCCGAGCCGCCCATGACCGTGACGCGGTTCTTGTCGCCCCCGAAGAGATGGATGTACTTTTGAACCCATCGGAAGGAGAGGCGCTGGTCGTGGAGGCCGGCGTTGGGTGTCCCATCGGCGGCGACTTCTCTGCCCGAGAGCCAGCCCAGTGCGCCAAGACGGTAGTTCATGGCGACATAGACGAAGCCGTTGTTGCTCATTCGTAGGAGTTCGGCTGGGTTGAAGTCGCCATCGCCTGTCTTGTCTCCAGAGGAGTAGCCACCACCGTAGACCTGGAAAAGTCAATTAGATGGACACCAGATGAGCTGTGCAGTGAGGGAAAACATACATAGATCAAGACAGGCAGCTTGGTTTTGTTCTTTCCAAAAGCCGTCTCTGGTGCAATGACATCGAGAAAGAGGCAGTCCTCGGTGGTTCGGTTATCCGCGCTGACAACACGAGGACTCTTAGGAAGGGCCGCAACAGCGGCGTTGTAATCAAAGGGTTGGCCGTTCACATAGGCTTTTGTGAAGTTGTTGGATATGAGGGACCAGTTGCCGGAGGACTGCGGACAGACACGGCCGACGGATCCATCATCGACGCGGCACTGACGTCCCGTGGGCTCGACTGGTAGACGGAACCGAAGGTCTCCGATTGGAGGCGCTGCGTATCGAATGTTGGAGAAGTTGTAGTACCCGCCGGATTCCTGGATTGGTGTTAGCTGAGAGCTACTTGGACTGTGACATGTATCACTGACGTTAAGACTGTTTGCTTGGTATGCTGCCTGTTGAAAGAGTCAGTATTGAGAGTTTGTTGAACGTTAGCTGGTACAGATAGGTGAGACTAACGTAGTCAAGGTGCACCACTGGCAACTTGCTTGCTCCAGTCTGCAGTGCAAACGACGCGAGAAGAATGGTTGAGAGTGACGGACGCATTTTGTTGTGTTTGTTTGAGTAAGATCAGGATTGCTTGTTGCGATGAACCAACAACGGGAAATTAGTGAGACTTTGAAGTGAACTTATACAATTGCTCTTCGCCGCCAATATTCGAAATTGAGGTATCGCATCGGCATTCTCCAATGGCTTAGACGCAGACTGCCTAGATAGCGCCATCTACTACAAGCGCCGATGCACACCTTGAATCCATGTCCTTCAAACGGGACCCAAAGCCATCAACTTGCTGCGCAGTCCAAATTGGGTAAGGTTTACGGCGACGAAGCCACTTGTCGAATTTCCCAAACCCACCCGCGTCAGAAGTAAGCATCAGTGCTAGGGTATGGGATGCTGAATAAAGAACCTAAATTTGACGCCACAACCGGTCGATCTAGACGTATCATGCTCTATCCCCTGCTTAAACTGGTGGTAAAAGTGACTGTGGCAATTACTTAGGGCTGACTGCAGAAACAACAACGAGTAGCGTTGGCGATGTGTCTATTTCGGCCCTGCCATTTCCCTGTCGTAATCTCTGCATAGATCTTAGTGTCAGGCTAATTCGTAATTCTTTCCACATTCGTCAAAGTAGAGGCTTGGTGATGTAAGAACTGAATTTGGGAGAATGATGCAGCTGCCGTCCCGGTGAACATGATCCAGTTCTATGGGAAATTGAATAAACTACAAGTTCCCGTCTGTGACGTATCGATCCCGGACTTGTTACTCTGACAAAGGGACAAGTGCCAACGCAAATCGTCTCGTTATTTGAATAATCTCTCTCTCAGAGAAGAATAGCAACCCGTCGTCTAGATAGACCAGAGATCTGAACAGGTCGCAGCCCACGGAGTGCTGCGATTTAGGACGGCCGATGCTGTGGAGGCCGTAAACTCATACTTAGCGACAGCCAACGCAAAAACACAAAAACAAAAAGGCTTTCCAAACATGGGAATCATTAGCATTGCTTCTCTCCACTGGAGACAAAAACGTGACTTCCTTAGGGGACAATGAGGCGTTTTTCGAAGAGGAGTTAGAGGAAACGTTACTGAGGCAGTTTTCAGTTAACTATATTCTGTTGTATGCGAAAGAAGAGAGACCAAAGTAACCCTAATGAGATACTAGCACATAGTTGACGTATAAATGTAGAAATTTGTGTCGATTGGGCAGTATCTACGGTCCGTTGATGAAGCTGATAACTGAAACTTGGGGCAATTTGCGCACACTTGAATGGTGTCGGTTCAAGGAATGATTGCCCGCCTCATAATTCAATCCCATGAAGCCACGTGCATGTTTCGCGGCAGCCTGGCCCCTCTAGAGACTGTCTGTGTTCAATTCTTGGTTCGAGGAAAGCTGACGTGCGTCAAACCCATCGGGAACATGCGGTGCGGTCGGGATGATTGACCAATAGCTGGGCGACGGCTGGCAAAATCGAAAGGACAAAACGCTTACGATCGAGATCTCTGCCAATAGAGTAAGGAGAACGCACTTGGGCAGCAACAGGATCTGCACCCAATTTTCGCAGTAATGAACACGTGCCCTTGCTACTGGATTAGGTTCCCAGCCAGCCTTCATACATCAATTCTCCATCCGTCAAGCTCAACAAACACACACGCAACGCTTACCGCTTGACGTACAGAACTAGGCCTGATTTTGTGTCTTTTCAATTTGCAACAGCTCTCTTAACGGCGAGCATCAACTTCATGATCAACGTCCGCTAAAGCCTTGAAACCCACCCATCAACATAATGTCATCCTCCAAAGCAGAGCAAGCGTCGCATTTCCCGACTACTACCGAATCTTCCGGAGACTTGAAGAACTTGCCAAGAAAGCTCATGAGCCCAGATATTCCACAGAGTCATCAGGATAGTAGCCGAACGCCTTCCTTCATTTCAACTAATCCAGAGGGAAACGAGTCTGGCCAGATACCGAGCCTCATGGAGGAAATCCGAGCCTTGAAAGCAAGGATTCTGGAAATTGAAGGCAGAAACGAAAACCCGCGTTCAAACTCGAAAATCGAACAACGCCCGCCAGGACTGATTGAAGACATGGAGAAGTATCGGCGCATGGAGAAATGTTTATACTCCCACAGAAAGGAATGGGAGTCTCAGGACACGACAAAGAATCTTGATATGGTTCCAGATCAAGACAACTCAAGGCCTGGCGAAGGCAATGGTCCCTGGAAAATACACTGGAACATTGTCCATAATCCCGGGGACTACAAACGACCAGACCCTTTCGACCCTTTACACGACTGCCATATTACAGGAGACACGAACCTGGACCAAGGAGGAATGGACGACTTTGACGAGACGATCGATTACGGTAACCGGCGAGACCGCTTACGAAAGGCGTTCGAGTGGGAGATGGACCGCTTGTACCTGTCCGAAGAAACTTCCATTCGCCGTCGCAAGCAAGCTCAGCAGGCGAAAGAGAAATTACCGTCGAGTGGTTTTGCCGGGACATCTTCTGGCAGCAATCGCCACCAAGCACCGCTTGTAAGATCTGTTGATTGGAACAGTTTCAAAAAGCTGGGCGAGTATCAGCAAATGAGTCTCTGTGCCATCGACATTCTCATCGAGGAGCCCGTAATCCAAGAAGACTGGAGGATTTCAGGATTCCAAGTCGGATTTCGCAGGCGACGCAACCACCAGAAGGACCGACAAGCCCTTAACGCCATCATGTCAGCCCAGTTACCAGAACGAATTCGCATTAGTTCCGATGCAATTCCCGTGATTCTCAACAAGATACTCGAGCCAAGCGCAGAAAACTGGATTAGGTCAGGGGGGGAGCCAGTGGTGTTCACAAGACCATTCAAGTCCTTGACGTATTGCGAGCAGGGTTTGAGAAACCTACAGAAAAAGCTCGAGAATAGAATCGCACGAGAGACCATCCCAGAAGACAGCAACACCAGCCCCAATATGGTTGATATGTACAATGAGCAGGAGCAGCGTCAAGACCCAAGTGTGAGAGTTGCACTCGAGCCTCAAAGGCCACCCTCTGAGAGAAATAAGGCTGACGAACAGGTTAAGCAACTACAATCTGATGATTCAAGTGAATCAGAGATATCGGACCACGAAGACGAAAACGGGCTCAGGGAGCACGACCTTGACATGATAACGAAATTACGACAGCCTGTTCAACAGCTGGCATTCTTTCTCGACACTCTGAAACGCAAAGTTCTGCACAGATGCGAGTATCTCAACAGTACTCATTGCCGAAGAATCTTTTTTTCCGATCTTTGGCACTTGTTCCGGCCAGGAATGGAGATTATCCGCAGGGACGGTGAACAGGCCTACCGCGTGTTACACGTCACAAGCGCAAATCATCGAATGATATCGCCGTGGCAAAGGTGGACCGACCCGCCTTACAACCCGGACGGCGAGACGAAGGAGCCAAGACCCGACTTCCGTATAACTTGTATCTACGTGGACGTAGACGGACAGCATATCGGACCAGTAGCGAAGACTTTCGACATCAAACCCTTCGAAGGAGAGAGAGAAGCCACATCCCTCGAGGTTTTCCCACTACGACTTTACACTGTCCGCAACGGATTGGAGAACGAGGACGAGTGGAATGAAGAGCTCACATATACCGAGGACTCTTGGCTTAGACAAAAGCTAATCCAACGCGGAAGGAGGTTTCTTGACGTCTTGAGGGAGAGACGCTGGTTCTATGCGGGGCCGACCCTCGACGATTACGAAGAGGTTGAGGGAGAAGTTATCGTGGATTTTGAGGCTGCTTTTGACGTGCGAGATGAGGATGTTTCCCAAAACAAAAAGCCCCAGGTTGATGGGCTTCCGAATCTTTTGCTGGATGATTACGAAGTCGGAGAAGAGTGTCGCGCCAGCTGTTGTCAAGACGAATATGTGTACGATGATACACACATCGACATGAAACAAGGTCTCCAGTATATCAACAACCTCTTGCCTAAAAAGGGGGCGCAAGAAACGACCTCGCTTGCAGTTCTCCCCCGAGATTTGACAGATTTTCGAAGACCAGCTGGAAAGGGAGAGTCTCTTGTCTCAGAGGAAGAGCTTCTCATCTTATCTTGCAGAGTTTTTGGGTTCTTACTGCGTCAAAAGCGTTGGGGTAGGTGGAAAGAGAAAGAGACCCCCATAAGGCCGTACCATCGTCTGACCTGTTTCTTTTTGAACTGCAGCCGAGTTGGATATGGAGTATCTGTCCGATTACAGACCAAAGGAGACAGCTGCTCAAATCAGTCGAGAGCCAGGGTCGGGAGAGAGCTCTGATGCACGAGAGCAGCCCGTGTTACCCACAGCTTGGGATCGACTTGTTATCGACGTGAGGCACAAACAATTGGTTTTGTCCCTAATAACTCAATACTTTCGAAGTAAAAGTTCAGGCGGAAAGGACGATTTGTCTGATCTTGTGAGAGGAAAAGGTAATGCCAAAATTCCGAGAAGACAGACCGACGGCGGCAGCTGACCCCATACCAATTACAGGCAAAGGATTGATCATGTTGCTTCACGGAGCACCAGGAGTGGGAAAGACGTCTACTGCAGGTGAACTTTGAATGTAAGTAGATATAAGAAGATTGTCACGCTGACTCGGTTGCAGAGGGTATTGCAGAAAAGTTCGGGAAGCCACTTTTTCAGATGACAAGCGGTATGACCCTCAAGTACGTGATGTTGCGTAGGGTGTTTCTAACTCATAATTTCAAATCAACAGGCGACTTAGGAACATCACCAAAAGAAGTTGAACACTCGCTCGAAAGGAATTTTGCTCTCGCTAATAAATGGGATTGTATTCTCTTGATTGACGAGGCGGATGTCTTCCTCGCCGAAAGAACAAAAGATGACTTAAACCGAAGTGCTTTAGTCTCAGGTAAGCGTGAGTTGAAGACAGTAAAAGAGGATCGTGTTGCTGACACTAGGTAATTAGTGTTTCTCAGAATTCTCGAATACTATTCCGGGATACTATTCTTAACGACCAACCGAGTCGGCGACTTTGACGAAGCCTTCACCTCCCGCATCCACATGACTCTTTTTTATCCAGAGTTAGATAAAGACAAAACTCATCGAGTTTTCGAAGTTAATCTGAAGATACTTGAAGAGCAATTCAGTCGTCAAGGCCGCCAACTTGTCATCGACTACGGAGGAATCTACTTATTTGCCCGTCAGTATTATGATGAGTACCCCCACGCACGTTGGAACGGTCGACAGATCCACAATGCCTGTCGAACAGCGCTGGCTCTTGCCGAGTTCGATGCGCAAGGAGGTAGCCATGCGGTCATACTCAAGTCTCATGCTGTCGTTCAACTTCGTGTCGCACATTTCGACGTTATACGCAATGCTCACATGGACTTTACTCAGTATTTGTCTGACATATACCGTCTCGACGCCAACGCCAGGGCTATGAAACGGATGAGAAAAACCTACATGCGAGCTGCAATTGCGGACGAAAGTCTCGACAAGCCAGGAGATAACCGCAAAAACGCCTATGATGGCAAGGGCAAGACACCTGAGGTGAAGATTCCAACGACAGTTTCCTCTGGATTGGAGCAGCAGGCTTCGGCTTTTGATCCCCCAAAATCACCAATGTACTCATCGTTCGACGCACCTTTTGCACGACCGTCATGGAACCACAATGCTTTCGAAGGACCCCAAGTCCAACCGCAACCAGCTTATGGGTTGGGAGAAGGCTCTCAAACCCAACAGGCACAAAGCTTTCAGTATCCAACGTTCTACAAACAAAGAGATGGAGTCGAACGACAACAGGGCCCCTACCCTTCGCCATCTTACAGGGCGGGTGAGTTTCAGAGTATCCCAGGACCATCTGCATCAAATCCAAATTCGATGCAGACATTATACAATAGCCAACAACAAATACCAATACCACTCGAAGAACATCGGTACAATGCCGGTGTACCCCGACCCAGCTCACATGCAACGGGTACTGGCAACTTTCTTCAAAGATCCTCACAAGTCTCCAGTGTTACACAGCCTCAATTCCCCCAATACCAGGCGGAAAGGCCTTCATTGGTCAAGCAGGTCGTTCTAGACATTTATGTACCTCAAAATCATGTGGAACATAACCAAGGGCCGCTGAACGCAGTTGAAACTGGCAGAAATGCTGGCGGGGTAGGAACACAACTCCCGCCTATGCCTAGTCCACGGTGGTAGTGGAAGATTGGGCTGGTTCATGGCGAAAGGGCAAGTGGGCACGGGGAAACAAAGATGACGTCTCAGGTAGACCGCTCAAGAAGGATTGCTATTCTCTACAAATCATACATATTTTTTTAAGCCCATGCAGCGTGTCTTGGTTGAAAAGTCAATGCCATTCGTTGGTTTACTGCTTGATATGACTTTTTGCCATAGATTTGTGGGTTGACAAGAAGCTTAAATGGCTTGTCCAAACCGATACACGCGTCTTTACATCCATTACCCGACGGGAAGAAAAGAGCGGACCAAGACAGGGAGAAGCGGCGTTATGACCAACCAAGACAAGATAGCTACTGTAACAAGATTTTCTAGATTCTAGATACGAGGTAAAGTCAATAATTGACTAGATACAGAAACGAGATGGCTACTAAGAGGTTATTTAGATAGAACATACGGTATGCAATATCGGAGATGGTGTCTTGCCCGAAGATGAAGCCTTGGTCTTAGAAGAGGTATGGCTCTACCTGCCCTGTTAGGAGGCTAAACATAAGCTAGTTACTGCGGGATATCGGCAGGGAAGCAACGTAATTTGTATTATTACACATTCCTGACATGCATCAATAACTCACTCCGAGTTCTCCTTATTTCTTATCAGTGGCACACCATTTGCATCACTTTCATAACCCGGCAGTCATGCTCGACGGTCGAGGAAATTGACAACATTCGTGTGGCCATGTTTCACTGCCATGCTCCGAATATCATTGCCGTCTTCATCTTTCGCCCGCACATCAAGGTTATTCTCCAGCAGAAATGCAGCCATCTTCATGTCCTCCACTCTAGCGAACTTATTCTCTAACGTAGAGAGTATCAGCAGCAACACATTTCGTCCATCTTGGAGGTCGCAATGACATGTTTTGTCCAACAATGTCTTAAGAAGATCGAGTCGTTGTTGCCCAATTGAAATTTGATCAATGTGGGTGTGATAGAATGGTACCAGGACGGGATTGTCCCAGCTCCCGCAGAGCCTGATCGTCCGGGGCTGGTACAGCTGATTCGCGTCGATGCATGATGTAGGTATACGCAGTTGAAGGCGCCTGAACTCCTCAACAGACATAACCTCGGAAACGCCGTCTTTCGGGGAAACCCGGTTCTGATCATCAGCAATGGTGATCGTTGAAAGAAGAGATTTGGTCAAGTCATTCAGACCAAGTCTCACTGCCGTCTCCAAGAGCTTTTCGGATTTAGGGCTTTTGATCTTGACTTCAACTTCGTCTAGGGTAAGGAGGAATTCAATTGCAACTGTGTCGTCGCTCGAAAACGCCTGCGAAAGCAGCGTGTGGCCCTCAGTACTCAAAGCATTCACGTCACCTCCTTGCTGAACGATCTTCTGGAGAGTCCGAATACCTGTCTTAATGCCGAGAGCAACGTCGATCACTCTACACAGTAGAAGGCTTCCAGAAAGATCCAGGTTTGCCCACCATGTAGTCATGCCGGCATGATTCTGTAACATAGCTGAGAGCGAGCTGTTTCGATGAGCTTCCCAGAAGTGAGTGCCCCAGTAGCTTCCAGCGTATTGAAGAAACGGATGACGCCCAATGAAGTCTTCATCGATCTTCCTAGCGTCATTCTCTGACCGGGAAGTCGATTTTGCGTGGGTTCGCCATTTTCTGAGTTTACGGATGTGGCGTGTGAGGTCGTCGTGTAGCCTTTTCTGCGATAGATAACTGCAGCAGACGCTTGCAATTTGCGCTGGCCCATCCGCAAACCATTTACGGTATGTCTCCCGGAAGTACTCGGTTACTGTGTAGTGGCATGGCCGAACATCTTTGTTCTCGTGGACCAAGAGGCCATGACAGGAGATGATGATGAACTCCGCATTTGGCAAGTCGTCCTGATCCAGATCAGGGATACCGCCATCGCCGTTTCTATCCGAGGTGGTAAGAATGGCGACAGCATGCTGCAGCTCGGACATGCTAAGCTGCCTTCGGGCCCCAAATACCAAGGAGAGGGCTCGCAGGGCGCGGATTCTGTCGTTCTTGGGTTGACGCAATATTCTTTCCATTGTTTCTTGGTAAGCATCCTTGGCCCTGGACGGTAAGTGCTCAAGAGCGTGACGAATCTCAGCCTTCGAAGCTACATCGTGAAGACTCTCTACGTGATGCCTTGCCATAAGGAACCTTAATGTATAGATATTAGCGCGTGAGATGAATGCTGGCTTAGTCACGGAGACTTACATGCCATCGGCTTGTTCGATGATCTTTTCTACAATGCTCCGTTTTAACGCATCGTTACTCCCAATAACCTGTCTAAGTCTTGGATTTTCTTGGATGTGCCCTCTGACGAAAGTCTCAATATCGCCATGAGACGCCGTGATCCTTATCTGCAAACAGCTTGAAAACATGTTGACGAACTTGGGCGTGTTTCGGGACGTGCAAAGAAGCCTGACATCGGGGAAAGGCAGCCGGGATAATCTTCCTAAGATCTCATCTTGTACCCTGTCACTAGCCTCATCCAGTGCGTCGAGTACGAGATACAAAGTCTTCAATCGAATCGAGGATGACGCGAATGCATTATGCAATTCGTTTAATGAAGGTTGGACCCCAGGTCTTGTAGTGTTGCGAAGTTTGCTGATAGACTCTGGTATCTGAGTTAGACCCTGAAGAACCTGGTGGAGGACGCTTCGTTCGAGTTCGTCCAAAGTTTGTTCTGCCTGGTTCTCCTGATGGCAATATAAAGTCGCCACAATGATCAGGGATTCCGACTGCTCAAACTGGCTACTGAGATAATGAGAGATAAAAGCTCTTGAGACGTAGTTAGCAATATGACCTTTGGTTGGTTTTCCCCTCCGCTACATATTCGTGTGGTGCTGAGTAGACTGAGCCGGCGCAATGTGCTTGAAGGACGAGGACGTCGATTGTTAAAGTGTTCTCGTGTATGGAGATCAGATCAACTTACGCGATCACGGATTTGCCGGCACCGGCTATTTGTAAACTTGAAGTTAGCGAATCAGGTCCCTTTGGGTTATGTATGATATACGAACGGCTCCCATGAAACCAGATAGTGGTGGAAGGCTGGTGAAGCCACATCCTGAAGTTTTCATGTTGGAGAATCCATCCTCCAGTATTCTTGTCCCAAAGTTGTAGTAGGACTTCGTGACGGGGTCGGAAATTTAATGCAGTAACCCACTGCAGAGAATCCCGACCCTTTAACTGCTCAATCGTACGGGCCAAAGCTAGATGAAATAGGTAAGCTGAAGATTTCCCTTTTTCAGGGTCCATAGTAAAGTATCCAGACCATGAATACTCTCTTGCATATCGTCGAATATGACTTTGAGTTCCTGTAAGCTCGTCTGGTTGTCATTGAGTTGAGAGACGATTCTATCCTGAAGTAGTCTGCAAGTTTAGAGAGGTTAGTCAATCAGGGCTGTGTGCGAATGCATCTCACTGAGATGAAAGATGTGCAGCATATCGTCGACTGCCGGTTAGGCGAATCATACCTGCTATTGTTGTCGAGAGCGAGAGACAACGAGGCCTTTTGGCGCTCTATCATGCCAAGAATGCTTTTGACTTCCTTGTCGGCGAACGGCCATGTCAAAACGTCGAGATGGTTACGAATACCACCCTTCCGACTGAGTTTCTGAACCAGATACCGTAGGGTCTCTTCAAGAAGTTTCAAAGGAGCACCAGGCTCCACAAGCACCTTCATCGTTTTGCTCCAGCCATCGTGGCTTGATACATCACGAAGTCCACCAACAAGGATCTGACAGAACTGGATCTCTGAAGTCAACTGAGCTCGCTCCTTCGTCCCACCTTTCGCTGTTTGTATGTAACTGATGGTTTTGGCCGATAGCTCTAAGATCGCAATCAAACTAGCAGCAAGCCCAATGGCCTCAGCCATATTTCACGTTACTCTGCGTAGCCCTTAGGAAATAGAGTGCGGGCAATGAAAGACGTATGAATGAGAAAATAAGCTGCATGATAGAGGTGGGGGATTTGAGGGGGTTTTATCATAAAGGGGGCAATACATAAGTGCTGCCTTACCAGCCTAAACGGATATGTCAGATCGGGAGCCTTCCGCTGCCAGTTGGCGTCCCGGCAGCCCAGGTCTTGGCGAGCAGGGCCTAAACTGGCGTAAGTCCCGCCCGCACATAGGCAATACACCCGTGGAGTTCATGAGCACGAGTGAGCAATCGAGACACGGTCATATCGTGTAACCCAGCCTATACATGGCTACGCCAGCAGGATTGTGAATTTAGTCATGAATTTATTGGAAACCTGTTGACTGCCGTTGTGGACGCTTGTCCTAGAGCCTTGAAACTGGCAAACGCAGTGACGTACCTTCGGCTGCATCAGAGTCGAGGGATTGGGTGCCTGTTTTCATTCTTTCACCAGAACATCGTATTCGAACACCAGGAATGCTATTATTATTGCAAATAGACTGCAATCTGGTTCATATCTAACAAGAACATGTGTATAAGACGATCGATCAACATTCTTTCGCTACATGGCATGCCGTAGAGACTCTGAGACTCGAACCAACTTTATAAACAGCATTTGCTATGATGTATTTGAAAAGAATGGCGTATAGCTATAGAAATATTGCATCTTAACCCTACATCTCTATAATTCCATATCATTAGAGACCAGCCTTATGGCCCTCAAAGTCCCATGGCTTCCCATCCTTCCAGAACCCATCCACAACTGGCTCTCGAGGCTTCTTCCCATCAACAGCCACCTCATTCAACCAACTCCAGTACGTGGTCGCCTTCCAACCCTCTTTCTTCCAGTCATTAATGTCCTTTTCAGGATTCTTGTTGAACACAGGCAGAACATCTAGCAAACTAGCGTCGTGGCCGAGGCAGACCATGACGTCGTCCCTCGTATCAAGCTCGCTCATCTTCGACACCGAGTTCGCAGCCTTCTCGAGATCCGTGTACACGTGTCCTGTACTGGGAAGATTGTACCACGAGGACGTACGAGCAGAATCATCATCCTTTGCACGGGGGTGATGCGGCGTGAAGAAGGAGCACGGGCAGACCGATCTCGAAGCCCAGTCGTTGCGGTTCGAGATGGCGCTCGCCGGGATCTCTTCTGGCAGCGGCGTGGTCGGCGTCGGTCGGAATACACCAGCAAAGTGACAGATATCGCCGCCCAGGAAGACAAAGGTGGCGCCGCCCGGTGCCGATGAGGGAGTCGTCCGCGCCAGCGCGCAGATGTGCTCGGGCTGGTGCCCAGGTGCGTCGAGCAGATAGAACGAGCCGTCGCCAAAGAAATCCTGGGCCCGGAACTTCCCAATCTTGAGGCCGCCATCAAAGTCGGCTTCCTTCAGTGGTCTACCCTCGAACTCTGCCGCAGCTGCTGGGTCGCCTACTCCACCGTGCCTTTCCTTGTCAGAGAGGTATCCAGGACCGACGACCAAGGAGGTTGACTTTGGAAAGAGAGAAACATCTCCGCGGTGGTCGAAATGCGCATGAGACCAGATGCAGTAGTCTGCGAGACTGTTAGCATTTATGTATGGAATAAGTCGGACACTAAGGCCATATTCTTACCGATGGTGTTCAACTCAACTCCTCCGGCCTTGAGGACTTCGTCGATTCCATTATCGACTCTCATCCCAAAGATCACACAGTCCTTTCCAATAAGCTGCAGAATAGCCTTGGGCAGATTCCAATAATCCTTGCGGACTCCGAGGTCGAACATGGCCTTCTTTCCTAGCCGCTCGTTCTCCAGCAAAAACGCCAGCGAGCAAAAGTTGATGACCTCATGCCCCGCCACCACGGGCTTTACAAAGGCTGCGTTGTCACCGACCATGGCGGTGGTCGTGTCAACCAGCTTGACACGGACGACATTGTCTGACTCTGGTATGGTCGCCATTTTGCTCACTGCGGGCGAGAAGTCTCGAGAAGGTGAGGTTTTGGGGATGTAAGCGGAGAGTGAGGGGTCAAACTGAGGTTTGTTATCTTGTACCTGCACCGGCTGTACGACTCAGACGGCGTTTAACGCATACCGGCAACTTGAGCAAAGTAAAGTCGAATACTTATGCGAGTAGCCGAACTACAAAGCTTTTTGGTGTGGATTGCGTGGTGGATATTGTATCGAAAAGCATTTTCAAACTCCGACGTCATCGGATGAACCGCCCTGCTCCGCTTCCCCAGCTTTCAGACGCAACCTTATTGATCCAAATATCAGCCAACATGCATGCGCCGCGCCTCCCCCAGGGAAAGGTTATCCGGTCCGGGCATGTCCCTCGCGTGGGAAATGGACCGCATTGAATATTGCATAGAGAGGAAAACCAAGTCTCTTGATCTCTCTTGTACACCAGAGTCGAGAATGATCGACTTTCAAACCCTCCCAAAACGCCCGCGCGCCCCCCGAATGCTCTAGTTTAGCAGGATATCGTACCCGTCCCGTGTAATGCGAACCTCCTCGTTGCCCAGCCCGTACTTGCGACGGACCAACTCGAAAATAATCAACCCAGCGCTGGTGCTGGGCACCTGACGGATGGTATTCCACCAGAAGCCCCTCCATAGCCATTTCCTCATGCTCAGTCCTTCCTTGGCCGCCTCCAACTGGCACTCGGACCAAGTCTCCTGGTATGCGTTGTAGTAAGCCCTGAACATCCTCCAGCCCTGCCGCTGCTTATTCGGGTCTGCGCCCCGGAGCTCTCGAAGTTTGGCGGCCTTAGCGTCTAGTTCTTCCAGTCGATCCCAATGCTCGACTTGCACATGCGTCAGTGGATGTAGCAGGACTTGCTGGGTGACCGAGGCGCTAATTCCAGCAAGTAACAGGAATGCGGGCTCAATAGCGTAGTGAGGTCGGATGATGAGCGGTTGTGCGTCTTCCCCGAGGGCGTCCTTGGTGGTCGGCCGTTTTTGCGCGAGGAAGTCGACGATGTGTTCCTCCAGCCCGCCGTAATACCATGATACGAACTTGTAGTAGCCTTGCGCCTTCACGTACTCAAACACGCTGAAGAAAATGGCGCTACCAAAGCCGTCCTTCATAAGAGATAGTCCCCAACCGGCGAAGATGCCGCGCGGACCTATTTCCCGGAGCTTCTCGGCGCTGAAGGTCCACATGGACTTCGGTTTGCCGCCATCGCTGGTCATGAGATCTCGATGATCATACCTCGCCTGGATGGCATCCAGAGGTGCAGCCATAAAGCTCTGCAAGCTGCCAGCTAGTAGTCCTGCGGTGAAGGTCTGGTAAGGTTGCGGCGGCGGGTAGACCGTCTTCCTCGACTGGCCGCTCGGCTCATGGAGAGATCCGAGGATCGTTAGGTAGCTTGTATACAACACTGCCCCGACGCCGACGTTCGCGATGAGCGGCGGCAGTACTTGGTGCGGAAGCACGCCCCAGCCGTGTTGCTTGACGGCAGAGGTGAGCACGCCGGGCGTGGTGCCCCTCAGGTAGAACCATGCCTGTCGAAGGGTGAGGTCCAGACGTGATCCGGGTTCTTTCGCGGCGGCCTGGGCGAGAGCCTGCGTCTGCGCCTGGTGCACGCTCCGAGCATAGGCAAGATAGTCGACGCGGGTCCGGAAGAAAGCCTTGACCGGAGCACGGAAGTAGAAAGCGATGGCCTGGGCGCTCAGGGCGCGAACGCCGGCGGCCGAGGCGGCGGTTGCGGCGTTGCTGCGCGGGTCCTTGTCCGGGAGTTGCGTGCCGGGCGGGAGGGCAGGCAGGACGCCGGTGTACGGATCGTATGTAGTGGTGTCGTCATCGCGACGCCTCGTCATTGTTTGTTGCTTGTATGCATCGTGCTGGAGTGTTTCTTTGAACGAGAGGGATCGAATCGGCAAAACTTGGCGTCGTCGGTTGGGATCGGGTCGCGGTGGGTTTCGGTGATGACTCAGCGCGTGACGTAGTGGCAGTGCATAAATATTATGCGCTGTCACGCTCCAGTTTTATGCCAGGTTGAGGCCAGTCGTAAGTGATTAAACTAGAAACATCACCATTGCAGTTGCACAGTACTTCTCGTTATCTGATTTAAGGGTGAAATTATCGTAAAGTTCTTTGATTACTTGAATGTATTGGTTCAGAGGATAGGGCATATTGGTATCTATGCTCAGCATCTCAGCTAAACACCGGTTAGCGATGAACCCATCCCAAGGAGACGAGCAGAATACTCGCAATAACTCCAATAGACTCAGCATGAACTGTTAACTTTTTCACGAAACGACCATTATAAATGCATGTGACTTGAGACTCCGCGACACTAGTTTATCCCAACCAGGGCACGCCCGCCGAATCGTCTCCATTTTCGGCCATCATCGCTACCAACCACTAACTGAAATATGCGGAGAATGGAGAAGGGTTGAAGCACTGAAGGCACGACACCTAAGATGTATGCCGCTGACACTGCAAGATCGATATTAGCCGCCAACTGGTTTCGGGTTTCGCTTACAGCTATTGGCCACATCAGATGCGATGTACGTCAATGGTAGTTGTCGACTACAAACTCCCCTCAATTACTCGTCATCACCAGATGCCTCACAGGTACACAAGCAAGTGGTATCGGGCATCGGGAAAACGCATGGGCGTCAGCAAGCCCGAAGAGCACGAGGACAAGATGGATACAGTCCCAATTCAGCACATAAAAGGGCCATGATAAGAGCCATCATCCTGAAAGATCGATAGTAGCAAAACGCAAATCTAATCCAGCAAGAGCTGTCAAGATGAAATTCAAGATTGCTCATGCAGCCATATGGAGTCTCGGCGCGATGGCCGGTGTCATCGCCCAAAGCTCATCTTGGCCAAACGGGCCATTTCACACGGATGGAAAGTACATCAAGAACGCGAGCAACGACACAATCAAGATCGCTGGGATAAACTGGGTAGCTCACGGAGAGGTAAAGAAAACCATATTGCAAGATGACGATATGCTGATATTCTCCGTAGGTCATGATTCCAGAAGGTCTGCAGCATAGATCCATCGAGGACATTGTCAGTCAGATGACCAGTATTGGGTTCAATGCTATTCGTCTCACATACGCAACCCAAATGATTGACCAAATGATGGAAAACTTTGAGAAGGACATCACGTTGGAGCAGGCATTTCACTGGGCTTTGGGGACCGAGAACGGCACGAAAACGTTGGACCAGGTGAGCTCTTCTCAGAACCCTTTTATGCGCAGAGACTGACAGTCAATCTTCTAGGTCCTTACTCGTAATCCGTCCTTTTCGAAAAACACAACTCGTCTTGAGGTAAGAGCTTGGTGGTGTTCGCGGATCAAGGAGGTTGCCACCTAGATTCTAATGCGCGTAGGTATTCGATGCTGTCGCCGAAGAATGTGCACGTCAACAAGTTTACATTCATTTGGACAACCATATGTCGCGTGGGACTTGGTGCTGCTCAGGAACAGATGTAAGTGACGAGTTCACAGTCAACTGAAACGCATCATGGGGGCACTCTTTAACAGTTATCACATAGGGTAATGGCTGGTGGGGAGACAGAGACTTCGACGTCGCCAAATGGACTCGTGGGCACGCATTTTTGGCGACTCATGTGAGTTTCTTGCAGCGAATTCACTTGGATTCAGCTGACCACTTGACCTAAGGGAAAGAAGTGGCCTGCCTTGATATCAATTGCTCTGCGGAATGAAGTCCGAAAGGTGCTCACAGACCTTCATCTCCGAGATGAAGCCTACAACTGGGCAGGTTGGTATGAGTATATGCGTCTTGGCGCCGATGCCATTCACACCGCCAACGAGGACGTCATCGTTGTGTTTGGAGGAATAAGTTACGGCCACGTTATCGACCCCGTGTTCAGACAAGAAGCTCTAACGCCAGGCGAGAAGCGATTTGACAGGGCTGATTTCGTCGGGTATGGCGACTCTAAGATCGCTCTCGAGATCCACAACTACGACAACGCCAAAGACAGCTACGGAAACATTCAGTACACGCTGTACTTTGATGGGTTCCAAGGCATGAACGCGACAGATGCAGATACGAAAGATGTTTACCCGGTTATGCTCACCGAGTTTGGACATGCAATGGAGGGAGAAGCCTACAATGAGTCACTGACTTTCCGTTCCGTTCTGAGGGATGTCTTACCTGAAGCTGGTCTATGGTTTCAATGGGTGTTATGCGGCAGCTATTACTACAGAATGTTGCGAGGAGAGAGGAAAGACGAGGAGACGTGGGGCTTGTTGAATGCGAACTGGACTGCTTGGAGGAACGAAGAGTTCATTAACGACTGGCTTAAGCCTCAAATTGAGGCAACACTGTCTCGCTAGTCATGGGGCAGACAGGTAGTGGTAACTTGGGTTAATACGGAAAGGAGAAGATGTTCAGTAGTGGACTTATACTTCGGTCGCTTTCTGTTCGGTCCTCACGTGAGAATGAGGCTTCTGCCGTGTAACACATAGACTGCTTATAGATAGGTGGTTTATTGAGCCGACGTACTACATAACCAGCTCCATCTTCGCTGTTCAGATCCGTTCCAGGATGGCAGATTCGACATAATTGCGGAAAGACCCAAATGCCCACGTCAAAGTCTGATGATTGATGTCGAGGGCTTGAAGTACGGCGAATACCTAAATGTACGTAAAGTTAAGCATTTGAATAAGATCCATACAGAGGCAGCGGTGTTGTATGTTTGCTTACTTCACTCGGTGGCTTCACTGTCCGCCACCGGGCCCTCATCACCCTTGGAGGTGATGGCGGGACTGGAAGCCACCCATCTGGACTTCACAGCGATCGTATCAACTGCATCAGTGGGCTCCTCATCACCTTTGGAAGTGATGGCAGGGCTCGCAGTCGTCCATCTGGACTCAATGCTGGTTTGACGCTCAATAGGAGCCGCCAGTACGGGAGTGGTGGCAAGGCCCGAGGCAAGAAGGATCATGAAGAGGTGCATTTTTGAACAACAGGGTTGATAACGATGACGAGTTTTGATATGGACTTTGGGAAGTTTGGATGAGACGAAACTCAGGATGATAAGGTGGAGGGAGTGTATCCTGGTTTTATAACACAATTTGGACCAACCCAGACTTATTCAAAGACCGAAGCCAGACTTGCCCTCCGAAGGTCGCTTAGGACGTATCTCACCAGCCTGTCCAATCTCTCGGAATTCTGTTCCCTATCGCACAGGCAATCCAAGGGCCAGAACTTCTATTACCTTCCTATTAGATATTTCGGCTATGATCTACAGCCATTCAGAAGCGAACAATATGTACGACTACATCGGTGTGCAGACACTAAATGTCTGTTGGTTCCTCGCCACGGTCCAGATGAAGATTACCAACCAACAGACCGACAAGGCGAGACTTGTTTGTTTTCTGAAATTAGAGAAGAACGAGGATAACGGGCTCGGTGTTGCCAAATTCGGATCATGCTAATATCCGCTTATCAGTCTTTGCGTTTAGGATGTCCGGCGTTGGAAGGGTCTGGCTTGATGGTAACGCATTTGTGTTGCCGTCCCCCCGCAGCAAGAGTGTCTTTTCTTTAATCCTACCAATCCATTCCTTTTGGTGAGAAGCCATCAGGATAAAAGAAATTCGAGTAGTATATAATAACTACTTTACTCCTGTATTCACGTTCTGAGAATGACATAGGGGAGTCGGTCGCGTTGGTTGGGACACCAAAGGAATTTAACAGCTGGACAGGGACCCTTGGACAATATTTCCCCGGATGACCCATATAGGAATGGGCTGCGTCGTTTGTTTGCTTCTCAAAACAGGCATTTTCTGTTGGTCCCAACATCATTGATTCCTTGCAAACTGGATTTTGCCGCGGTCTGTTGGACCTTAAATGAAAGAAACAGGATGTTTCGTGCGGGCGTTCTCAGCAAACTTCTGCATGATCTACAGGAAGGCCGGGAACTCTTATCACCTCGCCTCACCAGAAATCAGGGGTCATCTCAAGTTGTTGGTCGAAGAATTCGTATGCCTACATCTGATGTCTTTGCTTGGTCCAACAAAAGCCTTAAGCACTCCCTCTCAAATCAAGCTGGACAGTCCCGCTGCCTTCGTAGTCTGGCATTATTGTTTGGCAGTACTTGGCCTTTCGCGATAAACTCCAACAAGTCTGACGCTAGCTACAACCTTCTCTCGGGCGAGGAGAACTCTTCCGAGGATGGCGCTATTTGTGACCATTGCAAGGACTCAACCTCTCCCAGGCGCCACGCGAGGCGGTGCTCCATCTCGAGACTTGTTGTGGTATTTGGGTTGATCCAAATATTCATCCTAATTCTTGGTTTTGCTGCTTTCGCATATCTCATGAACAAATCTGGGATTGCGGTCAAGGACACCGACGCAAACGACTGTATGCTCCCCCAAGCCACCAATCAATGATGCTTTAAGCACCACGCTGACTTGGGTGACAGACTTCGCGTTCGAAAGTTTCAATTCCACCAAAGGCCCTTATCACATTGTGAATGCTGCAGATCCTTCTGAAGAAGCCAATGAGTTTTGGAACGACCTCAAGAAACGTGAGTGGTACCCGGACACATACGTCACAAAGCGAAATCACCATCTGACTGTGATGTTATCAGACACTGGTATTGTTGAAATCGACCGCGACTGGGCGCAGATCAATCACCTTCCGCCAACCGTCCCGCATCCCGACGACCCTAACCTTCGAATCTATCAAGTATGTTGCTTTTTAATGGCACTTCTACTAATCACGCTTCAGCTAATTCAAATTACAGGTGAATGCCTTTCACTCTCTTCATTGCCTGGTACGAATTACCACTTTCGCGCAGACTCGTCCTCCCCAAGCTGACCGTTCCAGTACCGAATTCGAAACAGGCTTATCTCCAAGGTGTCGCTCGACAAATGGCCTCGCAATGATATCCATACAATGCACTGCTTGGATCACATTAGAAACGAGATGATGTGCAACGTTGGTGAGTCGAAGTCTGTCACTGTATCATGAATCATTTTCTTCGATGGGATTCCTTCTCTGACCAAAAGAGCCGCAGATATTTCAATGTCCGGCTCGCAGGAATATATTTCCTTCAATACCCACGGTCACGACCGGAAGTGTAGAGATCTGGGGGCGATACAGAGATGGGCCCAAGATCACGCCTGGTCTGGGTACAAGGATTACTTGGAGAATGTCGTCAACTTCGACGCGGATGAGGCGGAACGAGTAAACGCTGCCTTCGCTGGGAAGGGAAAGTGGAACCACGCGAACAGTACGCATCACAAAGAAACTGGCAAAATCGACCTTTGGTTTGAGGATCATGATCTTGCTGGTGGTCACTAGTTAGACACCTCTGTTCTGCCAAATAGAATTCGCGGAATGTTGTGATAACCACCGTTCGTCACAGCACGGTTAGTCGGGCTTTCATCCTCCAATTCCATAGGTGACTTCTCATAACTTTTCTCTCAATTGCCCCGAGACTATCACGGTGAATCCTTAACATCATACAGGATAGTGTAGAAAGACAACTTAACCGCAACAGGAAAGACAGCTGGGATCACATGTTGTTGCCTAACTTGCATGTATGGTTTGTATAGCATTCAGCGAATCGGAATTGCTCCCTCAGGCGGACTCATGAGACTGGAACCGTGGAACGTGCATTTCCGATCATTGTAGCTGATAGTAAAGAAGTCTCGAACATCGTCTCAACTAGGCCCGCAGATACTTTCGGAATCGAATAAGGACTTTTGAAGCGGTTCTCCGTAACTATGTGGATATTTCCAAAGTTTAAGAGCAAGAAACCCCACTCTGACGTTCTGGTGCGGCCGATCCACCGCGGCCTCGGTTCACCGCTGCTCTAAGGCCGCGTGATCCGAGATGAAGAACTTAGCGACCCAAGCGTAAGGACTTCCAGCCCTTCACAGAAGAAGAAGCTATCCAGTTGTCAGTCGACGGCAACTCTAGGCCGCGAGAATACTATGCATGGGTTCCAATTACACTGTAACATGGAACCTTGACTGCTGATTGGGGAAAACTATAGAACCGAAGTTCCCTAGCCTTATAGGGCTACCCTGCTCACTGGCTGACGTGATATTGAAGTGGCCTAGAGTCTTTGACAACTCAGAATGCACTCATTGTCTTGAATCCATTTTAAACTTTGGATACCTAGTCCCCAAAGTCCCATTCAAGAAGTGGGGAGAGCCTCAGAGTGCGAGCCGAAGTTCTGAAGTCCCGAAGTGTTACCCTGCTCATCGTCTGACGTGAGATCTATCGAGTGGAGTTGGTAGGGAGCGCAACTGCGGTCCGACCCACCTGATCGTGTAAGTCGATGCCTTGTAGTGGATAGCAGTGTTGACATGGACTCGATAGTTGAAGCAGACGAATACGAAGTAGCCCTTCACTTTTCGCACAGAAAAATGAGAATCGCAAGTTTGTAGGTCGTGGATAGCCACCAGGGTGTCTGAGTCTGTTTCCACTTAACTCTGTCTGGATCAGGCGATATCCGATATGCCGGGTCTCGTTCGTGCACACCTAGACGATTCAGAGCACTTAAAAAGCCTCTCTTCGTCGCTCACAGACCCAACATTGTCGATCTCCTTCATCCCGCAGACTACTCTAAGACTGTTCTAATCCTAATCAACTCGCCACTACACCCGTAACAGCCACAATGGTCAAGTTCACCACCTCTATTATTGCCTTGGCTATGGCTGCCTCCGTGGCAGCCGCACCGGCCCCAACCTCCCAGACGACCTTCTCCTTCGCGCAATGGGTCGAAGACATCATCGCAAACCCCGACACGGCTCTGACCCCCGAGGAGGCAGTTGCGGCGGCTCAATCGGCCGCCGTTGTCACCTCCGCCGGCGGCCTTAGCAAGAGGGCCTGGTGCCAAGACGCGTTGAAGAGTGCTCCCGTACGATCTCCAGACTCCGGACAAGACCTCGGAAATATAACATAGATCACATGCTAACATGATTATTCCTGCAGGCTGGAGATGCCACGGCTTGCCTGAACGATCTCGCCAGAAAGGGTGCCCAGGGTATCACCTGTACCGTCGGCCAGGGCCAGTCCAGCGTCCAAATGTGCCAGATCGGAGGCGCAAAGATTGTCAGCAGCAAGCCCGATCAGCCGGCACAGGGAGCAAACTGGTAAGTAATAATACTGGCAGAGTCCTTTGTGCTATTTTATCGTTTAATGGCAACATGAACTTACTGACACTTCTGTAGCAACGATGTCGCCCGTACCGGAGGCCTTATCTTCGACAGCTGCTACCGTGCTGACAACACCGTAAAGGGCAGCGATGTCTGCATTACAAACAACAAATTCCAGGTCGCGATTGCCGGAGTCTAAAGACAACGTCTGTGGATGGGCAACACTGCTCTCTCTGTCTTGAGGCGGGTGGTGGTGTGGGGAAGAAGAAATATGACACGATCCGCAAATCGACAAGTTTGAGCTTGCGGCCGATGGTGTTAGCCGACATTGCTTAGACCTCGGCTCTTTTAATACGTTCCCGGTGTTCCTGCGATCAAGCTTCTGTACATAGTTTTATTTATCTTCGCCCGGTATTTATTATATGAGTCCATGTGGAAAACACTCTTTTAAAATGCACAAGAACAGAAACTGCAATATGTACCTTGCTTTACGTTAAATCTTGTCTGAAAAGAAGATGCTTAGATGAAATATTCGCTAGCATCCAGGCAGATTATACATAGAAGGGTGCATCATCGCGGCTGTTTTACGCTGAATGGTTCCTTGGTTTTAAGTAAGGCTGGCAATCTCCTTGCATCCCCAGGGTGGGCTGTCTAGCCGCTGAACAGTTTGTGACACACGTTGAGGAGATCAGATGAGCATCCTGACTGGTCAAATCAGGGGCCATGTCCATCGATGGCGTTTATGACCAATCCGACTCAAGTCAATACTTAAACATGCTCATGTCCTGTCTCGATTCGCCTTTTATGGTGGACCAACTTCCCCAACCCATTTCATTTCCTGGGCCAGCCACGCAACCCAGTTACGCAACTCACTACTCAGTGCCATCCTCCTTGGGACTGGGTCAGATCAGCTTTAGAACTAAGAGAACTGCGCTCGTAGGATGATTGCCCGAAGAAGATTTCACAACTAAGTTAACGAGTTCGAACAGCAGCAGCAATTAGGCGATACATGGGTCACGGATGGTCGAGTCATGGACGTTTACCGGAGCGACGACTTCTACTATTGGGCCGAGAACGGAAGCCAGGGCTTCTGTGACGATTGCGCCAAGATAAACTTCGCCGCGGCATCTGAAAAGGAAGCCTGGGATGAGGTCGCGAGGGAGCGGCACTGGGTTTTGCTTCAAGATTTCAAGGAGCGTACAGGCTGGAACAAGTCTAAGGAATGCTGGTTATGCAACCTACTAGGGTTGGGATCAGAGATGGACTCTCAAAAGATCGACAAATTGGTGGCCTTCGATCAATGGTTGCCTTTCATGTCGGCCTTGGACGATGAAAAGGCTGACGAGGAGGTGGAAGGAAGCACGAATGAACCATGCCGATGGGCACCTACGATCTGGGAATCGGTGAAAGGGGCTTCACCACTAACCTCATGTTACATCGGGACCTTACCAGATAACCCCTTTGAGCTCATTGACGACGGCATTTTGGTATGTCAAGACATCAACGCCAGATCGGCCCCTGGGCTGTTGGAGGCTAGGCACCCTTCGCCTCTAGTGGATTTTGAACTTGCCAAAGGTTGGATTCAGGCATGCAACCTACATCACCCCAATTGTTCCCAGCCATTACCTACTCCTCGTATCAGGCTGATCGACTGCGGGACTCGAGAAGTCGTTGACGCGAATCCCTCAATGGAATACGTTGCTTTGAGCTATGTATGGGGTTCTTCAGCGAGGACAGAACCGTATGTCTGGCAATTTAAGCTTGAGACGTTTCCGAAGACTATCGCAGACGCAATCACGGTCACGAAGGGCCTGGGATATCAATACTTGTGGATTGACAGATATTGCATAAAGCAAGATGATCCAGTGGACAAGATGGAGCAGATTCAGCTTATGGAACTCGTATACCAAAACGCTACCCTCACGATCGTCGTCGCGGCCGGAAACAGTGACGCTCACGGGATTCCCGGCATTCAGGCCATCAGAGGAGGTTGGGGCACGAATTTGGATTCCGTGACCCACGGGCAATATACGTTCACCAGAACTTGTGACCCCGACAAGTTTGTCGAAGTCTCGCCCTGGCTGACCCGAGGTTGGACGTTCCAGGAGGGCCTCTTGTCCCGACGCCGCCTTGTGTTCACCGAATCCACGGCGATGTTCTCGTGTCAAAAAGCCAAGGCACACGAGTTCTTAGTTTCGCTAGAGAACATCACCAGTCGTGAACAGATGGTTGAGTACGAGGGTATAATATCCAAATCAGTCTTGGAGTCAAGTTTGGGTTTTCTTCCAGGGGATGATGCGGCTCAGAACCTCATTTCACTCTGTGAAAACGTTCAACGGTACTCTCAGAGAAGTCTGACATACTATTCGGACATATTCAACGCTCTTCGGGGCGTGGAAAAGGTGTTTGAGGGGGCACGAGAACCAATCTTCAGCATCTTTGGTATTCCGTTTATCTCCAACGATGATCCCATCATAGCGGACCTGTCGTTCTCATGGGGACTTTGTTGGATGAGACGTGTGACCATGGCGCCGCCACTTAAAGAAGAAGCTGTGTGCAAAGCTCCCACGTGGTGCTGGGCCAATTTGATGAGTTTTGGTGCTCAATGGGTCGGATCAAAACCGGGCGATCTTTCTCTACTCTTCCACCCGTCCAACATCGGTATTCAAGCACATGAGGGAGAAGCGATATACGACTTGAACGAGTATGCGTCACTAAGTCGCCAAGGCCTAGTAACATCGGAGCCTCTGATTGTTCATTGTCAAGCCTATGTCGTTTCCCCTGAAGCATATTCGTGGCTCCAACATCAGCCCCAAAAGCAGCACTCGGTCATGCAGTACGACATGAAATTTCCCGGCCGCTCAGACAGGGAGCAGGAGAAACATTTGCATGATCAAATACTATCCGGGGCCGTGGGCCTGATACTTCTTGGTTTCCAGCTCGATGCTTCTAACAGAGACATCACAGGTGTCATCTTTGTATACCTGTTATTGGTGGAGTGGTCTGCCGATGGCTCGGGATTGAGAAAAGGCATCGTGATGGTCGATCGAAGTTACCCTGTGTTTGACGAGCATGAAGCAGCGGCTTTTGTTGCTGAGCACTGCGGAGAAAGAATTCATCTCCGACTTCGCTGAGATCTGATTCAGCAGTTGACATGGAGTTTAGTGTAATAGACGTATTTACTTTCAGGTGACCTGCAAACGTTCGGGTGTGTCCAGAGAAAGAACTAATTCTTGGAAAACCAAGGGAAAGTAGCAATCTACACGATGTCAAAGCTACCGAACCGACTTTGGACTTTCTAGGAAAGAAACCTGGTCACGAGGCATGAACGTCGCAGTGGTTAGTCTGGATGTCAAGCTCGTGCATGCACGTATTTTCCACATCATCCATCCATGTTGGATGACCATCAATCACATATAGGCCATGGAATTGATATAAGCTAAACCTCCTGCCTTTCCACAATTGACCAAGTCCAACATCAATATTCTTCTGACTACAACTACCAGACTGAGTAATAAGTGAAGTCGTGAATACCGTCCGCAGTGGGCACTGTCGTGAGATAGGATTTGTGCATGGATGCTCGTTCTCATCCACTCATGAGTGCCCTTGCTGTCGCTACTTCTGAACATGATCCATCTCCTTTTCTAAGCCCCGTCAAAAACCAAAAGACTTTGAATAGCCACTCTACCAAAGCCGCATTTGCGTAATAGGTCCCGTCCACGGTGAATAGGAAATTCGGCAACAACCATGATACAGATACGCTCAGCTTCGACACCAGCTGAACTCAGAAGCTGCAGTACAGCGCACATAGTCTCGCCAGTGGCCAACACGTCGTCGACGACCACAACCGACTCACCACCGCAAACAGCATCCCGATCCATCTCGATTCTAGTACCCTCCGTCTTGCTAGACACCGAGGAAGAGATGTGAGACGAGAACTTGGGAACGGAAATCGTGGGTGGAGGAAGCTTGCCAGCCTCCCGAATTAGCACCAAAGGCACATTGACGCGAGAAGCCAGCACAGGCGCAAAGAGGTAGCCGCCAGCTTCACAGCATACCACAGCATTGACATCAGCCCAGTCACCGACGAAGTGAGTCTGCAGCAGAGTCGAGCAGAGATCTAATCCACCAGGTTGCTGACAGATGCCGAGAACATGACGGAAATCGATTCCAGGTCGTGGAAAGTCGGATGCGGAGCGTACCATTCTACTGAGTCGTTGTAAGTCATCGCCGAGGAAAGGAAACAGGATGTGCTTGGCGAAGCTTCGAGCCGCTTCGTCCCCAACTTTGTTGTTGTCGAACGTGAAGCTGGGACAATATCCCTTGTTGGACTTCTCGTGCTTCTTAGATTTGACGTTCCGGCTGGTTTCACAGTCGCCATCTTCGGCATGAGAGGCGTGAGAAGCATGCCACGTACGTTCATCAGCATTGACGTGTACCTCCAGCATCCTACTGTCCGGTACAAGATGCGAAAAAGTAGCGACCGGCGCCTCATCTCTCATTCCAGTGATCAGCAGCACATCAGTGTCCGAGACCTCGTAGACAACGGCCAGGAAATGCTCCTCTGGGAGGGACGGCCGTTGTCGAACTTGATTCTCGAAGAACGTCGTCATCGCTGGTCGATGCTTCTCTTTATAGTTGCGGTCGCAAAGAAGACGACCCAGATCGGCTCCGGTAGCTTCCGCATACTCCCGTTTGAAAGCATCGCTGATGCTGGCGACACGAACAGTGAGGCTTTGGTCAGCCCATTCCTTGAGCATCGCTGCCCAGACATCCGCGCAATAATCCTTACCAGCGCAGCTATCTCCCGTCACAAGAAGGATGAGTCTTTGCCTTTGCGGCGCTTTCGGGAGCGGGCAGGCGTAAGCCAATACGTTTTGCGGGTCCATCTTCCGTTTTATGCCGGCAAGGCGGGGCCGGTTCGGTCCAAAAGCTTTGCGGGCCAGCACGGCGTCTCTCGGGTCCGGGCCGAGGTCGGCGCCGTATGCTCCACAACTCAGGGGTAACAAGTTCTCGGCGACGCTGTAAACCCATTCTACTGCAGCGAAAGAGGCTCCAGTTCCATCTTGTTCGCGGGGCCAAACACCCGTGATCACACAAGCATAGTCCCAAGATCGACAGCCGAAGGCAGTGGCGTTATCTGCCACATCGCCAATCGCACCGCCTCCCTGCAACAGATGAAGATAGCAAAGAGGCGTAGGACGAGTCACTATGGCAGCAACGAGGCGGCTCACAACCTTGGCTTCTCCGATGCCTCCCAAGAACAGACACCGCTTGAACGAGGAGGTCTTGCCGCCGCCGTGCCCACCATGCATAGCGGCCATGTACATCTCCGTTTCGAATAAACCGACGCTGTCCACAAGCTTATGACATGGATTCTTAGCTGGCCCCAATACCTTCTCCATGGACGCATAGTCGGATTCTGATGTCGCACAGGATGGAAGCCCAGTCGTGTCAGAGTCGAACATTGTAACGCCAACGTGCAGCCGGTCGTTGTCCCAGTACAGGTACATATCCGCCGAACAGGTCCGAGGAAGTTTTCTGGCAACATTTCCAATTTCGTGAAGCTGGGTTTGGGCTTTGAGGCTGTCACATGCTGGAACAACCCAATTTCGAACGGAAAAGGCCGGTGCTGCATAAGCCGCAAAAGTGACGCTGATGACGATGCCGAAGTTTGTTCCTGCCCCTTTCAATGACCAAAGAAGATCGGCTTCGTTTGCCGGCCGCACGGCACCCGCTGGTTGGTGATTGTACGGCACATGTCCGATGCAGAAAACCTGGCCTGAATCGACGCTGACCATCACTGCTCCAAGTACAGCATCGCACGAGAGACCATGAAGCCTAGCCAGATGACCGATACCACCTTGGAGCCACAGTCCGGCTCCCACACTTGGGCGGGCGCCGAGAGGCACTGTCAAGTTTTCCGCCAGGGCTCTGTTGACAATATCGCCCGATTTGCAGCCGGCCTCGGCGACGATCAAGCACCCGGACTGAGAGCCGGGTTCGCCGTCCTTCGTCTCGGCCGCGAGAACATGCACCTGATTGAAGGCGGCCATGTCGATAGCAACGATCCCAGGCCACAGACACTGGCCGCTGTGGCCACCACCAACAACAGTCAGGCTGACGTTGTGATTCAGTGCCCATCGAATGCACTGCTGAAGGTGAACGATGCTTGTCGGTTTCATAACTGTGGCAGGTTGATGAAGAAGGGCCTCCCTGTTCTTGACCAAACTAGTGCCGGTCATCGAGGGCACCTGCACCGTGAGCTTGGGCAACTCCAGTGAACTCCGGGTAAAGACCGTCATGGCTTCGGGAGATCTGAATAAAAGGCGACCTGCTCCTTGCCGCTGACCAAGCTCCCGGCATATTTCGCGCCATTCGAGTTGAAGAGTTCTCCCCACATTCGTGTCCTGGATTGTGAAGCCTGAAACAAAAGAGGCAAAGCAGTCCAGTATCTCGTCGCTGTCCAGAATTTGGGTAACCCAGGTGGGAAAGGTGACCGTCTTTTGGCACACTAAGCCGTTGAAGTCCATCGTTGCATCTCGGTGGAAAACAACAACCATTCCGTCTTTGTGTTGCTCGACAAGCATTCCCAACGCCTCTTCTATGTATCGGTACTTGGGCCTCATACCGTACATGCTGTGACAGAACAGTATGATGTCGAACTTCTGGGCGACGCCAGTCGCGTCAGGGCTTGAACCGCTCCCAACATGGCTATTCAGGGTGAAAGGGACTCGATGAACAGCTGGAGGATTTTGCAGAGAGAGGAAAGGCTCTGGAAGAGAACAGAGTCGCTCTTCCAGTCCCGCGGCGAACAGAACGTTGGGCTCAAAAGCAGTATATTGCTTGATTTTCCGTCTCAGATTGCCGGGTAGACGCTCAAGTACACTTTCAGGACCGGGTCCGATTTCCAGCACAGAAACATGAGTTCTTGAGTAGAAGAGAGGCGCGAGAAGCTGGGATAACTGAGGGAGAATGAACTCTTCATACGTCGACTCTCCGGGGCCACCCACTAGAATACTGAACCCGGCACTGTATTCTTCATCGGACAATGGTTTTCTTGGAAAAAGTGCACCTTCCGCGGCACGGCGCCGAAGGAGCTGCTTGAGATTGCTCAAAGAGGTCATGCTTGACTGAAGACTTGATCATGTCGCACGTGGTTGGGCAGTGAGAGGTTGCTGATGGGAGAGGGAATATGATATTTTATCTACGCAGTTTTATCGCGTTTGCATCGGATGTTCTCAGACATTCCAGATTAGCAGGCTTTCAGGCATGATTCCATATGAGTCAAGTTGGCCAGCATATGCAGTATTCCGCCAAGCGCGCATGCGGTGTCCCCATGGTGTCTGAAGTCTGGAAGGACAGACAAACACTCAACTTCAGTAGGAGAAAACGAAACTGTTTGGCACATTCGCGCCATAAGACGTGATTAAACTTTGCTTCGTCTGATTGATGGTTTCTAAGCTATCGATGTTGAAGCTGAGGCGAAAAAGAGTAATCTGGTTTTCCTGACTAAAATACCACGGCTTATTGCAGTAAGCAGAGGATTGTTGCAGTGAGCCAAAGCTGATTGCAGTAGATAAAGGCTTGTTGCAGTCAGTCAAGAAATCATCCAAATATTGAAAAACTGCAAGACTGTTTTGGTGCATGTGAATGACCTCCAGTCCTCTTGGGTCAGCACTGTTTCTCTCGGGTCCGGCCTAAGGTCGGCCCCGGCCCCGTACGTGTGACCTCCGCAACTCAAGCGCGAAGTCTAGGGCGACCTGGCGATGTTGCTCCTTCACTGGTCGATATCTCAGTTTGAACATGTCTCAATATCCCCGCGACATATCCGTCGGGAGGCGCTTTCCACAGCGCCACCACGTCATTGTCTTCTTAGTGTATGGGCTTACCGCATTAAGACCATTCCGCGAACTTCTCCGCAGATTCAGAGCTCATCATTTCGGCATACATTTATCATTTTATTCAGGCTTGAAGACCTAAGATCTGACAAGCGTCCTTTCTGCCAGATCCCGCCAGCCACCGCCACCTTACTGTCGCCTAGCTGCTTGGCTGCCTGGCATTTTGTCTCATTGACAACGAACCGAGAATCTCTTTTGAGAATGCAAGTTTCAGCTTTCCGGGATTTCAAATATGGCGTCCATGTTTTACTCCTTTAGGTCGCTCTCATCGCTTCTACAGCCCCCGAGCATTTCATCCATTCGTACTGGCGTCCAGAGTTACCTTGCCGAGAAACTCATCAAAGGGGTCGCTGAATTCTGCAGGAAGATGATAATATGTTGTTGACCGGTATATGGAATAAGGCGCTTCCTGGGTAACTTTTGACTTGTATATGTGGCTTACAGAAGGCCCGCGTGAAACTGCCTCTTTTCCTTTACCTCTGTGCCAACTCATATTCTTGTCTAATAATCACACTAGAAGGAAAGCTTCGACAATCCAATCCTTCAACATACTAAGCCACCCTTTTAGCGTGCGCTTTCCTGCTGCCTTGTGTAGCATTCCTACAGATGTTGAACATTTCGAGCAACACCACAAGCTTTGGCCTGAGCAGATTCATGCCAGTAAAATTGCTAGCCTCATAGCTCATTCACTAAACTTCTTCGCGCAGAACTTTGGGTGTCTTGAAGAAGTCCCCTTGACGACAAGCGCCCATGGCATTTCACCGATCGTCTGGCCCGTCTTGGCGACGATTCTTGTCCGCAAAGCAGTGATGATATGTGCCGGTCTTTGAAGGATTGAGGGTTTCGCGGTTAATAGCTCAAGTGCTGATGACACTTCGCCCGATGAAGAACATATGATGTCGTGGTGGACGTCAACGGCAACGCCGTCTACAAGCTAAGTCATTTAGCTTGCACTCGGCCAGCCCGCTGTCCCGATTGACTGCTGTTCTCACCGCGGCGCCGTCCCGCAGCCACGCCGCGCGCCTGCTCGGGCTTCGCGTGTCATTCAGGGTTCCCCAAGCGCGCTCAGTTGTACAACGGGTCCGGAAAGGTGCCGAAAACATGACATCGCAGGTTTACTGAACTCACCTTGAAGTACATATAAGACTGAATGGAATTCTTCATCTCAATCAATGCATTTACTACATCACACATCCTGAAAGAACAAAACCATTTCTCAGATATCCTCACCAACCGACTTTCTGCGTTACTTCTCAAGACCTTTCCAATCTATGAACGACGCACAGCGCCGAATCTCAGAATCACTCCATCACAATGCTCTCACTCACCTGGGCTCTTGCCCTCTCTGGCACCACAGCAGCAATGGCTGTCAGCTCTACCAATATTAGCGAACGTCATGCAACTACAACTACACCACCACAACCGTATCCCACAGAAGACACACCGTGTGCCATCGCCAAATCAAGAGCAAAAGCCTTCCTATCGGCTGAACCAGAAGCCACAAAAGCTTGGGTGCTTCCTTCGATAGCTTACGACTGCCTTACCTCCATCCCCGTCGATACGCAGAATGATATGGACCTTCTCGACTACTTGGAACCTTACATCGAGTTTCAAAGTACCTTGGAGCCTCTCGCGGCTCCTCCAGACTTCTATCTCATTCCAGGCGTCGACATCCTCGCAGGGCTCGGACAGATTCGAGCCAAGTTGAGCAACGACGTATATGAAAGTCAACTAGAATTTGCTCTGGAGCTTTTCTATCTGGTGAGAACCCTTCTGCTGCTGGTCTACAGCTAGGACATTGATACTAACAATGCGACAGTTTGTTCAAGCTTCTGATGGCCATTTCATATACAAGCCGGCTCTCCTCGATGTCTTTCAATTTGGTAGCCTCTCGTCTGTTGTTTCTGTTTCCGACGACGGCACTAGCCTCCCTAGAGTCTATCTTCGGAGCGATTTTGACCAGTTCGTTGCCAATGGTACGGATGTATTTGATATTGAGAGCATTGATGATGTACCCATCGTCGACTTCCTCGAGATGCAGTCATGGCGTGCTTTCAACCAGGACCCAGATGCTCAGTACAACTCCTTGTTCACCAACCCAGCCCAAGCCGCACAGGGATCCGGCGACGGGTTCTCACCCAGATTCCCTGGTAATTACTCTGCTGTCCAGGTGATTAAGTTCACCAACGGAACCACTTTCAACGACACTGTTGTCGCTGCTGTTTCGGCCAAGTTCATCGACTACATTGGCTCTGCCGGTGTAATTCACGAATATTTCGAGCTCCCAGTCACCGCGACACCCACATCCCCGTCGTCTACCAGCTCCACCGCTTCTTCGACCGCATCGTCGTCAGCAACACCTACGACCACTCAGGTCAAGGGTTATCCTCTTCCCGTCGTCAAGCACGCCCACGACTGGATCTCAGGCTACTTCATGAATGGTAGCGAGTACAACGACACTGCTGTGCTGTCCATCCCTGCCTTCTCTCCGTGGTCAATCCCTGAGAAGGATGTCAACGGTACTTTCGAGCTTACCGAAGCCCAATCGGTAGTCGCTGAGTTTTTGCGGAAGGCCAAGGATGCTGGAAAGACGAAGTTGATCATCGACGTGCAGGCGAACCCAGGCGGTCTGGTATTCGCCGGCTTTCAATTGTACAACCAACTGTTCCCTACTGCCGACATCTGGGATGGAAACCGCCTTCGTGCGAATGACGCCCTGAACGCCCTTGGCTCCACCGCTGAGAAGGTGGCACCGGAGCTCCTTATCGACGCCATCACTTCTGTTTACAACGCGAGCCACGACTTGTATGACTCTTGGGCCGACCTCTACGGACCGGAATTCATTGGAGAACAGAATGTCACTCACCTTCTGAGGTATAATCTCACCCAGCAATTCGACTTTAGCACTGAGGAGCAAGTTTTCGACCCTGAAAACATTGTTGTTGTCACTGATGGCCAGTGTGCTTCTACATGCACTGTATTCACTGGTTTGTTGTTCCGCGAGCAGGGGATCCGATCAATCACCCTCGGTGGCCGCCCTATGGAGTCGGCAATGCAGACTATTGGTGGAGTAGAGGGCGCACAGGTTCTCAACTTCGTCGACTTGCAGCAGTTCGTCCAACAGGTCGGCATCAACGCGTCCCAAAGCAACATGACACAGTATCTCGAGGCCGCTTTCGATGTACTTCCCAGCCTCTCGGATCCTCCATTGCTGCCGGCTCTCTCGGATGCTGGATCATTCAACTTCAGGAATGCTTATGCCAGGAACGACTGGAACGGCTACCCAGAGCAGTTCAAGTACGAGGCCTCCAACTGTCGTCTGTTCTATACAGCTCAGATGATTCTCGACCCTGTGGCCATCTGGAATAGCACTGCCCAGGTAGCTTGGAATGATGGGAAGTGTGTTAACGGATCGACCGTCAACGCTAACAGCACGATTGGCGATGACATTCTCGACTTCGACAAGAAGGTTGCCAGCACTGTCAAGGCTTATGAGGGACCCGGTAGTTTGTCCTTCAAGGGCGACTATGAGGGTCCTCAACCTTACACTCTGAAGTCCAGCAAACGCTCTATACATGAGCACCTGGCACCATCTGCGGATTTCGTGTATCAGGTCAAGCCCAAGATGGCTACATGGTAGACTTGTGTGGATTAGATTACACTAGACTTAGACATAGATTTTCGTTAAAAGAAGTAACATATGATCACAAGAAAGAACCAGCAGTCTGTGTGGTGAATTGACCTCAGAATCAGACTACCTCGATACCTTCATAATTCAATCTCCTACTCGTTCGTCTTCAATAACCTCTTTGATACCTTTTCATCCTATTGCCCTTTCGAACCATCACCTGGTCACTTCATGCTCAACGGACAACCATTGCCTATTTTGTCAAACGCCTACGTCGTCGGGCTTCAATAGTCCTTGCGTCTCGCCAATCTCACTTCTAGTACCAAATCTGGGAGCACAGATATTTCATGGTATGAAATACGCCTCAGACACAGCTTCATATCAGCATAACTGACTGGCAGTGATGTACCGCAAGGCCTCACAGATTCTGCCTCCCAGCTTCTGCCTCTAGCAAAATGTTTCCTTCCCGTAAAAGAAAATTTCCAGAAATAATGTAAGTCGCATTTGAGCTTTATGGAAAGCTTGCCCCATATGGCACTCCTCGCCTAGTAATTATTTCTTTTTACTGCTCTAGATATTAAGTCCGGGTACCAATGCAAACTGTACCGGGATGAGTTGTGACTGGCCAGAAGCTCGGAGACGCCCCACCTTATGATCGGCAAATATCCCGATGCCAGCTCGGAAGAGCCCCACTTGGATATTTAGACTCGGAAGAAGCGGGTCTTCGGCGGCCCCGTCAATCACCACTTTGAGCTCTATTTTGATGGAAGACGACTCTCCCCTCGTGGAAGACCGGACTGGAACTTTCTCAACCTCAGGAGAGACAGCGGTAACTCCCCGCCATTCCGCTCCAACCTCTTTAGATCTCAACGGCGTTTACCGACGCCCACAATCCGTACCGGTGCCGGTTCGGCCAGTGGTTTTCCATGTCGTTCATGTTGCGCCTCAATATGTCTTGAAAAATGCTGTCGTAATGAACGATTAAGCCCCTTTACGAAGTCTTTTATTTGGTGGGGTTATCCCGAAGAAACTGTCCAGTCGTTCAAAATAGCTTACGACTCAGGACTCACATCATGCAAGTATGACATCCATCATTACCAGACAGTCAACTACAGAAGCCTGCTGAACGGAGAGACAATGGAATATAGGTAGAGACACGAATTTCATTTCTTTCTTCGGCAACTCAAATGTTGATTTTTGGTCCACAGAATGTTGGCCGGCCTAGTGCTACATTCCGTCTGGGCGCGCTCTCCGCTGCCTCCTAGCTTCCTCTCGGCACGATGCTGTTGGAGCTTGACTCGGTTTAAAGCTTGGCCCCCAATGTTGAACCGCCATAAAATCTTACACCCTGAATTGCGGAGTGAAATTCTCCGCCTGGGCTAGAATAACACAGTGAGGTCCTGCCGTGCGCTAGTTTCCGTGAAGTAAAGATTCATACTAGCACCTACAGGGCAGACGCGTAACACGCTGACACCGACGCACGAAAGATTGCACAGGACCGGCATGACGTGGAACCCCGGTGATTTGATGTTGGTAGGGTGCTAAATCAGACAACTTCATGCAAGGAACAAGCCCCAAAGAGCGGAAAGATGGATCCCCACACGAGCCAGGTTCGTCCCGACTCCCAGCCCTACCAACCCGTGTGGTATTCAAGTTCGTCGTGGCTGACGTGGATGGAACTTGCCGATATAGGCGCTGATCGGCCCCCACGATGACTACCGGGCCAACTGGGGTTGTTGCGAGAACTCCAGATCACAGCTCTACTGCGCCTCTGCGCTATGAGGCGTACTGCCGGGCCACGTGTGGGGAAACATTGTCAGTCTCTATGCGACTTGCAGTGGTAAGGGTAGGATACTGAGGAAGATACTCAAGAATGTGAAAATGATCGTGTTTATAAAAGAGGACTATTTCGACCTCGTTTTTCTCCTCCTGAAACTCACCACCACCACCTTTCGTTTCCTCTTCTCCCCATTCCACATTCGTTTCAACCCTAATCTTCAGACGTTTCAATACAACAAACACCAACATGCCTCACTTCTCCAGAGCGGCTGCACGCGCTCTCGCGGCAGCTGCCAGTGCCTCCTCTCTCGCCGACGTCTGCACTGTCGAGAACGTCCAGAACGCCCTTCCGGCGAACGGCACCCTTCTCGGAATTGACCTCCTGCCTTCCACCGTCACCGCTGCGGCGGTCTACAACGCCACCACCGGAGGCGGCGGCATGGGCGGCGGCGCAAGCACCGGTAGCTCCCAAACCTACACCTACTGCAACGTCACGGTTCACTACACCCACACCGGCCACGGCGACACTGTTGTTCTCAAGTACGCCTTCCCTAGCCCGTCCGACTTCAAGAACCGCTTCTACGTCGGCGGAGGAGGTGGCTACTCGCTCTCCAGCGATGCTACCGGCGGTCTTACGTACGGAGCTGCCAGCGGTGCTACCGATGCCGGCTACGATGCTTTCAACAACGATTACATGTCCCAGGTCCTGCATGGCAACGGCTCCATCAACTGGGACGCGACCCACATGTTCGGGTACCAGGCCCTTGGTGAGATGACCCAGGTCGGCAAGGAAGTCGTCAAGGGTTTCTACAGCTTGGCCACCGACCAGAAGATCTACACCTACTTCGAGGGCTGCTCGGACGGTGGTCGCGAGGGTATGAGCCAGGTTCAGAGATGGGGCGAGGAGTACGATGGTGTTGTTGCCGGTGCCCCTGCTTTCCGCTTCGCTCAGCAGCAGGTCCACCACGTCTTCTCCTCCGCAGTTGAGCACACCCAGGATTACTACCCTCCTCCTTGCGAGTTGGCGAAGATTGTCAACTCTACCATCGCTGCCTGCGACTCTCTCGACGGAAGAACCGATGGTGTCATCTCCAGAACCGATCTCTGCAAGCTTCAGTTCGATGTGAAGACCGTCGTTGGCGAGTCTTACTACTGTGCCGAGAAGAACAGCACTTCGCTCGGCTTCGGCTTCAACAAGCGCGGTCTCGGCAGGAGGCAGGCTGCTGGAAGCACCACCAGCTACCAGCCCGCTCAGAACGGCACCGTCACCGAGCAAGGTGTTGCGGTTGCTCAGGCTATTTGGGAGGGTCTCTTCAACTCCCAGGGTGAGCGTGCCTACCTTTCCTGGCAAATAGGTTCCGAGCTTGGAGACGCTGCCACCACTTACAACTCCGAGTCCGGCAAGTGGGAGCTCAGCATTCCCTCCACCGGCGGCGAGTATGTCACCAAGTTCGTCCAGCTCCTCGACCTCGACAACCTCTCCGACCTGAACAACGTCACCTACGACACCCTGGTCGACTGGATGCAGACCGGCATGGTCCGCTACTACGACAGCCTCCAGACCACTATCCCCGACCTTACGCCCTTCCAGTCTTCCGGTGGCAAGCTCCTCCACTACCACGGCGAGTCCGACTCCTCGATCCCGGCTGCCTCCTCCGTCCACTACTGGCAGTCTGTCCGCTCCATCATGTACCCCAACATGACCGACGACCAGGCCCAGGAGGCTCTCCAGGACTGGTACCAGTTCTACCTTGTTCCTGGCGCCGGTCACTGCGGCAGCAACAGCCTTCAGCCCGGCCCCTACCCCCAGAACAACATGAACATCATGATTGACTGGGTCGAGAACGGCAACAAGCCCAGCCGTCTTAACGCGACCGTCACTTCCTCTACCAACGTCAACGCTGGCGAGACCCAGATGCTCTGCCAGTGGCCTTCTCGTCCTCTCTGGAGCGGCAACAGCTCCAACTTCGACTGTGTCAGCGACGAGAAGTCGATTGACAGCTGGACTTACACCTTCCCGGCCTTCAAGCTTCCCGTCTACTAAGGATACTTGGTAGTTTTGGGTATATCTCATTTTCTCATTTGAAAACATTGACAGAGCTGTACAAAAAGGAATGGTTTCAAGTCTGATATGAGAGGAAATTTTGTTGGGGAAGTTTAGTTGGTTTTTCTTCTTCGCTTGTACACTTATTAGCATTGTCTTCATCCCTTTTTGAAGTTCAGGCCGTACATAGATCGAATCTTTTCTTATACTCAGAACCTCTATCTCAACATGAAGCTTGCTGTACCGTGCTACCATCGTGATCCTTGTCGCCATCTGCCCGAGGTGACATGGTCCTGAACTTGATAGTAAGAAAAGTGGCGCTTGGAAGATTATGTCAGTCTTTTCTCATGTTGACATGTCTTCTCGTTTTATCTCTGATGAGTGCCTCTGCACTTAGAGTCGGGTGACAATCATCTTGGGCTCTTCGACACGCGCCGGAACGCATGGCTTGCTTGCGGGCATACTCTCAACTTGTTTCTCAATATTTGCACTTTTTTAAGTGCCGAAAATCTTTAAAAATCACAATGTGTTCAATCACGAACTATTCCTTAAACCATAAGGTCAACAGTAACTTGCAATTGAGTTGACGGCCGAGAGCAAGAGCGCGCCACATCTGTGTAACCGCGGTTTCTAATTATAGATCGTCAAGCCACATTCCCACTTTCAAGCCACGAAGGATCTCCCTGTGCCGCTGCGCTAAGCCTCTTTTGGCATGGCAGCCTGTCACTAAATTGAACACCTGGGTCTCCGCGCGTCGTCTTCACATCCCTTACTTCTCCAGCATCAGAGTGACCAGATTGTCATTCCGTTGCCCTCTCATTTCTCTCTTACCTTGTTCCTGTTGGCTTCAAGTCAGAGACCTGCCGTCTCGACTGTCCTCTCTTTTTCTCACGAGACCATCGGCGTTTGTCGGATCGTCATCGAGCAGCTTGACAGGTCATCAACGCATCATCTTCTGGCCCTTGAGGTAGTCAACAGCACACCTTTCATTTTGATTTTTGTGGACCCACAACAAATTCATCATGTCGAACAAGAGGGACGATGATATCGAGAGCAGCGGGATGGATGAGAAGGACCCAGGTGTGCGGGAGAGCTTCTTGCCCAAGACTCCGTCTCGTCAGCAGACGCCCGTCAATGGCTACAGAGGTGGCATCCTCTCCCAGCTCGAGAACAACTCCGGTGCCGCCGTCCTGGCCTACTGCTTCTCCTCGATCAGCATGACCGTTGTGAACAAATACGTCGTGTCGGGTTCCTCTTGGAACCTGAACTTCCTCTATCTGGCCATTCAGGTAGGCCCCGCAATGCCCTCTCACTATCAGAACTCGCTAACGCCGTTCCCTAGTCTATGATTTGCACGGCTGCAATTGTATTCCTGAAGCAGATGGATCTCATTCCAAGCGTTGCTGCCTTGGAAGCCGGCAAGGCGAAGAAATGTACGTCCTCAGCAGCCACCTGATGCACCTGTGTACCTCCCAGCCGTTCTAACACCGAACCAGGGCTCCCCGTATCTGTGTTCTTTGTCGGTATGATCTATACCAGCACGAAGTCTCTCCAGTACCTCTCAGTCCCGGTATACACGATCTTCAAGAACTTGACCATCGTCGTTATCGCGTATGGTGAAGTTTTATGGTTTGGTGGGAGTGTTACCCCGCTGCTTCTGCTCTCCTTCGGCTTCATGGTGCTCAGCTCTGTTGTTGCTGCGTGGGCCGATATTCAGGCTGCCTTCAACGGCGCCGGGCACACGGCGGAGACCGCTGCTGCTATTTCGACTTTGAACGCCGGGTACGCGTGGATGGGACTGAACGTCTTGTGTACTGCGATGTATGTTCTGGGTACACGCAAGTTCATCACCTCGTTGAACTTCAAAGACTGGGATAGTGAGTCTTCGATGAATCGCTGGGCGTTATGTCTGAAACTGACCGCAACCTACCAGCCATGTTCTACAACAACCTGCTCTCCCTCCCTATCATGATCGTCTGCTCTGTGGTCACCGAGGACTGGTCGTCGGCCAATCTTTCCAGGAACTTTCCTGCTGATACGCGCAACAATCTCATCATCGGCATGTTCTATTCCGGCTTGGGTGCGATTTTCATCTCGTACTCATCCGCCTGGTGCATTCGCAAGACTTCATCAACGACATACTCTTTCGTGGGTTATCTCAACAAGCTCCCGCTCGCCATTAGCGGCATCGTCTTTTTCGATGCCCCTGTCACGTTTGGTAGCATCACGGCCATTCTTCTCGGGTTCTTCAGTGGCCTTGTCTATGGCTATGGCAAGATGAAGCAGCGAGAGCAGTCGAAGCAGGTGCTCCCTACCTCTCGGCCGGCTATGAGCGCGAGCTCACAGAGCCAGAAGGACGCATCCAGCTAATAAGGCGATGCCATCTATTCTACTCAGAGGTGACGAGATGGATTCCGCGGTTGTCGTAGTACATGGTGTCGTTAGAAGGACTTGGCAAGAGGTTAGTTCATAATGCAATAGAGAACCTCTTTCATTAGTCGGACTTCATCCCATCGCGTGTCATTGTATCACAGCACTTGATGTTGCGTTTGAGTCTGATTAGAGAAGACACCAATGTTCACTTCAATCAACATCAAACATTTCATATTTGAAACGAACATTTCACAGTAATGTTCGTGCCTGCTCATCAATACCCAACGAAACATGTCGAGGCTCCGTGTACTTCGATACTTGTGCAACCCTTATGTGGAAAGTACATCGTTAAGACACAGAGCCTGCAACCACGAAAGATGAGATCAAAGTATCCCACACAGAAGCTTATGCGCCTGTTTTAAGGCTGCCATCCGGCAACGTTTGAGCGAATCGAGGGTCGGGACCCTGCGTGTTTTGCTTTCCTCGCGCGATGCCATCAGACGAACCGACCATATCTTTCCACAATCCGAGCGGCCCTCTTCGAGAATTAAACTGACTTGAAATGGCCACCGAAGTGTACTTTGAAACGCGACCACTGACTTTTGCTCATTGTCCAACAAGAGCTGCGGTTCTAATTTATACGTACTCGGCCGAAAGCCTCGTTCAGGTGTTGGTTACATTCATAACTCTGTCGTTTATGGTCTGGAGTTATCTTTGACTAGACGAAAGACGAGACTCATTTGAACATACTCATGCCTGTAGGGAAACTTCAAGCGAGCAGACAATTCAAAGATTACAAGTTCGGGGTGACGTGACTGTTATCCAAAAAGATCCAGATGGCGTTTAGCAAGTTGATACAGCGGTAGCATAGCAAACTAAATACCTGATATCTGGCAGATATATAATCCCATCATGACCGGCTGGAGGGCAGTCGGACTCAGGAGGAGTACGTCCTTCGCAGCTGCAATCATGCCCACTTGCCAGGCTGTAAAGAAAGACTCTTTGGATATGGCCACAACCCTTCAACTTTTGGTCGGAGATCTGTATCTTACAAAATGGTTGGACATTCATAGCAAACGCACGGCCAATGAACGAATAAGTACAGCAGAGTTGCTCATCGGCAAGCTTTGGCGGGTTCACTGGTTCAATTCAAGGACAACGGCTTTCCAGAGCCACGACGCTTTTCTGGTTAGCTTAGAATAACGTCCAGTACGAAATCCAACCCACGTGGAAACTTGAATCCACTTTGACCGATTATCAAATGAATTTCGATGTACACAAATCCGATGGTGTGGTTCACGAGAAGATAATCACTCGTCGTTGACAAGAGCCAGTGGGACTCACACCAAGGATACAGGGGCGAGGGGTCCCTGTGAAGCAGTTGATAGTGGATCCAGGCACCGCACAACGGACTCTAGTCCGTCTTCGATGAGTCTATGATATCAACGATTGCGAGCAACTGACCTGTGGATACTCGCCTGCGATGCCGCTCAGCCGATGAAGAAAAACGTGATGGCGAAAAACATGAGTCGGGGATGTTTCGCTCGAATCCCGGAGTTGCCAAGAAGGCGGGGGACGTGGGAAGCTTGGGCACGTTATGGTCAGCGGCCAGCAGAAATGGAGAAGGTTTGACAACGCATAAACGACGTCCAATGCGAGCTGGCCGTTTTGTCCATATGGCAGGGCCGCAGAGATTCATGTTGTCTGGTGTGTTGCAGACATTTGATACCCTGGGATACCATTATCCAGTCCGAGTTGATATCGCCCTCCTGTACACCATCAATTGTCCGCCGGTCATCGGCGGCTTTAGATTGAAGAGTTTCTATCAAGTGCCATCGATGTCGCGTCTACTTCGTTTTTGAACTAGCGCTGGCAATCAAAGAGCGAGTCTCTGGTCTCGACCACACCAGGAAGAAACAAAGGTGGGGTTTTGTGACGTCGTGGAGCTGCTCGAAAAGCTCACCCTGGTCAGTTCCTCATGCAGCCATGTATATATAGCAAGGGGGCGCGTAGGGAGTTCGGGGTCTTATGGCTTCATGGGCGGTTCTCTGGACTGCATATAAACCACCTGAGATTTGAATGAAGTGAGCATATCACTGCGGGGTTTACTCTGGACGACGAGCCATTCACGCAGGGCGTAATTCTTTCGCCTTTGAGCAACCACAGGAGCAATGAAAGTGGACAAGCTGGGGGGCAGCCGGGTCGGAGCGAGCGGAATGTGGACAGACGGGGCACAGGTACCTCCACATGGCTGCAACTCAAAGTCACTTTTTAACTGTTAGGCATGGTTTCTGCTTATCACGTTCGTTTCAATTGGACAAGAAGTGGTGTGTCGATCTGCTGCGATTCCCATTTTCCCCAGGCTGCTCAGGCCAGGATGGGTCCTCCCCGCACGGCATTTTGACTCGGCCCCAAGCTACTGTTCCAAGCTGGTCACGCAAGCTCACGGTGTTGTTGCATCTTTTTGAAACTGTGAGGCTAACTGACCAATGTGGCAATGCCTCCGAGGCGTGTTAGGTCGAGCTCTGGACCATCCCAATGTGCGCGTCATAGCAACAAGAGCAGGCCTTAGCTGCGTCTTAACAGGATGATAACAAAGGTGGACAATCGTTTTGTTGCCTCTCTCTGGCCCCGAGAAACAGGCGCCAGGGGCGAGAGAACAATTGGAACAATTTGGAAAACCTCGCTACGCTTGATCTAGATTATCTCGGACTCCTGGACCCTTAGAAATTTGCCATCTGTGGCTTGGTCTAGCTGCCTCTCATCATTTGTCATACAACACCCAAGCTCCTAAGCTACCTCACTTCCCGAGTACCGCGCCGCCTCCAAACCCCCACCCTACCATAGTACGTTGAGAAACGAGTACGGCATGGATGGCTGCTGTCACACGTTAGTGCAAGATAAACGGGAAATAGATGTGAGCGCACAGTGATCTTCACTATGTACTCGGCCCTCGGCCACCCCTCCCAACCGCCAACAAGATTCTAGCCATTGGTCATGCAAATGGATGAGGGGTCGGGGGCGTGGCTATGGTCTAAGACCATAAAACGCGGGGTTCTCGTCCCTTTCCCTTTCTTCCGACGAGCGAGTCTATTTCTTTTCTTTGCTTTTGCCTCTTACTCTCAATTGAAGACGCAAAACAGGTCCCATCAATTATACGACATCTTATACCAGAAGAAGGAAATCATACACAATGGCAGAGAGCAAGTGTCCAGCCACGCGCCTGATGAACACTGGCGGCGGTGGCACCAAGAACCGCGACTGGTGGCCCGATGCTTTGAAGCTCAACATTCTTCGCCAGCACACTCCCGTCACGAACCCATTGGGTCAGGAGTTCGATTATGTGGCCGCTTTCAAGACCCTCGACTACGAGGGCGTCAAGAAGGACCTCACAGCTCTGATGACGGACTCCCAGGACTGGTGGCCCGCTGACTTCGGTCACTACGGCGGTCTCTTTATTCGTATGGCTTGGCACAGTGCTGGTACTTACCGTGTCCACGATGGTCGTGGAGGTGGTGGCGAGGTAAGATCACCGCAAGACATCCTTTGTCTGTCGGATTTATGACACTAACCACGTCAACAAACAGGGTCAGCAACGATTTGCCCCTCTCAACAGCTGGCCCGACAACGTTAGTCTCGACAAGGCTCGTCGCCTTCTGTGGCCCATTAAGCAAAAGTATGGCAACAAAATTTCATGGGCTGATCTCATGATCTTGGCTGGAAACGTCGCCCTTGAGTCCATGGGCTTCCAGACTGCTGGTTTCTCCGGTGGTCGCCCAGACACTTGGGAGGCAGATGAGTCCGTTTACTGGGGAGGCGAAAACACATGGTTGGGCAACGATGTCCGTTACGCCCACGGCCACGAGGGCAAGGCCGACTCGGGAGTCCTTGACGGTTCTCAGGACACCAAGTCCGACATCCACACCCGTGAGCTGGAGTCGCCACTCGGCGCCGCCCACATGGGTCTCATTTACGTGAACCCTGAGGGTCCCGATGGCAACCCCGATCCCGTTGCTGCTGCTAGAGATATCCGTGTCACCTTCGGTCGCATGGCCATGAACGACGAGGAGACCGTTGCCCTCATTGCCGGTGGTCACTCTTTCGGAAAGACTCACGGTGCCGCCCCTGACAGCAACGTCGAGGCGGAGCCCGAAGGCGCCCCGATTGAACAGCAGGGCTTGGGTTGGAAGAACAAGCACGGCTCCGGCAAGGGACCTGACACTATCACCTCCGGTCTCGAGGTTACCTGGACTGCCACTCCTACCAAGTGGAGCAACAAGTACTTCGAGTACCTCTTCCAGTTCGACTGGGAGCTCACCAAGAGTCCCGCGGGTGCCAACCAGTGGGTTGCGAAGAACGCTGAGCCCATCATTCCCGACGCCTTCGACCCCAACAAGAAGCACCTGCCTACCATGTTGACGACCGATCTGTCGATGCGCTTCGACCCCGAGTACGAGAAGATCTCTCGCCGCTTCCTCGAGAACCCCGACCAGTTCGCCGACGCGTTTGCAAAGGCCTGGTTCAAGCTTACCCACCGCGACATGGGTCCCCGTTCCCGCTACGTCGGTCCCGAGGTTCCCAAGGAGGAGTTCATCTGGCAAGACCCCGTCCCCGAGGTCAACCACCCGGTCATCGACAACGGTGACGTCGCCGCCCTGAAGAAGGAGATCCTCGGCACCGGCGTTGACCCGTCCAAGTTCATCTCAACTGCTTGGGCATCTGCCTCCACCTTCCGTGGTAGCGACAAGCGTGGCGGAGCCAACGGCGCCCGCATCCGCCTCGCACCGCAGAAGGACTGGGAGGTCAACAACCCTTCCCAGCTCAAAGAGGTTCTGCAGACCCTCGAGCAAGTCCAGCAGAAGTTCAACAGCTCCGCCTCTGGCGGCAAGAAGGTGTCACTGGCTGATCTGATTGTCCTCGCCGGTGTCGCTGGTGTCGAGCAGGCCGCTCGCAACGCAGGTCACGACATCAACGTCCCCTTCACCCCTGGCCGCACCGACGCGTCTCAGGAGCAGACCGACGTTGAGTCTGTTGGTCACCTCCAGCCCTACGCCGATGGCTTCCGCAACTACGGCAAGTCAACGAAGCGCGTCAAGGCCGAGAACTACTTGGTCGACAGGGCACAGCTTCTCACCCTTTCCTCGCCCGAGCTCACTGCCTTGGTCGGTGGTCTGCGCGTGCTGAACACCAACTACGACGGCTCCAAGCACGGTGTTCTCACCAACCGACCCGGTGCTCTGACCAACGACTTCTTCGTCAACCTGCTCGACATGAACACCGAGTGGAAGGCCACCAGCAACCCCGATGTCTACGAGGGCAATGACCGCAAGTCCGGCTCTAAGAAGTGGACTGCTACCCGTGTAGACCTCATCTTTGGTGCTCAGGCTGAGCTGCGCGCTGTTGCGGAAATTTACGGTCAAGCTGATGGCGGCCAGAAGTTCGCCCAGGACTTCGTAAAGGCCTGGGATAAGGTCATGAACCTGGATCGCTTCGATGTCAAGAAGGGCTCCAACTTGCCAAGCCGTCTCTAGATCCAGATGAAGGGTTGAAAAAGTTGTAAAACTGTTAGGAATTATGATGATACGTCTCAACTTCTTTTGTGTTATGAGACACCCAATGTAGTCTATTATTTCTGCAGATAGGGTCATGTACTTTTGTCCGATTCCAATACCCCGTGTCTCTCGAGCTATGTGATCTATACAGACGGCCATTTGAGGTGATTAATGTCTTACTTGCGTAGGTTCGGACTATTCCATGTGTAATGTTCCCCATGTGCTGCAAAGTTTGGTGTTGCTGATCCGGTAAACGGCCCGCTCCGACTTCACCCGCACGTTTTCCCGAGTGTTACAAGCGATAATGTCGGGTGACTGTCCCATGCCTTGCCACTCGTTCGAAGTTTTTCAACACCAACAACGATCATGATGCATCATTTTGACTAGCATAAGTTTGCTAATATGCGCAGCGTGCGTCTAAGTGACCGAAGGGACAAGAGGAATTCTCATAGTCTTATATCCAATTATTTGGCGATGAGATGCTATTTTGACATACAATGGTGAGTCTAGTGGATGATTGACACTTCTCCGACACCGATAAGAGATGTACGATAGCCAGAATGAGCATATGCGATCAATCCTGCAGCAAGTAGGTTCCCATTGCAGCCAATCCCGCACCCTCCCCCTTTTCCTCCACTGTTCGCTTCATCAGCCGTTCAAACAGATCCAGCCCCTCAGTACTGACCCTCTCCTCACGAAGGGTATCCATGATCGTTTGCAGTCCCTTCAACTGCATCGACACGGGGTTTCCGAAGTTCTCATTCCAAGCCTCCTCATCCAAGGCCCGCGCAATGTCCGCAATATGCGTCAAGAAAGTTGTGAGCAGAGGTAGGACGATCTTCTTCATCGGCACCTCTGTAGAGGGCGCTCCCTTGGCTCCCTTATCGGGTCGCTGCCGCTTGAGCAGGTTCATCGCAACAATAGCACCGGTGAACATGCCGTTCATGGCGGCGAGGGCGGCGATGTCCCAAAGGCTTGCCGCGCCGGAGTCCTCGGCGACGTAATGGTACTTGCCAAGCGGTTCGAGAATCGCGGCCACTTTGGACAACTCGGCTTCGTTCTCCCCGCTGAAGTACATCGACGAATGCTCGGTCCCGACCAGTTCAGGGGTGACCATGATCGCGCCGTCAAAGTACCTCGCGACGCCGTTGGATTTCAGCCAGCTTTCCATCTCGCGGGCTTGATTGGAGGTGCCGGTGGTGATGTTGATGACCGTCATGGATCGCCCGGCACCGTCCAGAGGCAGGATGGGCGAGAGGAGCTCCTTGATGTTGTCGTAGTTGGAGACGCATATGACGATGGTGTCGCTGCGGAGGATAGCGGTGCGCAGGTTAAGTTCGAACACGGCGCCCATGTCGACGAGCCCCATAAGGCTCGGCCGCTCGGGGTTTCTGTTCCACATCGTGACCGTCAGCCCGGACTCGCGCCAGATGTTCACCATGGCGGCGCCGATGTTGCCGACCCCGACGAGTGTGACGTCCGTTTTAGACATTATTGGCAGTTGGTACGGTTTGGAGGTGAGACTTGTAGTTGATCTCAAGTGCGAATAGGTCTTAGATCCAGACATGGCCATATTGAAGTCGTGCCCTTATATCGAGAACACGAAGAAAACTATCTCGGCGTTTTCGTCCGTCTCGGTCTTCTGAGCTTACAAACTTTATGGAGCTTTTATGCATCGCATTTCATTCTCCCACCTCTGCCGATACTCAGTCCGTACGTTTCGGTCACTCGGTCTTCGCGGGCTCCGGGATACATGGCTCAAGAGACGAGATGACATTGCTTTGGCACGAAAGTTGGTGAGTCTTAAAAACATCTGGATATGATATAAATCAGATATTTCTATTGAATTTGTGCATGCAATTACATAACTGATCATAGAGCACATCTTATTCATAAACGTTTTCAGAATGCGTGTTGCATCTTACAACAGGCCTGCAACACTTCCTAATTTTTGATATGATACAGCAGAAATCTTGCCTCATTGTTATTTTCAATATGGAGAATGAATAAACTCTGACTTATCTCCTCTCGAGAACTAACAGTCATCAATTTCCAGTCTCGTATTTCGGCCAATGATGTTGAGTTCCCAAGTACCCGTGCTGCGATTAACGTCGGAATTCGAGTCCCGGTCGGTCGCCGCGGAAAACGTGGTGATCTTCGGGCCTAGGATGCTTTCTCCCGCATCTTTGGCATTCCAACACTGGAATAGTCTTGTCTCCATACTATTTGACGAAAGGTGCTGAAATGGAAGTTGCAATGAGGTTGTATAATTAAAAGAGTGGCTCGCCTCTAAGAAGGGGATCCTAGTATCTATGGTTGCTAATCCTGAGCCCAACGAAAATCAATCATCAACATCACGGCATGACACATTATTTGCCACATACCATCATTCCATCTATGTTTCATGGTAAAACCCATTGTTTTCATGTTCAGGAGTCCATGACAAAGCTTGAGCAGCTTGATGCCGGCGACGCGGCTTTCTGAGGCTCTCCTTGCCTGGTGCGGCGGCAGCGTCGAGGAAACAGATTGTTTCGCAACCGCTGATGGATCTTCTTATAGTGTTCCCTCTGTATCAGTGAGTCAGTACGAAGCACATCGCATTTTCAAGGGGATTAACTGACCATATTGTCCTTGCGGCTAAAGATTCTATCACAGTCGGGATGCAAACACCGGACGGCCGGCTTATGAGAGCCCATGTGTCGCTGAAAGTCCTTGCGCGTGGCAAATCCCACACCCGCCTGCTGGCAACGCTTCTCGGTGCAGAAGAAGTACTTTGCGTGACCGCGGAAGTGTTTCCGTAGATCACACGCTCTTAGAAAAACGCGGGACGAGCAACAACCAGCGTATCGACAACGCCAGTTGCCGGCGACGTCAAGGTAGCCCATCTGGTGCAGGTCTGCCGGGCCCCATCCTTCAACCTCCAGCTCTTTCGGCGGTGACCTCGGCGAAATGTTTCCACTGCTTGGGGAAGAAGGGAAGTTGAACTGCTCGCTTGGCATTGGCGAGAACTCTGGAGGTGGTGAGGGAGTCGCAAAGGCATTGTTGAATGTGTAGTCCGTATCTACGGTGAGAGTGGGACTAGTAGCCATCAAAGGCAAGTTTGTCTGGAAAGATTGGAATGAGAATGGGTAAAGGAAGCTGTCGAGGCTATCTTCAGTTGGATGCGGGATCAACTGAGAGTCGAAGCTGTACCCTGCTGCGTTGCCGTCGACGCTAGGGAAGAAGGTGTAAGAGGTCTCCTCGAGATACGACTCCATGACGCCTGATACCTGCAGACAGTGTGTTTGATAGTGAAATGAAAATAAAGTCAAAAGCAGAACGCAGAATGCCGCCGTGAAGTTAGTGAACCGTGATGTGAGAAAAGCAGTAGGTATCTTGGCAAGAACTGGATCTACGCTGACGTTTATGTATCTTACGATCCAGATTTGCTCCATCACAAATCATACATGCAACTCATATAAACAAGATGGTATAGGTCCGTGTCGAATACAACGTCGGCGGCCCCAAACACCGGGGGTGGTTCGTGTGCATGGCTTCCGGAGAAGGCCCAGAATGAGTCGATGATCGATCACCAAACGGCCTTACGGCGGCTGAGCACGATCCGCAGGACGTCCATTCTCGGTCCGCCCTCCATCGGCACATGTATTAGACTTTGAGGAATCGAGCAGATCTATTCCCAAATTAGGGACTACCGGCCGACCGTTTCAATTGTCAGCCATTTGACATCGGCGTTAGGTTGCGGCGATGCCAAGGATCTCGTGGCACGAACAGTTGGGGAAATGAGGGGAGCCGCGGAAGAAGTGTGTGTCCGCTCAGATGCGATTCGTTAATCAGACTGGCAAGGAGGGCATGTTACAGCGTCAGATCGCCTGGAGATCACGAAGTTGCACAGCCCAATTGCCCGGGGTCAGATATAATTACCCCTGGTTTGAGTGTTGTCAACGAGGTTCGTGCGTCGCGGGACGGGATGCCACCGTCTTTTCTAAGCGCTGACTGAACTTAATAGAGAGTCTTAATCGATATCCCATCCCTAAAATTGAACAAGATGGCGGGGATATACCGCCTTTCATAAGATGGCGATGGAGGGCCGTCTGCCGGTCTGTATGGTTCCCTCCGCTGTGAGGTTGATTGCGATTGGCTCTTGGGAAGCTGTCAATCCAAACCGTGAAAGGTTAAGGAAGCGCAGAGTTCCGAGATGCCTTTTAAAGAGCCAATCGGCAGCCAGAACTTTTGACATGTCGAGACCGTCTGGGATTATCCCATGAAACCCGCCGAGTTGACAGACGTCTTGGTAAGTTCGTCAGTGATGTGTCCACGTAATAAACACGGCCTCCCAATCACAACCAAGTTTCCTTTCTGACACTTGCAAGTCACTCCCGTAAGGCTGGACGACAGGCCCGTCAAGCGTTCCAAACGGATAAAAGTGGCTCTTTTCACATTGATCCCTAGATGCGATTCGCTCATGGAAATCGACCTCAGCCACCTCAGCTGCATGACCCGAGACGTCAAGTGGAGTGTCGTCCTCCCCGTTGACTGGATCACCAGTCATACTTGCCATGATCTGCCAGGCGTGCCAACGTCACGTCTTTGATCTAGGCTCCTCGAAACTGCCCACCTTGATAACTTGACAATGCAGTGAAAGCCACGGCGAGAGCGGCGAAGGTAACGGCGAGGATAGCGACTAGCACGTCTCATAGCTTCCGTACAAACGGCGTTCCGGCGACGATCATCGACAGCGGAGGCCTCTTCTCCGTTGCCGTGGTCTTTGCTTGGGACTTGACAGGATCATCGGCCGAGAGCAGGGTGGGATTTCTTTCTTTCCTGGGCCGACTTCACGTCAGTTATAGTTGTTTCGTTTGACAATACTAGCGAAACATTAATCCCAGCTCGGCTTGATGCTACCCGTTGATTTACCCCGTCTTGCTCGTCAAACCTGAACGACGCCGAGTCGGCATGTTGCAATACCGCCCCGATGGCGGCGGGAGGCCGCAGAAACAGCCACCAGCATCGAAAGATGGCATCAGAGTGACGAGCATTAGAAGGTAATAACGGATTTTGTTCTCCTGTCATCGCTGTTGTGGGCGTGAAAGGTGAGTCTTTGTTTGGTTTGATTGAGAGATACACACATCTCGGTGGTGGCTTATTGGTGGGTCGTAATAGCTCCAGCTGCCCTTCCAGAGAACCCCAAATACGTAAACGAACAAATCATGAGATTGCATACAGGGCGTTCTGGAAAGTCCAAACGGAGGGTGAAGTACTAGTATCAAAACTAAATACGGATGGCAAACTTTGAGGCTTTCACACGGTCCAGATCCGTGGACCCGATTGTGGTAACGTTGTACCCGCCGTGGCTGCCGAAATTCAGATAAGATTCGTGATACTGCGTTTGTGAGGGGGTGTTCGTGACATAAAGTTCACACATCGGGTTCAAGAACCGTAGGGCTGGTGTAACATTGGATGTTGCCGTGTTCCGCCCACGATTATCCTATCAGGTAGATGAACCACCGGATCGTCATGAGTAGCTCGGTGGTGTACCAACCAGTGATGGTGTCTCAGCTAGTCTGATTAGAATTCGGGTACAGGGGAAGTGGGCAAGCTTTGCTGCTTAGCTATGGAAAAGGAAACGCTATCTTCATGGTGAGAGCTTTGCGATGGGTGTCCGCGTATGGTTGAAGACCGAGTCAAAGGCGTGCACCGAGTGACTCACCAATTCTACTTCAGTTGGTTCATCTGAAGCAAAGGTTTTCTTCCTAAGTCATGCTTGCAACATCGGTCTCAGATAGTTACCAATGAGTTGGTCTCAATCTCATCTTCAAGAATTAAAATGAACAGTCAGGCGAGCTGTCGACTTTTGCCAATGTCAACATCAGCTATCACGGAGCCACGCAAAACCCATGCAAGCCTTTGCCACTGACGGCCCCAGACTAGTCTACAATCAGCTGCTCATCAAACCCGCGGGTGCTGTCATGAGCCGAGAGGATGCCAGGTATCACAACCTCCGTTGCCGCATCCGCTCGCAGTGTTCGATTCACATTCTCTCGTCACTGACCCAGTCGCCTACTTAACTTCTTCAGTGACCATCCACGTCAACTCAGATTGGATGTGTCCCAGCCTTAAGTCTAGTAGGTTGTGACCAAAATCTTGGTTCACATTGGGAAGGTTTGTCGGGTGAGAGCCAAAGCTTCAAATCAGATGACGCCCTCAGATCATGCAGTCGTTGCAGCGCGTCTGAAGGAAGTGAAGGCCAGGGTGTTGTCGGATGAACTAGGTCGGCACAATCCGTATCTCACAATATGAGGAATAATACGAGTTTAGCCGCAATATCCTGCAAATAACGAATGAAGCGAGGAACTCAGATAACTGCACAAACTGAGCTGCGGTTGATGACGTCGTTAGTTATCCAAGTTTCTTACTTACCGCGACGGCCGCGAGGGATTTCCCTGGCGGTTCTCACCAGAAACTTTTCCGTGATCCACCGGAGGTCCACCGGAAGCACGCCGGTGGCTCCCGGAGCGCTCACTGGCCCGAAGTCTCGGTCTGATTCGGCGCTTCCGTCCTGAGACGACATCTGAGAAGATGAAGGGCATTGAGTCAGTGGAGTTCACGTCCCTGAAAAACACGGAAAATACGTCATGTGTGGAGATGAAGAAGTGGTCCTGGCATCTGAAGAAGATGCCCCGCGTCGGTCAAGGAGGGGCACTCGGTGAAGTTGTGCTCTCACCGACACTCACCGAGAAAACGGTCCTTCACGACTTGAGCTTCGTTACCTAGAAAACTCCAAACAAAAACGACATACCAGTTCTAAGCCTCAGCTACAATATCGTCGAGGCCTCTCAAAGAAATGAATCCAGCCGTGGCGCAAAAGATTACCGTCCTCGTCTCGAGGTGCCGGAAGCAGAACGTTGTGCCATCTGCAGCCAGCCGTCAACGTCCCAATCGGAATCCACAGCCCGTTACGATTCATGAGTAAGCCCGGCAACCGGCGAAAGCTTTATGGCTCATCCCACTCTAACACCACCACCCCATCCCGTCCGTCTCGCCGCTCTTCTCCCGCCGCCCCCATGTTCCAGAGCCGCAGCAGAGCATCTTTATTAATAAGATCAACAATCTCGTCCCTCCGCTCATCCTCTTCCTGTACTACACTACCTTCGCTCCTTTCACAAACCTTCGCCTCACCCCGCCCCTCCACCACAAAACTCTACCGCCGCGCCATCATGTCCTCCGCAGTCTCCCTCGTCGAGTCGGCCAAGAAGGCCGCCGCCTACCGCGCCGTCGACGAGCACCTCGACGCCTCCGCGCGCTTCGTCGGAATCGGCTCCGGCAGCACCGTCGTCTACGTCGTCGACGCCATCGCCGCCAAGGGCCCCTCCTTCTGGTCCAACATGACCTTCTTCCCCACGGGAAGCCAGTCCAAGGGCCTCATCCGCGCCGCCGGCCTCCGCCTGTGCAACCTCGACGAGAGGCCGCTCGGCCCCGACGGCAAGCTCGTCGCGCTTGACGTCGCCTTTGACGGCGCGGACGAGGTTGACGCTGACCTCAACTGCATCAAGGGCGGCGGTGCCTGCCTGCTCCAGGAGAAGCTCGTCGCTATCGCCGCTAAGAAGTTCGTCGTTGTCGCTGGTGAGTCGTGACACCTCCTGGACCTGTGACGAGCGAGAATTCTGACCGAAATGACAGACTACCGCAAGCTCTCTCAAAGGCTACTCACCAACTGGAAGGCCATCCCCATCGAGGTCCTCCCCATGTCCGCCCCGGATGTCCTGGACCGTCTGACGGACCTCGGCTCCGTCAAGCCCCTGGTCCGTCCCGGAGCCCCCGCCAAGGCCGGCGAGGCCGTCACCGACAACGGCATGTGGATCATCGACGCGCCGTTCCCCCAGCTGCTCCTGTCCTCGGATGTCACGGATGGCGCCGCCCGCAACGCCGCTGGCGCGTGGGAGGTCTCGGCGTTGGCCAAGGAGCTGTTGCTGATCCCCGGTATTGTGGAGATCGGTATCTTCCACGGCCTCAACGGGCTGCAGGCGGCCCAGGCCGGCAAGTTTGGTCTTGCGCAGAAGCCGGTTGCGGCCTACTTTGGTATGGAGGACGGTAGTGTGAAGATGACTGGCGCATAAGAGGGATATCCATGATTTAGAGCGATTTGAGTAGAACGGAGTTCAAAAGGTCAAACCAGGTGACATTTACTTGAATAGGATTATTTACAGAGGCATGAAGATAGCGGTGACCGACACTGTGATTCCAACTGTCAAGTCGACTAACCTTCTCCCCCAGATGTCGCACTTCGGGAACTTCTACGAGAGGCCCGAATTGGCATCGAGGTAAGTCCGACTCCGCATTTACTGCGCTCTCAAGCATCCAACACCTTCCAACCACCAGTTAACAGGTTAGTGTAGATCCTCAGAGGATCATACTTCGTCCGGATGGCCTTGAGCTTGGCCACGTTCGCAGACGGATAACTCTGAAAGATGCGCTGACCCTTTCCGGCATCGTTCAAGTACAGATACCCACCAGCAACGCCCTTGGCCTCAAGAGCCGTCTCAATGTCAACTGTGACAGTCTCGGCGAACTCGCGCGCCGTCACGTCGTCCTTGGCGTTCTGCCACGACAAGTTCTCCACAACCCAGAAATACGGCGCCTTGGCCGGGTCGACACCCTGCGGATCAGGCCCGCCTCGGCTGATGCCTTGCTCGATGAACTCCTTGGTGATGGGCTGGAATGAGATGGAGGCCGAAAGTCCAACAATGGAGGATAGCCTGGAGTTCGCGGCTTCGATGAAGGAGTCGTGGACGAGGGCGACGGCTTCGCGGTCAACGACCAATGACAGGACACGAAATCTGAGGCTTGGGTCAGTTTTCATCTCAGAAGTCTAATCTACTAGATCTAGCTCACTCTTGACGGAGACCCGTGGGCTGCAAAGCATCGACAGCGCTGACATACTCGGCAAGAGGCTGCAACGCATACGAATCATCCACAGGCACAAGCACCGGGGACGTGAAGTTCTCAAAAGCCGTCCCGGGGGCGGTCTCGGAGTCGTAGAATCTCGCCGCCGCATACGCCGTGATGTTGTACGATGGGTAGGTGAGGATAGTCGGAATGATAGCCGCCTTGCCATCGGCAGAACCGTACTTCCCAAAGTTGTACACGGCGTCGAGGTACTTATCGCTCTCGTTCTGCGCATACTGAGAGATACCAACCCAGACCTTGGGCGACTCGACCGTCTTCAGATCAAACCGGGTGACGATGGCGAAGGAGTTGCCGCCGCCCTTCAGGGCCCAGAACAGGTCCGAGTAGGCGTTCGCGGCGGTGGCCTCGACCACGAGACCGCTGGCCAGGACGGCCTCGTAGCGCACGACGTTGTCGGCGGCGAAGCCGTACTGGTTCGAGTAGAATGAGATGCCGCCCCCGAGCAACAAGCCAGAGACCCCGACGCCGCCGACTCGACCGCCGACCGCCGCGAGGCCATAGGGTTGGAGGTAAGAGTAGACGTCTCTCCATCTGTTGCCCGCGCCGACTGATACGGTTGCCCTGTCTTCGGAGATGGCCAATGATGTCAGGTTGGATGTCGACAGCAGCACGCCCGTGGACCCGATGCTGTTGGAGCCTACCACGGGCATGTGACCGCCGCTGCGGACTGCGAACTTGGTCAAGCTGAGGGTGAGGGTAGTGACGGCGAAGGAGACTTGTTGGGCGTCCTGCGGGACGAAGACGCATGCTGGGCTGTCGTGGGCCGTTGCGGACCAGTATTGCGTTTGAGTCTCGTAGAGGTACCCATCGGAGCCGGCGAGGAAGGTATGTTTCGGATACTTCTGGCTCAGAACTGAACAGGCGATCTTCTCAGAACCGGGTAGACTGGCGACAGGCGTGGTAGTTTGAGCTGCTTCATCGGATGCCGCAACGGCCGGGAGAGAAAGATAGGCTGCAATGGCAGATGCAAGATGTTTCAGACCAACCATGGTGAGTGATGAACTCAGCAGCGCGATATCAAATGAGAACGATCGTGGGTGAGGCTTTCAACTTTTGCCGTTCTCCATGCCGTGGCGATAATATGCATTAAATGTTGACCGCACCTAGGGTCCCGTAGACCTGCAGAATGTCGTTAGTGATGGATGCCAGAGTCGGCTGCGACCTGCCGTAGCGGCTACTCCCGATTCATCCTATTGGCAGGTTGGATGCGGTGTTGTGCACCCGAGATGAGGCGATGGTTGCTGGTGGCAAACCCCCCGTCGATACCCTTGCAGGACCCATGCTCAGCTCTGTTGGCGTCTTCAAAACGCGAGAGACTTATGATGGTCTATACAAATATCCCAAAGAAAACTCTAATGATTACCTCGTTCGACAAGATAAGGCGATAAGGTATATAGATGATCGTGGACCGCCTGAGCGAGGAGAGTCGTAATGCAATGGTAGTTACAACTCAGGACAGCCACGGAACAAGCAAAGCATTCGTCACATTTCTTATGCCTTTTGATTACGCTCTGTCTCTTCGTATTCTCTACACATCTAGACATTATCCTCGTAAGCCATCAAGAGTCGAGCTGGTTCCATCCGAGCGACCGTCTTCGTAGGCCCCATGCATCCAAGTAACACCGCAGCCTCTCCAATGAGGCTCCCAATTAAATTCTATAATTAAAGGAAATACGCGTCCAACCTGACAAAATGGTATCTGGGACAGCACAGGTATCGAGCAAGAAAGCAGGCAAGCTAATCGAACACAGAAAATCCACCTTTTCCTTTTTCTTCAAGAACGAGCCGCCACCGTCTAAGCGGCGCCTCCGATGTTGCTGGTGTACAGCTTGCTCCACCTCGAGCCGAGGGAGATGAAGAAGGAGACGCCCGCGCCGGCGACGGCGATGGCGAAGGCGACTTTCAGACCGTCCATGTAGGCCTGGATGATGCCCGGGACGGCGTCGGCGGGGAAGGCGTTGCGGATCTCGGTGGCGCCGGTCAGGGCGACGAGGGATGGGTCGACGCTGGGGACGTTCTCCATGACCTTCTTGAGGATCGTGACGAGGAAGCCGGACTGCGCGCCGGCGACGAAGAAGGCTCCACCGACGGTTTGGAAGACTGGGAAGGATGTTAGTAGGTGTGGTTGAGTGGATGCAAGGGGGTATGGGGGAACTCACAGAGCAGAATGGCAGTCGAGGAGGCGAGGTCGTTTTCGGAAACAGTGCCCTGGACGGCGATGATGGGAACCTGAAACGCCGCGCCCCAGGCGAGACCGGCGAGGACCTGGTAGCCGATCCACTTGTCGCTGCCGGTGCCGATGTCGAGGGTGTAGAGGAGACCGGCGCCGATGGTGGCGACGGCGCCTCCGACGACCATGATCGGGGTGTAGATACCGGTGGCGGAGATGGAGACGCCGGAGGCGATGGTGGCGATGGTGACGGCGATGATGAGGGGGAGGTTGCGGACGCCGGACTGGGTGGGGGAGGCGTTGTCGACGGACTGGAAGTAGATGGGGAGGTAGTAGACGAGGACGAAGTAGGAGCCGGCGAAGAAGAAGGCGTAGGCGGAGGAGATGTAGATGGTGCGGTCGCTGATAAGGCGGGGGGCGATCATGGAGCGCTCGCCCTGGTACCACTCGAGGGCGATGAAGGCGATGATGATGAGGCCGAAACCGACGAAGAGGCCGATGATGGTGGAGGAGTTCCAGGCGTGAGTGCTGCCGCCCCACTGGAGGGCGAGGAGGAAGGCGATGGTGGCGCCCATGATGAGAGAGGTGCCGATGAGGTCCATTTGGAGGAACTTCTCCCGCATGCTGGCCTTGACGGGGATGGCCTGGGGCGGGGTATGGAAGAAGAAGAGGATGATGGCGGCGCCGAGACCGCCAACGGGGAGGTTGATGTAGAAGCACCAGCGCCATGAGACGTGATCCGTGAAAGCGCCGCCAATGAGAGGACCGATGACGGAGGCGACTCCGTAGGATGCTCCGATGATACCGGTGAAGGTAGGTCTCTTGTCAGGCGGGGCGGAGAAGCCGATGATGGTGTAGGCGCCGGAGCCGATGCCTGCTGCGCCGACGCCGGCGATGGCACGACCGACGATGAGGGCGACGGAGTTGGGAGCGACACCGCAGATCAAGCTGCCGACCTCGAAGATGAAGATGGAGAGCAAGAAAGACGTCTTGAGCGGAAAGTACTTGTAAGCCTTTCCCCCTGTTTGATTCTGTCAGTATCGTGATGGTTTTCGTATATCGTGTTGGGAAGACTTACATGTTGACTGGAACGCAGCGACACACATGAAGAAGGCAGCTCCGTACCAGGATACCTGGTCGAGACCCTTGAACTCGTCGGTGATTTTGGGAATTGCAGTTGCGACGATGGTCATGTCGAGGGCGATGAGGAAGATACTGAGGACCAGGGCGAAGACGATGAGCCCGAGGGCCATACCGGAGGGATAGACTGCGTTGGCTGCTTCTTGGGGCTGCACCGAGCCGGTCTCTTCGTCGGTGCCGTTGCCATTTTCCTTCTTCTCAACGGCGCCCTCTTCGGCGAGCATGGACGGCGATGGTGTGGTCTCGTGCTCCTTATCGCTGCCGACTCTATCGCGAGGAGTCACTAGGGTGCTTGTTGTAGATGCCATCGCGGTGGTGATGACCAAGTGTGTTGAGCCTCTTGGCTGATGTTGTTGGAATTAGAGTTGGCTGTTGTGGGAATCCCTGGATGTTATACTCGGCCGCGATTCGAGGCTTGGCGGAGTTAAGGTTGATTGTCTTTGAGGGCGTGCCACAAGGTGAACCGAGATGTGAATCTTGGGGGAGAGCCCGGACTCTTATGTATGTGAAAGGAAAAGGTCATGAGCAGAGAGCTATTAAGGTCGGACTTTGGGGGAACGTTGACGCCGGCCCGCCGCTCGGGGCAAGGAGAAGATAGAAGACAGGTAGTTTGGGCCTACTCTGGATGCAGTAGCACGCCGGGGCAAGCTGACGGGGGCCATCCGCCGCGAAGCATCTCACACGGCGGAGACATTTTGACGCGATGGCTCATCATGTATGGTGCAAGACTAGGCGTGTACCATGTTGCAGTAGCATAACGGTAAATGGGGTCGTCAACCCAGCGCTATGATGGTGTGAACCGATGTACGAAGGATGCGTTAGGCCGGGACGGTACGACAAGTCTCGAATGGTGTGTGTGTGAATCTTGTGTGTTGGGACGGCGTCATTGGTAAGCCCTACGAAGAGTATACACCGAGACCGAAGTAGATAGAATAAGTCTACAAAGGGTCTGTCGGGACGAGTTGGGCGTTCGTTGCTGGTTGGTAACCAGGAGACCCAATCTCCGTCTGCGTGCCGCATGTAGTTGAGAGTATCCCACCTTGGCGAAGCGCCGCACCTCAATCTCATTTGCTGACTGGGCGTTAATCAAGAATGTTCCGAAAAGTCCGCATCCCTTGCGGATGAGGAAGTCTCTGTGACTCTGAGGCTCTCCTAAGCCGCATTCCATGCAGTTGGATGGCCAAGAACAGGTCGCTTACGGTACTTGCGCGTACCCATGTCTGATAATGATGAGAGGCTTATGTTGGCTGCGCGTTGCCCGTCTCGCAGGGTGCAGTACCGGTTCCGCCGAGACGGTGGAAGAGAAAGAACATAACGTAATCCCAGTTCTAAGCATGAGTCTGCGGACTTTGCGCGAGCAGCCAACACTCAAAGGGAGTCAAGCGGGCGGAGGGAGTCAGACCGGAGAGGCACTTTTTGGGGTCGATCCGGCCCTAAAGCACACTTGCGACTTGGATGGCGCCTTTCTTCTTGGTGATTCTGTCATGTTGGGTATAGCTTGAGGTTTCAGCGGCAGATGTTTGGCAAAGCTGCAGACGGATAAGGCTGCGCTTGTTGTGCACTTGACGCCGCCACATCAGCAAAATGGGCGTCCGTCCCATCACACCTCGGACCAAATGTTTCCCATGTTGCTGTGTTGATTTGTAAAGCGGCCGTGCCCCTCGTTCGCCTGCCGGTGGCTCGTCCGAGACTGCGGACTTTTGCGGATTGAGGCGACCCAATATCCGACGAGCAGCGGAAGATGATAGCAACGACGAAGCAAGACAATAGAGCATTGTTTCTGAGGCTATTCAAGCTTAGCGTCGATCCTGCGACTTTGGTGCCCATCAGCAAGATGTGGAGTTGACCCTGAATCTGATAAGACCATGGATGAGCGTCTCCGCCGAGTAAGCTTGTTATTGAAGCGTCTTGGTAGTGTCTCCGCATGCATATTGAGTTGACTTGACTCTTCCGCCGTCGCAAGTCATGGGCCGAACGATACAGTAATACCGCTGCCGCGTAGGGCTCGGGCGGGATCGTCCCTTTCACAACATCGTGTAGAATGCAGCATCCCGTACCGCGAGCGAATGATGCGGGCTTGCTCGAGTAAGCTGAGAGCGCCGAGGAGTAAGAACACGAATCACTCGTCCACCAGGGCACGGGACAAGGGGGCCATCACGAGTGGCTTGAAACTGCAGCCCAGGGTAAGGTCAGAGCGAGCCACTGATTCACCACAATGCCGCCCGATCCCGGAAATAGGAGATAGTCGGGGCCAGAGGCACGGCAGGTAGAAGAAGACAATGTTGGAGGGACCGGGTAGACGGTGCTAGACGGAGGTATGTCGATCTGAACAGCCCGAGGACCCGTCTGATCGGTTGCGAGTGATTTCTTGCTCCAGAGTCTAAATGTTGAGGTCTGCCGAATTTGGGGCGCGTGAGATCCAGTCCAGCAGAGAGGGATGGTCGTCGGCGACTTTTCGTTCCAATGCTGCCATCGCACGTGTCAGCGAGATTGCCGGGCTCAGATTTACGAGAGATGCAGGTGAGAAGAGGATTATGTAAGGAGGAGGCATTCGAAAGAACGCTAGAGAATCGAAGAAGCAAGCTAGTGACCGAGAAGGTAAGACGAAAAGGAGATACGTACCATACCTACCTTACCGTAGATGTGTAATAGTAAGTGAGATTCAGATAAGGCGGGAAATAAGGTACATTGAGATACTCTGTACCTCCGTGCCTCCTTACCCCAAGAAGCACTCCCACAAGTGAGGTGTTGCCTGGAGAAACTCACGCGTGGCACCTCAGACAAGACACGAATAGAAATTGGAAAGTGCAGGTACCGTAAATCTCGTCCCGGGTTGCACGGGTCGTAAATCTGCCTGGCCTGCCCTACCTACACCCCAGGCCCGCCCAATAAGGTATCACGGCAGCCCTACCACATGCCTTTCCGTGTTTCCTTGGAATATGGGAATTGGAAAAGTTACCTACTTCACTGTCCTACCGGATTACCAATACCGCGTTCCGGAGCAGATCTCCCTGGGATTCCTGTCTCTGCCTGACAGCTGTGTCTCACCAAAGGAATCCACCCGTTGAGAAGAGAACACTGGCCAGATTGGATGATAAATGTACTTCATCTGATTCTCCAGATGTAACAACCAATTGCTGACGTGTACCGAGCACGCCTCCGTCCGACCCGGACGGCGGTTTCGGTGCTGCGGCCGCTGCGGCCGCATTTCGAGGAGCGGACGGTGCAACTCAGGGCCGCACTGCAGAAGGCACCAAATACGCTTAACCACCACAGATACCCGCGTTAGTGGTATGAGGATTGCGGACGACTGCCTTCTTGGTCGTTAAAATAGCATAAGAAGGCAGCGGCCCCCATTCCTTTCCGTGCGCGGCGGATGCGCTCCTCTTGCTTCGCGCCTCGTGGTCTTCCATCTGCTTTCAGGAGGGCGACCATGTCGGAAAGGCACCGGCTTCATCTGAACCATTGAGACAGAGATGGAGGTGGATGGATGTCGTGCAACTCTAAAATGACTTCATCTTCTCCCTTGGCGTTGGTCCATGTCAGACCTTGTTCATCATCTACATCCACGTGTTATCTTGGAAGAAACCAGGAAAATCCCCTTCCGTACTTCCCTTCAAATCATCCAGATCCTCCACTTCGAGAGAACTCCCCTTATCTGACGCTCACCACTTTCATTGATGGCTTCGCCAGCAGCTGCCGCGGATTCCGGTTGATGCTGAGGGCCTCGTTGGACACTGGACATCCTGCTATTCAATAGCTAATCAGCAAGCACCTCATAATCGTGTACTACCTACGTGGCAGACAAGTCCTGGCATCTGACGTGAGACTGTCGATATCCATCAGACGGATAATGAGGATTTTTCCCGCTCCGGGTTTGGTTCCTAATTGGAAGGTTGTCAGGTCTTTCTTTCGTTGGGTGCTGACTGAAGGATTTCGTCTCCTCCCGGCTGTATTTACCCAGCAACTTAAGCCTCGCACTGTATACACTGTGTATTTCGCCTAAATCCAGTGCCTGTGAAAATAAATTCATTAACTACGCACCGTGTTCGATCATCACTGTTTTCCCACACTCTCTAGTGTTCGTCAGGTTTAGGCTGACCTCACAACACCACATTAATTGCCTTGTTCCCTCCTCAATCAACTCAACATACGTGGTCGCTCGCTTCGCGTCAGCCATGGGAGATGCTGCGCCACAACCAAAATCCATCCTTCGAGGACACAAGGCCCAGGTTCATGCGCTAAACTTCGTGCGCGGCAATGAGCGCCTGGCCAGCGGCGATGCTGAAGGCTTCGTCGTCCTCTGGGACCTGACCATTATGCGCCCGACGGCAGTTTGGAGGCCGCACGAGAATGCCATCTTGGGAATCGAGTCTTGGGGAAGCGACCGCATCATAACGTTGGTTCCCTTGTCCCTTTGGCATGCCAACCTCGTGCTTGTTTTCGTGCTGACGCCCGCAGTCATGGCCGGGATCATCGGCTTGTCGTCTGGAAGCTGGGCCGCGAAGACGAGGTCGACCTCAGCAAGAAGCTACCCTTGGACGAGACGACAGAATCTCGACCACAGCCTCGAATTCTTCACACGATTGACGTCAACACCATGAACTTCTGCTCCTTCGCGTCTTGTGTGCCTCAAGGAGTCCCTCGTGACGGATCCGAAGCCACCGACCTGTTGCTGGCGGTGCCAAACACACTAGCCTCGGAATCGGTAAGTCTCTCTTCCCGCTGCCTTCTATCTCCGTCTCTAAGCCCGGCCTTGTGCTGTTACCCTGCATGAAACCTCCCGGAATCTAACCCGACGGGCGCGCCCGCGCAGGTCGACATCTACGAATTACCATCGCACAAACGACTTCACACAGTCAAATCTAGCGATAAGAATGGTATGGTCATGGCCCTGGCCCTGCTGTACGTCGATGGAGCATCACCTGCAACCTCGTCCGCCAATGGCGTCTTGACCCTCATTGCCGCCTATGAGAATGGCTTGGCAACGGTTTTGCAGCAGCAGCTCACCGCCGCTGGTGGAACGTGGAAAACCGTCTACATCTCAATGGTCCACCAACAACCCATTCTTTCCCTTGACATCGCCCCGGATCGTGGTTTTTTTCTTACCTCCGGCGCCGACGCGGTCGTGGCGAAACATCCTCTCCCGGGTCTTAAGTCCGCTGTTGACGACGACCGGCAGGTCGTACAGCAACCGTTGAAGATCGCAAATACCAAGCACGCAGGCCAGCAGGGTTTACGCATCCGGGACGACGGTCGCATATTTGCAACCGCAGGCTGGGATTCCACGGTGCGCGTCTACTCATCCAAGACATTGAAGGAGGTGGCGACCCTCAAATGGCACCCAGTGGGATGCTATGCCATTGCTCTGGCCAGCGTTGACGCCAAATCGCGGGAACGAGGGACTTCAAGCGATCCCCACGAAGAACCACCCCGCGATCTCGCGTCTCGCTCCGGACAATTGAGCGTCAAGGACAGACGCATCCTCCAGGCCCAAACAGCCCACTGGCTGGCCGCTGGAAGCAAAGACGGCAAGGTTTCCCTCTGGGATATGTTTTAAGCCCGTTTCCCACAAAGGGAATCATACCAGGCATCAAGCGTCGGGTCATAGTAAGACCTATGGCTTAGCGCATAGCCCAAAGGTGACACCTCTGTCATGGGCTTCACTTCCCGTCGGTCTTTCGGCTCATATCCGCGCAACCGTCTCGCGAACGCCCGCCTAAGTCGGCCCGCATTCGAGCAAGAAGCAATTATCCTACTCAGCACTGAGAGCTTAATGCATTACTTTTACGCGCTACCTCATCCCGGGCAGCGGGAAATGGCCCCCTATCGCTCGCTGCCTTTCTAATGATCCTTTTAGCGTCTAGCCCTACGGTATCCAATTGGCTCACATTACGTACCCCTTCGTCTTCCTAACTCAAGACAGACAAGGACTTTGGAAGCAAGCAGGGATATCATTCTTTTAAGTGGTCTGAAGCTTGTGCGGCTCCCGAAAAGTCCCTTGATAGCTGACGTGAGAGTATGGTGGAACTCTACGTCGTTGCATCCATCGCCTACCCGCTGGCAACCTTCCCAGCATAGGCCTTGTTGTCGATGAATTATGCCTCATTCAGAAACGTTTTCGAGGAACAATGACGACCGGCACAAGCGTCCGTCCGAACCCCGCGGCGCCTCTATTTGCGGAGGAACCCTGGGTAGTGCAGACGACCCCGGTGTTTGTTGCGCTTGTGGTGCCTGAAAGGTCCACAGATGCAATGTGACACTCGAGACGCCAACAGCATATAAAACATGATCGTCCAGCTGCTTATCTGCCAGAAGAAAACTCATCTCCTCACTCTCCTGCTCTTCAACCCAAAGCTACAGACACCTTCCCAAATCTTCTACGCAGAATCCCCGAGAATAACAGCCAAAATGTCGTTCACAGGCGAGGAATTCAAGAACGTGGGCACTCAGGGCATGAACGCCTATGCCGCGCCCTCTCTCTTCCAACCTCACAAGGCCCGCCAGGCCATCCGCGATGCTCACGCGAAGAAGATCCCCCCATTGATGTGCTACTACGCCGGCCTCAGCTCTCTTCCGATCACGCGGTTCCTGGCCCCTATGGGATATGATGCCGTCTGGATCGACTGTAAAAGCTACCACGATATTCGATTTGTCCACATGAAGCTAACCGTAACTAGGGGAGCACACTTCTTGCAATGTTGAGACCATGACGTCGGTATGTTCTCTACTTTCAGGCTAAAAGAAGTCAAACGGCGACTAACGAAGATCAGATGGTTCACGAGGCCATCTTCATGAGCCAGGGCCGTACCATTCCCTGGGTCCGGTAAGCTCCTCAACGGCCCGCTCGAAGCACGTACCTAGCGCTGACCTGTCATCCCAGTGTTCCCGGCCACGACCACGCTGCCATCGGCTATGCCCTTGACTGCGGTGCCAGCATCGTCGTCCCCCAAGTCGAGACAGTTGAGCAGGCCAAGCACGTCCTTTCCGCCGCCAAGTACGGCACCAAGCAGAACGGCACCCGCTCCGCGCCCCCGTTCCGTCTCATCCCCTTCCTTACCGACACCCCCTACGACCCCAACAGCGACATTCACAAGTGCGTGAACAACCAGGCCGCCGTCATGATCCAGATCGAGACCGCCGAGGGTGTTCGCAACCTCGATGCCATCCTCACCGAGTGCCCCGACATCGACGTCGTCTGGCTGGGCTCTCTCGATGCCCGTGTCAGCATGAACCTGCCCGCCAACATGGGCGGCCCGCAGGACGAGCCCGAGTGGCTCGAGATTAAGAAGCTCTTCTTCGAGACCATCGACAAGCACGACAAGCCCTACGCCGGCTTTGCGTTTTCGAGCCCGCCGTACGGCAGCCCCGAGGCCCTCAAGGAGGCGGCGAAGCGCATGAGTCTCATCACCATGTCCGCAGACGTGCTGCACCTCGGCATGATGGCGATGGACTTGCAGCAGGCCAGAGCGACTGTCGGACCTGTGGGACAGGAGAACGGTACGAACGGGAAGAAGAAGGAGAACGGAGAGAACGGAGAAAATGGCAAGTAAGCCGAATGATGAGATGAGATCTGTTCTAAGACGTGGGCAGGTGTACCCTTGAGACTAAACTAAGACGCCTTTTGGGATCCTCGACGTCGGGAACCACTGCGCAGAGAGAGCGCTTGTTACGATTAATGTCAATAAACATCAGCTATGGAATGAATTTCGTGTCTTTCTGCAGTTTACCTGTCCATCTGGAGTGATCAGAAGACGAGGCATCGAGGACTCTGATGCAACATGGTGTGGCGTTCTGATGCCGCGTTCTCGCCGTACCCAGCTGTCCCCTTTGTCGTTCCTTGGGATTTTCGAATCTCATGCACCTACTCAGGCATGTCAGATCAGGCATGTCAGACTGATAAAGCCAGGATCCTCCAGACCTGCCACATCAACTTGAGACCCAAAAGCTTGGAACCGTCAGCATTGAAACCCCGAAACTTCCGCTTATCATTCCCTACTTCCCAAACCGGCGGGACACACCTGCTCTGACGTGCAACCCTCCAGGTCCTCGGGTGACATGACAGGAAAGCGCCGCCTTCCCCCATTCCCAGCAAGAACGATCCTTCCTGCTTTCTCTGGACAGGTCACTGATCCGTGGCCGACCCCTCATTCCTATAAAATCCTCCCGTTCCTTACCCCCTCCTCCCGGTTAAATCTCTTCTTCTCACACATCAGGGATCGGTCTTTCCAGCCCATCCCGTCCCCATGCCGTGGTCGACGGGGCCCCTTCGATCAGGAACGTCGGGGCCTTGGACGATCTCGCCTGGCTTTCTGTCGGGACGGCGTAATCTTTTGATTCACTCCTTGTGGGATGCTAACCCGTTCTGCGGATTTTGTCACCATCATTGCTGCTGGGATTGTGGCTGAGCTGTCTGTTGTATAGTGGCTGGTGGTGTTCGGGCTTGCTACCCGACTCTCGCCAACCCAATTTTTGGAACTTGAATCCTTTTTGGGGTTCGCTTCGCTCCTTTGTTTTTCATTGGGTTCTGTGCCGTGGGCATGGTCTTGAAGAAGAAGATTTGCATGGCGAGACGGGGTATCAGCCTGGGCTGGGGAGGCGTAAAGATGTTGATCTCCAATATCGCACTTGCGGCATTGCCTTCACACGACAATTGCATAGCAATGTCCGATGCTGATGACAGACGCTGTCATGTCATCTTGACCAGCTACCCTACGTAGCCATGTCCTTCCCCAAATGTGATATAGTCCACTTTCCGTTCTTAGGTATGGCAGGAAGGTTTGGTTCGCAACTTTGGGAGACATCGCTCCTCCCCAAGGAGTCCTGGATATCCCGTGATCCTTTCCCAGAGGAAGCAAACACTTTTCCTTCCTGAGGAGAGTACCATCATTCTTCACCAGAGGAAGGAAACCAGCACGCACATACTGCTCAGTCCCATCTCCCACACCTATATAACCCCTCCTTTCTCACCTCCTCATGCCATCTTCTTCTCCTTTCCATATCACGGATCGGTTCTCCCAGCCCATCCTCACGCCGCGTCGGGCCCTGTCCGATCAAGAATGACGGGGCCAATCGACCAGACCAGCCGTCGTCCCTTTTTACACGACGGCTCGGCTCTGCCCGCAGACACTCGTCTAACGCGGGGCGGCACAATCTTTTGCTTTTTCACTTGATGCTGACTTGCTTCGCAGGCTGGTGTGTGTGTGCTGTTGTTGTTGTTGTCGTTGGTGGTGGTGGTGCTGTTCACCACAATTTTTAGAACTTGAGTCCTTTGGGATTCCAATCTTTGCTCTTTTTCACTGGGTTCTGTGCCGTGGGCATGGTCTCGGAGAAGAAGCGTGGTCTAGATTGACGTAGGACTCCAGGTGAGTCGAGACCATCCTGTGAGATAACATTCGTGGATTGCTGATTTTTGTCTGCGGGACTCGACACTCGACCACTCCGACCGACGACGACCTCTGGAACTCCATGAAGCAGCTAGACCCGAAAGATGTTCTTGGGGGCATCCTGCAGGCCTGCTGTGAGTCACAACAGAAGACACTCGGCTTGAAAGACCCATTACCAAGCCAGATGTGTGTCATAAACCCACCGGGACATGATCCTAATGACACTGACCCCTTCGTGCTGCAAGCGCTGCTGCATGTTGAGCGCTGGGGTTGGTGGCGCTGCCGGTGGGCGTTGATTAATAATGGACTCCCGGGATCCCGCCACTGGCGAGCACGTGATGTCCTGCTGCGATAACAGAGGACCCCGCCATCCAAGTCCTTATCTCGAAATTTTTTGGGTTCGACGTCAACCCCGCCATACCGCAGCCTGAAATTCCCATTTACCCCCCAGTTGCCGCCCTTCCCATCTCTCGAAAAAATCGACAAAATCACAGGGGCACAGAGATAAAAGCACGATCAATATGACGGCCGCTACGATTCTCTGCTGCAACTGCGGCGCCCCCATCGACGGCACCACTGCCGCCAACGCCCTCTGCTTCGACTGCATCAAGTTGACCGTCGATATCTCCTCCGGCGTCCAGCGCGAAGCGACCCTCAACTTCTGCCGAGACTGCGACCGCTGGCTTCTTCCTCCCAACAGCTGGGTTGTCGCCGCCCCTGAGTCCCGCGAACTCCTCGCTCTCTGTCTGAAGAAGCTGAGAGGTCTTGCAAAAGTCCGCATTATCGATGCCTCCTTCGTGTGGACCGAGCCGCACTCGAGACGAGTAAAGGTCAAGATTACCATCCAGGATGAGGTTCAGAGCGGCGTTCTCCTCCAGCAGGCCTTCGAGGCCGTCTATATCGTCGCATACCAGCAATGCCCAGACTGCGCAAAGTCATACACCGCCAACGTCTGGCGCGCATGCGTCCAGGTCCGACAGAAGGTCCTGCATAAGAGGACGTTCCTCTTCCTCGAGCAGTTGATTATGAAGCACGGCGCGCACAGGGATACGCTGAACATCAAGGAGGCAAAGGACGGAATCGACTTCTTCTTTGCCGCGAGGAATCAGGCCTTGAAGTTTGTCGACTTCCTCAACTCCGTCGTGCCTTGCCGCATCAAGAAGGCCCAGGAGCTCATTTCTCAAGATATCCACACTTCCACAAAATCCTACAAGTTCACCTACTCAGCCGAACTTATTCCCATATGCCGTGACGATCTTGTCGCCATGCCCATCAAGCTGGCCAAGTCTTCCGGTAACATTTCTCCCCTGAACATCTGCTACAAGATCGGAACTGCGGTATACCTCCTCGACCCCAACACTCTCCAAACAGCAAGCATTCCCTCAGACATCTACTGGCGAGCTCCGTTCACCTCGCTGGCGGATGTAAAGTCTATGGTCGAGTTTGTTGTCATGGACATTGAGCCGACCGGTATCTCAAAGGGCAAGTGGCTCCTCGCTGAGGTGCAGGTTATGCGCGCGGCGGACCTGGGCGTCAACGACAAGACATACTTCGCCAGGACGCATCTCGGTGGCCTCCTCCATGCAGGAGACTCCGTCATGGGATACATGCTCACCGGCACCAACTTCAACAACCCCGAGTTCGACGCCATCGAGGAGTCGCACGCCTACGGTTCCACGATACCCGACGTCATGCTCGTCAAGAAGCACTACCCGCGCAAGAAGAAGAACCGCAACCGCAACTGGAAGCTCAAGCGCATGGCCAAGGACGAGGGCGAGCTGCTTCCCAAGAAGGCCGACCAGGACCGCATGGACGAGGAGTACGAGCAGTTCCTCCGCGACGTCGAGGAAGACGACGAGTTCCGCTCCACCATGGCCGTCTACCGTTCCCAACAGCAACAGAAGCCCGTCGACCCCGATGCGATGTCCATCGCCGAGACCGAGGACGACGACGAGGCGCCGAGAGTCGACATGGATGAGCTCCTGGACGACATGGATGAACTGCAGATTAACGATCAAGCTTAATCAGGGGGTGCGCGTGCTGTTCATGCGGACGCGACGGGCTTTTTGCGGGAGGTCCCCGACGTTGCGGTCCCGGTGGGGTGTTAAGGTTAAGTGCCCGTCTGCGGGGAGGAAGTGGTCTTCTCCCAGGGCGGCTTGGGCACCAGTTGTTGTTTTCTCGCGGGCAGCAAAAAATGAAAAACGTGCAAGGGTATCTCCAAAAAGGGATGGGACGGTTAGGGATGGGCAAGGCGTGTATGCATCAGATACCTCGCACGACGCAGCAAGGCGTTGCGTTAGGTTGCTCGTTGGGAGAGGAAATAAACAGGCCACCACGTGGTTCATGCGCTTCTCATCCTGTCTCTTTCTCTCTCTTGTCAAATCGCCGTCGTTATCGCCGTCGCCGATGCCGCCCGTTGAAGAGGCTGGAGGGAGCTTTGGCCAACAAAGTCGGCGACGTGCCGTCTCCCAAACTCTATCATCACCGCCCTATTCATGTTCGTGGAGGAGGCGTGTGGCTCATGGCTTCTCATTTTACCAGCTCTTCAGTCCCCTGCGGCCGTTGACGACGTACGTGCGTTTCCCGGCACTCCCGCACGCTCCCTTTCACTCTCTGTCCATCATCATCTCGCCCGTGCTCTCACCCTAGGTCATCCCAAGGTGCCGACTCCCTGGGACCGCGCCGGCCGAACGGTTTCTAATCGCCGATCCTCTTTACTATGTAAAGGGACTGTGCTTCCTGTCGGCACCCCGCGGAGACTGGCGCCCGTTCCCTCGTTCGTTGGGCGGCAAGGCTCCCCTACGAACGTTTGAAGGATGTGGGTGGCCCTTGCTTTCCCTTCGGCGATGTCGTTTCAGGTTCTCTCACGAGTCCGATGGCGAAGGAGAGAGGCTCTGCTGAAATGCCCAGACGGCGGCGGCACGGCACCCGCGGCGTCTACGCCTCCCACCATCTCCGTTGTCGTTTCTGGTTACATAAGGAGCGATCGATGGTAATGCGTAGACGCCGGCGCCGAAACGCGGACGACGCGGCTCAGCACACCCACACACACACGCCCATCCACACTTCAGCTGAGGTACGTAAGCAAAGCGTATTTATACGCTATATAACTAATATTCTAACCTAATTTAGCAATAAGATTAATACTATTCCTAATACTATATATAAGAATAAAATTACTCTATTTAACTTATAAAGTAAATCTAAAGTAATATAAACTTTAAGTATAGAGTTTACTTAAAAGGTAGTTATAAATAACTTTAACTATTAAGGTCTTTATACTCTATTTAATAGAGTTACTAAGTAATAGAAATAAATTAAACCCTTTCTCTTTTATTTCTTTTCTTTTTTAATTTTTATTTTAAAATAATATTTATTATTATTATAATAAAAGTAGTTTATACTCTCTATAAAAACTTTAAGAATAGCTATAACCCCTTAGTAATAGCTAAATAATATATATATTAATTTAAACTCTTCTTTAAAAATAAAAGTATTAAGATCTAAAAGTCTTATTATTTTAAAAGTAAGTTAATATAACTTTTCCTCTATAATATATAGCTCTAAAAGACTATTATTACTATTTATTATATTATTAACTAGTTAATTTATAATATCCTATTAGTTATATATTACTACCTTTAAGTTAATAATAAGTAATATAATTACTATTTTACTAGCTATATTTATATATAAATCTATACTAAATATAAGAATATTATCCTTAATATCTTATTATTTATTAACTCCTTAAGAAAAGATTAATAAAAAGAGGGGAAAAAATATTAAAGATTATAATAAAATATAAGAGAGATATAGCTATATTATAATAATAAAAGAGTAAATAAATAAGTAGAAGTTTAATATTAATTTATAGTTAATATAAGAGTTAAATAACTATTAAGCTTTTTTATAGGAGCTACCCTAGGCTTTTTTATAGGAGCCACCCCAATCTATACTTTGGCGCCTAGGTTGGCCTTCTTGTCCGCTCTGCCCACACCCTCCCCTGACTATCGTATTCTCTCTTTTCTCTCCCCGGGCCCTGGGCGCTTCCCCAGATGGGGCAGGCGCAGACCTCCCCTTTCCCCGGCCGTGCCGTCCTCGGGAAGGGGACATGATGAGACGGTGGGGGGCCGCGGGCAGGGGGCATGGGTGTTTCTTCGATTTTCTGAGGCGAGCGCACGTCGGCGCCGTAGGTTTGGCCGTGGCTGGCTTGCGGACGCCGACGGACTTGGCAGCGGCTCAGGGCGGACTGGAAGCATGGGCATATCCCTCATGCGCGGGATGGGGAGGGTGGGGTCTGCGGCCGTCCCGTGCGGCCGGCGGGGGGCTGCCATCTGAAGGTGATGCTGTGACGACGACGGGTCTTGGTGGCCGGCTTGTGGTGGGTGAGGGTTTTCTGTGATGGTGTTGACGGATGGTTTTTTTGGTTTAGTGAGCAGGATATGTCATGACGAGGAGTCAGGGTTGTCGACGCATGGCTATGGGATATCGGCGGCTGGAGGCTCGGCAACCTTGTTGCGGGCGATGGGTTGGGTGATTGGAGCTTGTGATGTTCAGTAGTTGTGAGGTAGTCGGCATCGGAAATCCAAGAACACCACGATTGCGAATTCTTATGTGAAGAGTAAAAGTTTGAATGGCTTCACGCATGGGAGATTACTTTCTTCTCACGTACTGGATTGTGAATGTGTTGATTTATATGTACAATTTGGCCTACATCACGGACATAGTAGTGATGGTATATGGTCCACAGATGTCAAGATAATAATAGAGTCCTCATCACAACAACTTGTTCATCGCCTCACCGCCAAGACGCCAGACGTAAATCATCGCCGGCCCTTGGCAAGCTGGTGGTGATCCAACACCCGCTTCTTGGCGTCCCTCGAGTCCGGTTCACACACCCCTTAGCGTAGTCAGTCAGTCACCCAGCAGACTACCGATCCCAAGGAACCTTTTCATCCTATAATCGAGATCGAATTATGCTTCAATACTAGGCAAACCAAACAGAAAAAGAGGGGTTTGCGGGCGGGAGGGAGGAGGGACCACTGCCGAGAATGCATACGCCCACGCCCTTTCTCTCAAAAGATCTTGCCCAGCACCCTCGCAACGTCCGGCTTCGCACCAGCACCAGACGCCGCCTCGCCGCCGCTCTTCCTGTCCGCCAGGGGTATCTGCTTGAACACCGTCCTCCTCTTGTCCCCGGACTCTGCCGCATCCCCGTCCCCAGGCGCGCCTGACGCCGCCGGCCCCTGCTGCTGCTGCTGCTTCCCGCGCTTCGCCTTGGTAGCCGCGATGCCGTCCAGCACCCTCGCCCTCTCCACGTTCCGCACGAACTCCTTGTTCTCCTTGCTGGCCTTGCTGATCTCGGCGCGCATCCTGCTCGTGCGCTCCGCGTTCTCGGCCGAGATCTGCTCCGTCAGGTGGCGCCACTTGAAGCCCTTGAGGTACTTGAGCGTCCAGATGTCGTCGTGGTAGTAGGACCCCTTCTTGCCGCCGATGGTGCGCGCGTTGAGCAGCTCGCAGACGGCTTTCGCGTCGCGCTTGCGCACGAACTCGACCCAGCCCTCCGTGTACGACTTCTTCTTGTTGCCGCCGGCGCGGACGCGCCGCGCGTGCGCCGCCGGGTCCTCTGGCGCGAGGAAGATGCGGTTGATCTTGCCGTAGGGCTCGAGCAGGGACCGCAGCTTCTGCGGCTTCATGAAGGGCGGGATGCGGGAGATGTAGACAACGCCCGACTTCTTGACCGCCTCCTCGGTCGCGACGAGGTTCTTTTTGGTCAGGGGCTTGGAGACGTCGGGGAGGTCGTCTGTGGTGGTGGTGGAGGGTTTTGACTTTTTTGTTGTTGTTTCGTCTTGGTCTTCGTCGTCGGAGGCTTCTTCTGCCTCGTCGTCGTTGTCATCTTGTTTTGTGTCGTTCTCCTCGTCGCTGAAGGCGTCCTCGTCGTCGGAGTCGACCTTGCGTCTCTTTGCGCTGCGGCCTCCCTTGCGCAGCTCCTCGGCCTCGGAGTCGTAGCCTTGGTCGAGGTCGTCCTCGCTCTCGTCGGCGTCGAGGAACTTGTTCCGCTTTTCAGGAGCCATGATGGGCGATTGGCTTTCGAATATCTTGTGTTCTCTCCAATTCCTTACCCGTGTGTCACTTATGCGCTTTGCCGTACCGCGCGCTTTCGTATCGAAATGTCGAATCGTCGTTGCAGATCCAGGACAAAGACGATGCTTGCCGCTTGCCGTGAAGTTCTGCAAAATAAATTTTAGTGGGTCTGCGACCGTTTGCACTGTCTTATCTGATTACCTCATCCCCGTTATCGGGCTTATCGGGAGCGCGCCCATGCGCGCTCCGGGCGGACCCTATCAGATCCATTGCCCCTCGTTGCCCCTCCAGCCCCTCAATGACGATTCATGTTCGAGAAGGGGAATATCTAAGTCGCGAATTGCCTCTTGATCATAATCAACAAACTCATTCTCTATTTCTTTTCCAGTTCATCTTAATTATACCCAAGTTCAACCGCCATCATGTCCGTCGAAGTCCTCACCACGATCTCCCCCACCACCAACGAGCCCATCATCACCCGCAACGGCATCTCTCAGACCGACTTAGATGAGCTCCCCAACACCGCCACCAAGGCTTTTGAGTCCTGGAGCAAGACATCCCTGGCAGACCGCCAGCAGATTGTCAAGACGGCACTGAAGCTCCTCCTTAACAAGAAAGATGAGCTTGCCCAGGAGCTCACCGTCCAGATGGGCCGTCCCATCGCCTACACCGGCGTAGAGGTCGCCACCGCCGTGAAGCGCGCCGAGTACCTCCTCAAGATCTCCGACGAGGTCCTCAAGGACACCGACGGCGAGGCCGAGAAGGGTTTCAAGCGCTTCATCCGCAAGGTCCCCGTCGGCCCAGTGCTCATCATCTTCGCCTGGAATGTACGTTTTGTCTCCGACCTGGCGCGTGACCGTTGCGTGGCGACAGTCTGAGACATCGTGAAGATACTCGCGCGCTGAGGCCACCCCTGACCGACATTTTTGACTAACACCACTCCAGTACCCCTACCTCATTCTCGTCAACTCCCTCATTCCCGCCTTGTTGGCGGGTAACACCGTCATTCTCAAGCCCTCGCCGCAGACTCCCACAATCGTCGAGCGGGTAGCCAAGGTCTTTGAGGAGGCCGGCCTCCCCGCCGGCGTGATCCAGCACTTCCACTGCGGCTCGCCGACTCTGATCGAGTCCATCGTGCGCAACCCCAAGATCAAGCTCGTCGCCTTCACGGGCTCCGTGGCCGGCGGCCTGGCCGTGCAGCAGGCGGCGTCGGACCGCGTCGTCAACGTCGGCCTGGAGCTCGGCGGCAAGGACCCGGCGTACATCCGCGGGGACGTCGACATCGACTGGGCGGCGGCCGAGATCGTCGACGGCGCCGTCTTCAACTCGGGCCAGAGCTGCTGCTCCGTCGAGCGGGTCTACGTCGCCGACGAGATCCACGACGCCTTCGTCGAGGCCGTGCAGAAGGTGCTCAAGGGGTACGTGCTCGGCGACCCCTTTGACAAGGGCACCCACGTCGGGCCCGTCATCTCGAAGCGGTCCAAGGAGACCATCGAGGCCCACGTCAAGGACGCCCTCGACAAGGGCGCCAAGGATGCCACGCCCGAGAACGAGTCGTTCGCCAACCCGCCGGCCAAGGGCAACTTCGTCAAGCCGACGCTGCTGACTGGCGTGGACCACTCGATGACGGTGATGACGGAGGAGACGTTCGGCCCGGTCATCCCGGTCATGCGGGTCAAGAATGACGACGAGGCTGTGAAGCTCATGAACGACAGCGAGTTCGGCCTGACGGCGAGCATCTGGACCAAGGACACGGATCGCGGATACGAGATCGCGGACAAGGTGGAAGCGGGAACCGTCTTCGTTAACCGATGCGATTACCCCAGCCCGGTAAGTCGAGCTCTCCGTTTCGCCCTTCTTACACACTCCTTACATAGCACACAACATTCCACTCCGTTCTACCACCTTCTTAGCGTCGTCCGATCTGTGGTTGGATGGCCCGATCGCTCCCCCGACCAGTCTGTCCGCCGTTGCCCACAAAATCCCCTGCCCCATTGTTCGTCCGGCATCCTCCGCGGCACCGTTCCTGAGCCTTTGCTCGTCGCACCAGGACCGAGATCTCACCGGTCGGTGGTCGTGGGTGCCTCGGAGCGGTGTGGCGGCGATGCTCGTCTTTGCCCTTGCACCGCCCTCTTGCTTGTTGTGTTTGTGTGTTTGACAACTGCCGTTCGAGTTGTCCCGTTGCTAGCCCTCCTCTATATCCTTCTTCCCCAGCCCTGTGACGTCGTTTTCCTTTTACGCCCTCGCAAGCCACCTTTGACCAATCTTCGCGACTGACAACCATTTCAGGACCTAGCGTGGACGGGATGGAAGAACTCGGGCAAGGGACAGACGCTCAGCCGCTTCGGTTACGATCAGTTCGTCAAGCTCAAGAGCTACCACTTGAAGGACTACCCCAAATGAGTGATGGCGTGAGGGGGAAGACAGATCGAGGTGAAGACGCACGAGCCAGAGGATGATCAACTTTTTGCTTGTTTGACAGGAGCACCGGCCGGCTGGAGAGTGGGAGAGGGGAAAAACTGGCACCAAGGGAAAGGGTTTATGGGAGATCGTGGGTCGGAACTACTTCCAAGCCTCCACACCGCGGCAGTTGATTTTGGCGCTGTAGAGTTCGTAGCCTCTTTCTGCTACGAATGAATGCTTCTTTTTACTCACGCAGCGCACGGGCAGGCGCCGTGGTCGGTGGCTTGACGGCTCATCGCATCGCCAACAACTAACTTTCCTTCTACGGTGTTCCTTCGAGATGAGGCTATCTCGAGATTCGCGTAGGTGCGGGGCCCGGTGAGGAGATCGGGCACCCATACCACCGGGACGTGAATACGGGAACCACGGAGCACGATGCCGAGATGAGGATACGGCCGGCGGGAAGAGTGGGGGGAGCCTACTATCTTTTCACGCGGTCGACGCATGATGACCTCGGTGGTGGTGATGGTGTGTGGGAGAGGAGGGGGAGTGGGAGGGTTAGGGGAGTGTGAAGTGTGAAGTGCGCGATGACTTCCTCCCTGGTATCACACTCACACTACGGGGACGGACACGGAGACTAAGGTAGCCAGGTATGCTTAATGATTCTCGGGACCTGCTGGAATCGTCGCCTTACCTCAGCTCTATTCTCTTGCGCCGACGGCATGAAGGTTAATCAACGACGATGTTTGTCTGGAGGTGTGTGATCAGGCCAACGGGCTCTTCCCTCGATGATCAGACCGCGTTGGCAGCACGCGACGTGGTGTACGTGACATGCTGTCAAAACGCCCTTGCATTCCCTTCCCCGGCGGACGGACTTTACGTTCTCGTCGGCCTCTGGGCCGACACGACACACACACCCTGCTTCTTCTAACGATGCCGAAACCGAGGCTGTCACTGGCTGCCGACGGAAGGGAGGGAGAAATAAAGTCTAACGCTGTGAAAAGTTGTGGTGTGGGAAGGCCGTGTACGATTTGTCCGAGCAGCGCCGTGGACTTAGACTCCGTCTCGTGTTTCTTTTGGTGTCGCCGGGGATATGGACCCGACGTCATGAGACGAACACGGTTGTTGGGTTTTGGCCAGGAACAGTAGAGAGAGACAAACGCGATCGCGGCAGTAGTAGGAGTAGGAGTACACGTGTAAGGTAGTCGGTCTCTAAGTCAGCATCATCACGATGACCACTTGAAACCCGACAACGGTCGATAGAAAGTGTCACGAAAGACGGGAAAGCGAAAGCGGAAGCGGATTCAGCATTCAAGACATTCTCTCAACAAACGTGCTGATGCTGATTCAAGCTGTTGCGGTTAAGATTCAAGGCTGCGATGGATGACAAAAGCATGTTGCGTCTTGCCGCGCCGTGCCGTGGTTTAGGGTTTTAGTCTATGTTCTCTTCGTGCGAGACGGAGGTAAGCATTCTCAATCACGGACTATGTGACTCGAACAATTGGTGTGTCTAATCGGACTTGTAGTAGTGAATAGTCAAGCAGTGTGGGGGAGTGTGTTGAAGAATGTCTTTAACTTAGTCAGACGTTTAAGAAAAAGACTTCGTAGGGCAGACAAAACACCAGACGTCAGGCAACGTTTGCAGAAGGAGATGGACGATACGGCCGTCTGCGCATGACAAGTTGGCAATTCAGGGTCTTACGTGTACTATAGTGAATCGCATTCCTTTGAGTGAACTAACACATTTCGAAACTTTGAAAAGTTTGTTGCGTCAAGCGTCGATGGTGAGGAGCAAGATCAACGACTGCGCCGCAAACCGTTCATAGAATGTCAAGAACAAGTTCGAAACTTAGAAGAGCGTTGAAGATGGTCGAAAACTCTCACTGGCTTCTTCTCAGAATAGGGCGTGTCTTGTGTGTGCGTGTGCGAGTAAGAAGAGACGCGGATACGCTGAGCCACAGTCCTCTCGGCCGCAGAGGCGGGAAGATCTCGGGAGGGACAATTGCCGTTCCAGTAACGCGGTGTTCAAAGGCAGATTCGCTGCGCAAGACTGCCTTGAGAGCTTGGTTGATTGTGAGTTTCGTGTTGGAACGGTTGGGCTGGAAGACGAAAACGGAATACAACAACGTAGATGCCTTCCTGCTGCGGATTGTTGCTGCGTAGCGTACGATAACATCTACCGACTGCAGACGAAACACACAAGAAGTTGCCTGCCAGAGACCGAGCCCAACAACTGCCGTGCCAGCCATACAATACGCCTCACCCTTCCCCCCCTCTTCATGAAGGTCGTAGTATCATCGTGATGGCTTGTCTTGATCGATGGTGGTGGTGTTTTGGATGCATCGGGACGAAGCGTGCTGGAGGGAGCCCCACAGACGCGCTGGAGGTCCAATTAACCCGGTCCCACGGCACGCCAGGGAGGCGCCGTGGCGCTGCGTGACAGCCGAAGCCGGCGAGATTTGGAAGCACAGCAGCGCTAAGGTACAGGGCACACCTCGCTGTAATAAGGTGCCAGCGCCGCGGTGGAGCCGCTGTGAGCGGGAGGAGTGGGGTCCTGGGTGCGCTAAAGCGCGGTAGGCGTACGGCG